TCTAAATCGGTTCAAATATTCTTGAAATAACACCATTTTATAAAATAATTGGTCACATCATCATAACGTGATCAATTTTACGATTTGGCCACGATATAAATGCATATTAGTGTTAAATTTGACTTATTACTTATTAATCAATAAACTTAAATGAGAAAAATTCAATAAAAATAAAGAAAAGATACCAATTGAAATAATTATAAAATTATTTGTTTTCACCCGGTGTAAACACCCACGGGTGGAATGAAACGGGTTTTTATTGGGTTTTTACCCTCATGTGGGTTTTTACCCGGGTGGAAACCCATCTCTAGTTGCAGTTGATGAATTCGTTTAGAGTTTGAAGTTTGCCGAAGAGAGGATGGTCTGTGAATTGGGCAGTTTTAAAGATGAACCTGTCTGAAAGGTATTGTCGACGCATGTTCAATGGAGGATCTGCACCCTCTACCTGCAAGGCGTTGACTGGTGTACTTCTCATAGCACCAAGTATAATTCTGAGGCTACGGGATTGTACCAAGTCAAATTTCCTAAGGGCAGTGTTACAGGCCAAGCTGTTCGTGAAGGAGCCGTAATCTAAAAGACTTCGTACTAATGCGTTGTAAACAAGCTTAAGAGTCGTAGGATGAGCACCCCACCACACCCCTGAAAGAGCTCTCATGACATTTAAACCTTTCTCACATTTGTCCACGGTGTAGTTGATATGAGATTGGCCATTACATTTACTATCAAACTTCCTTCCCAAGAAAGAAATTTCATTAGCGATGGGAAGCTGATTGCCATTGACTTTAATAATTATATCCGGAATCAACCTTTTCCTAGAGAATACCACTATAGTACTTTTTGAGACGGATAGGGATAAATCATGCTTTGATAACCACAGGGATAGGTTGTTTAGAGATTCTTCTAGTGTCGAAGAAGCCGTAGCAATACAATTATCAACTGAGTATACTAAGACATCATCAGCATATTGTAGAATTGAACAGGAAGGGGCAATAACGCGTTCGAGTTCACTAGTATACACATCGTACAATAGAGGGCTTAGGACGGATCCTTGAGGGACACCTTTCCACAAAAATCGCTTGATGTTATCAGTACCAGGAACTCTCACAGTAACCATTCGTTCAGTAAAAAGATTGAAAATGAAATTTGTAAAATTAAAAGGGATTTGTAGCGATTCTAATTTTTGTTTTAAGATTAATAAATTAACATTGTCATAAGCGGACTCTATATCTAAAAATGCTGCTGTTACTGATTTATTTTCTGAGAACGCTAGAAGAAGGTCTGTAGAAAATATACTCAAACTATCCGCTGTACTTTTACCTTTTCTAAAACCAAACTGAGTTTTACCCAACAAATTATTTCGCTCTAAGAACCATTCTAATCTATTTTTAATTAAGTGTTCGGCAATTTTAGAAAATACGGATGCTAATGCTATTGGCCTATAAGAGGATGGTTCTGCAGGATTTTTGAAAGGTTTAAGAATAGGAATAATAATATGAATTTTCCAAGCAGAGGGAATTAAGCCGGATTCAATTACAATATTAATAATATCTAACAAATAACAAAGAGAAGGCGCAGTAAGATGTGATAAAAACGAGTATGGAATGCTGTCTTGGCCAGGGCAGGAATCTGATACATGCTCTAAAACTAATTTTAGTTCTCTCATAGAAAATGGCGAGCTAAAATAGTCGTTAGAACAGTTATTATTAGAAAGTGAATATGTGTAAGGCATTTGAGTAGCGTTAGGAACGTAGTTAGGAGCTAATTTGTTTGTAAAAGCATTTACCCAGTCTAAACTAAAAGAGTTACGATTTGCGATTGATAAAGAAGATCGAAAACGTTTAATATTGTTCCAAACAATAGTGAGTGGAGTGTCTGGCGACAAAGAAGAACAGAACTTTTGCCAGCCAGCTTTCTTTTTTTTCCTCAACAACCGCTTGGTTGCAGCAGTAACATTTTTTAACTTTAAATAGTTTTCCATACTTAGTGAATCGCGACATGCTTTTTCGGCATCTTTTCTTTTTTTAATAGCCGCCGTGCATTCTGGATCCCACCAAGGCGGTGAGGGTAATAAGGAGGTGGCGGCGAGACGAGCGGCCGCACAGACGCTCAAGGAAAAGGAACGTGCATTGCAGCAGGACGCTACTGCTGCGGAGGCAGAAGCGGACGCGATCACTGCTCGCCTGAGCCGCACCGCTTTATTGTTGGCAACATTTTTACGTTTAAAAACTGCATCAGCTGATGATTGAATGGCTGACACTAAGCTGTCAAATGAGTTATTGAGGTTATCTTTACAAACTCGGCAATAACTTGACTTTCTGCTCAACAGATATGCTAAATGAATACCAATCACATATTTACGCAAGGGAGGAAGTGGATCTACAGAACGGTTGTTCTTTGGTAACGTAATGACAATCGGAACATGGTCATTACCATAAGTGGATGATAAACATCTCCAACTCAGACTCAAAGATAGCGTAGGTGAACAAAGTGAGATATCGACAAAACTTAAAGATTGGCCGGGACAGGGTCTCCTTGTTGCTGAACCATCGTTTAAAACGCACAGATTTAACTCGTCTATAAGCTCCACAAGATCACTACCAAATGAATCATTGACTGGTGCACCCCAAAGAGAATGGTGTGCATTAAAATCACCTAAAATTAACACAGGCGCAGGAAGAGATAGGATTAAATTTCTTAAAATCGGAATAACAGATGAATCTTTGCAAGAAATGTATACAGACAGTACTGAAATATCCCCAATTTTTGCAGCTACTGCATTCAAGTGATTATTATTGTAGGAAGGAAGTGCTAGTGATGTAAATAAGTAATGTTTTTTAATCAGTAGAGCGGCACCACCCCACCCATCATCTCTGTCATCTCTCAAGACTGAATAGCCACGAACTCTAAAGTTATAGCCTGGCTTCAGCCAGGTTTCAGAGACAGCTATGGCAAATGGCTGGTGTTGGTTAATTAATGTAATGAGTTCAATTGTTTTAGACGAAATGCTTCTACAATTCCACTGGAGGATTTGATCCATTTTTGATAATGTTATAAATAGAGACTGACAAGTTGTTAATTAAAGAAATGGCAACGGAGTACGGTAATGCAGAGTTAACTATAATATTAATCAATGAAGACAGCAGATTATTTAGATCCTGAGAGGAGACAGAGTGAGAGTCCCCTGCAGATGAGGGCTCAGACAAGAAACCACAACCATTTTGTGGAGATGGAATATGATCAATTAAAGACTCGTGTGCTTTCTTGTCATAGCCTGGTGGGAGCTGAGTAATTCTTTTCCTATTTATAAAAACTGTCTTTTTGTATGAATTTTGTTCTGTTACAGGTTTTGAAGGTGAAGGTGATTTGGGAGAACTAGCTGTGACATCTGAGTATGACTTAGTGAATGGAAACTGTTTAGAGGCTTCTAGATATGATACTGTGTTAACTGACATATAATGCTTTATGTTTTTTTGTCGTATAAATTCGGGACAGGTTTGTTCATTTGCTTGATGTTTCCCTGCACAATTAATGCAGGAAACATCTGTCTCGTCGCAATTAGAGCCTGAGTGGTCCCCGGTGCATTTAAAGCACCTGGGTTTGCTTCTGCATTGAACCCTGGTATGTCCAAAACGACAACAGTTAAAACACTGAATTGTTGGGAATATGTACTGGTCAACAGGCAGTGAGGAAAAAAAGGAATAAATTCGGGGAGGAAGAGCTTGACCATCGAATGTAAGGACTACCGTCTGAGTAGGCAACCATTTAGGGCCTTCAAGTGATGTAACTTTGCGGCTAAGCCGGCGAGACCGAATGATTGGACCAAAGCCTTCAGGAACTCTTAAATTTCCTACAATCTCTTCATGCGACCATTCGCAGGGAATGCCTTTGACAATGCCCATTTTGGTGATATTGTATGTTGGGATAGATAAAACATAATCATGTAATATAATTGGATTACACAAAAATGAGTTTGCCGCACCAGGTGTTTTGAATGTCACTGCCAATCGATTTCGCCCTATTCGTTTAATGCCATCATCCAAAATATTTTTTAAATTATTTCTGAATAGAAAATTCCCAAATTTGATGGGGTGAAGAGTGGAGCCAGAGTTGGGAGTTTCTTTTTGTTGGACATGTACCAGAAAAGGACCTGCATCCTGATCCTGGTAATTGTTTCTGCCTATTATATGGTTATTCTGTTGAGAATGTTGGATCACCGGGGCTGGAGGAGCTTGCGTTAAAATTTCTTGAAAAGCAGTGGTAATGTGCATTTTAGGAGAGGATTTGGTCTTTAATAAATGTTTGTTAATTTTTTTCTCAGTTTTTCTATTTGTTACTAGTTTAAATGACTCAAATTCTTTTACATGTTGGTTAGATATGAAATTATCAGCCTCTATTAAGGTCAATAAAGGATTGGACTGAGATTGTGGAGTGGCTGGGGGAGGATCAGGGTCAGGAGCTGGTTCCGTCTCCATAGTTTATAAATATGCAAATGGACTTACCCCTATATAATATATACACTAATCACACTAAATTACTAATTTACAACAATTTTTTTACAAAATATACACAAACTAACAATAAAATACGAATTAAATAAAAACAGATAGACCGCCCTTTTCAACTTCCCGCCAAAAAGTCACACCAGAGATTTAACATCAACCAGTGAGCTATTTGCAGGGTTATTGGTCAACTTATATGTTATTAATTATTATCAACAATTTGGTGCGGACATTCTGACGGTGTTGTTAGGTTTCTAGGGGTTGGTGGGACAAACGCAACCAAAAACGTCTACTGTAAATCTTCGTGTAAATCCATATCTGCGTGTAAATCCATTCTCACTCACCAATCTTGATCCAGTTAAATTAACATAGCTAGCTACTACAAATCTATTAGATTATTATATCTATGCAGGTGACGGATGCTGTCAAAAACACGTGTTGGATTTGGTTTTGGATGACATGACAGTGACAGGGTTTGCAATTTGCATCATGTATATTACTTTTCTCTATGATTTGCATTGGATTGTTGTTTATCTCGTTTAATTTTTACAAAGTCTAGATAGATTGTATTACTGATAATATTATATTTTATCTTAAATTTGTCCGCAGCTGCTTCTTCCTATATTACTATATCTACTGAGCAGCAACAAACTGCGATGTCGTGGGATTGGTTCGAGTCTATTGGCAAGCCTTCCTTTGTGGTGGCTCCAATGGTCGATGCCAGTGAGCTGGCGTGGCGGCTTCTTTGCCGGAGACATGGCGCCCACCTATGTTACACGCCAATGTTTCATAGTAATGTGTTTACCAAAGATCCTAAGTATAGAAAAGATAGTATGGTTACTTGTGCTGAGGACAGACCTCTGATAGTACAGGTAGGTACAGCCATAAACTTTCCTTAATTTTGTTATAATGCACATGTTTATAATGTAATAAATTATAACATTATCCTTTAATATTCACCTTTTCCAATTGCAGTTTTGTGGAAATAATCCAGAAATTATGGCTGCTGCAGCAAAGATGGTTGAAGATCAATGTGATGCTATTGATATCAATCTTGGCTGCCCACAATCAATAGCAAAGCGAGGCAGATATGGGTCATTCCTTCAAGATGAATGGAAACTGTTGCAAGATATAGGTATGTATGTTTTCAACACTTTAATTATCAACTTAATCTGTAAAAGTTTTGATATCTTACTACTTACTGTTGCAGTTAGAGCCATGTCAAAAGCTGTGTCAATACCAATTACATGCAAAGTTAGAATATTTGAGGATATTGAGAAGTCTGTGCAGTATGCACTGATGCTGCAAGAAGCAGGATGCAAGTTGCTCACTGTCCATGGCAGAACAAGGGAACAGAAGGGGCCACTTACTGGCATTGCCAGTTGGAAACACATCAAGGCTGTAAGGTATGTTACACTTGAAATAAATAAATAAATTTTTACTCCATAAATTATATCTAAAATAATCATAAAAATACAATTTACTGCCAAAATACACTAGTCCATGGTTAATTAGTTTAATTTTTTTTTACAAATTTTCTTTATTTCTGTTTTCAGAGAGGCTGTATCAATTCCTATGTTTGCTAATGGAAATATACAATGTTTAGAAGATGTGTATAGATGTTTAGAGACCACTAAAGTTGATGGTGTGATGAGTGCTGAAGGAACACTCACAAATCCAGCTCTATTTGAAGGAATCAACCCGGTTTCTTGGGAGATGGCAGGGGAATATTTGGATTTAGTTGAACAGTATCCATGTCCCACATCATACATGAGAGGACATCTATTTAAAATATTTCACAAAATGTAAGACTACAATGTTATGTAGTTATATAACTTCAATTTATGTTATAGTTTTTAATTCACATGAGCCAGAAAATTCTATAAAATATTTAGTTAACTAAATTATTACTCTTTAAAGAGTTAATCACAATTTTATTTTGCAGATTTACATTTGAACATAACAATGATGCTCGACAACTATTAGCTACAGGACAAAATATAAATGACTTTAGACAAGTGTGTGTAACAATCAGAGATAAGTACAAGGATTACCATGAAGGTACATTAACCCTTGAAGATTGTGAAAACATAACTCGACAAGGATATAATTTAATACTTCCTCCATGGATATGTCAACCATATGTCAGAATGTCCCCTGAAGCCCATACCCAGAAAATGGAAACACTAAGTAAAGTCCAGGTACATCCAGGTATTAAATATTTAGAGTTTATTGCAAGAACTAGTTATTTTCAAGTTTATTTTTCAAGTGTTATTTAGGTTTACAATACTGTTAATGATCCACATAATATAATTAGTATATTCCAAATTAACTTTATTATTAAATTAACTTAAATACCAAACTAAATTTTTGGATTTATTTCTAGATTGAAAATAACAATAAGAGAGACTATGAAGACATAGATGGGAATTGCATATCTAGGAAAAAGATGAAAAAACTGAGAAAAATCATGAGAAGACCAGCAAAAGATGACAAGCAAACTGGGAGAAGTGGTGAAATATGTGTCAATCTCACTTGTCCTAATCCACTTGTAAGTATAGTTTCTAGGACAAAACAATATTCTTACTCTAAAGCATTTATCAGGGTTTAAGTAAACAACATCATCTCCATAGTTATTTAAACAGCTATTAAAATCCTACCTAATTAACAATGCCCAAACTTGTACTGAGAGTTCAACATTTAATTTTATGATTGTATTGTAGATGATACTGAATAAACATTTTTTCTTGCTTTCTTTCTTAATTTTCTCTAAAGTTATTTAGTTTTTATTTTGATAACTTAATTATTCGAATTCTATTCATGTTTTAGGGTGGCAAGTGTGTTTATCAGCTCTGCAAAAAGTGTTGCAGAAACAAATGCTTTGAAGAAGATTTGGATTGCAAAGGTCACAGAATACTTGTCCACACTCGTCGTGAAATGGCTAAAAACTTCGCTCAGCTAAATACTGTGGATGAGCAAGTCTGTCACGCAGCCGAAACATAGGTATAAGCTTTAAAGTATGCAAGGATATTATTCGAATGCTCTGTACATATTTAGATCTATGTAGATAATATACATTTGACATTACTTTTTATCAGTATCTTATTATTTATCTACCTAAATACATAATATGATTCAGCTGCACTAGATAAGAACATTATATGCCTTTGTTTACTATTTGAAAGAAGATAATGAAAACACCTTTGAGCAATAACTGCTGTGTGTGGCTTATTTATAATACACTACCAAGTACTAAAGTGTAGCATTCTTCTTCAAACTATTTCGGAAGGGGACCTCCTCCCCTTTTAGAGATTACGCACCTCACCCTACCACTACGAAACGACTTTTTTTTAACTTTTTTTACAAACGAGTGGTTTAGCATCAGGTACCAGTTAATTTATTCTTGTACCTGGTGTAATACAGAGTGTAGTTTTTTAAATAATATAAAAAAAATCAAACTGTCTAAGGTTTAAGTTTTTTAAAGTCAGTTATTTATAATTTAGTTTGAGACGCGACTCTTAACGTTAAGAAATTGTATTATGTAACGTTTTATTTTATTAATAACTTAAAAAAAAACCGACTTCAAATGCGTGAACACAAATAATACCTATTCAACAAAAAAATAATCGTTCAAATTGGTTCATAAATCGGCGGAGATATTGCGTATAAAAAAGTTCATCCCCAATTTTCTTTTTTTTTATTATTAAATTTAAATGGGACCACCCTTGAGGTATTACCTATACGTCGAAAAAAGATTTGTTCAAATCGGTTCATAATTGGCGGAGTTATCGCGTAACAAACATAGAAAAAAAAACATACGGGTCGAATTGAGAACCTCCTCCTTTTTTTGAAGTCGGTTGAAAATCGGTTTCATTAAAATCCGTTCAGTGGTTTTTGCGTGAAAGAGTAACAAACATGTTCACATCCAGACATCCATACAAACTTTCGCATTTATAATATTAGCAGGATTTCGTATCTCACAAATCGACGACATGGATACTCTCTCCTCCATTATCGAAGTTTACACCTAATATAAATGTGATACTTTCACCACCTTTGGTAATACTTATTACAGCCCAAATGCTATAGTCGCCATGGTAACCAATAAAGAATAACATTGGCTTACTAATGGAATAAGTACTTAATTAAACTGTTTGCCTTTGAATTATAATTACGTCTAGTGTCTACAATGCTGCGCATTGTATTTATACCCACTAAGCTGAATAGCTATTAGGTTAATTTGTAGGAGTTGAGACAATAAAGCTCATGGTCAACTTTTCCCCAATATTAATTGTGGTTGCGCGCGCACTCTGTTATCGGTACTGGAGGTGTAGCATGATGTCATTTCGATTTCGATATTTAAAACAAAGACAGTCTTTTAGTAATTGGTAGGCATACAAATGCCCAAATGTTGTTCCCCGGATCAAGAACACAGAGCTCAAAGGAGGATAAATGGTTTGCAACTACCTCTCAACTATCAGCAGATCATTGGATGGATAGTTTTTGTTACTACTGGCGTTATAAACTTTGTGGTTCTTGTACGGATACAGTTTGATAAGCTAAAAATAGCATCTCAAATAATATACATCGCATTGTATGTATCACATACGGTGTCACACCTAACTGCATCTCTACTGGACCCCAGTGAGGAAGAACTTCGAAAGCTCGAAATTAATACAGTTCCAGAATTCGACCGTAATATCCACGCCCACGTTATTGAAAATGGTAGGTGCCATCTGTGCAACATATTTACAAGCAGCAAGAAAACCAAACATTGCAGTTTGTGCAATAAGTGCGTGGACCACTTCGACCACCACTGCAAGTGGCTCAACAGCTGTGTGGGGCGCAGGAACTACGGAGCCTTCATCGCGAGCGTCACGACAGCCTTGACACTGGCACTTTTCACCTCGTCTTTGTGTTTAGTTGATATAGTGATATTTCTTACGTATCCCCAACAGCTAAGTCCAGAAACTCAAGATATTATTAATTGTAACACTACAAACCGAACAAATGTGGACTTGGAGGGAAAGTATTGTAAGAATTCGATTATGTTTTTATTATTTTTAGTTATATTTGGTGTAAGTGCTTTAGCAATCGGATGTGCGTTGTTACATTTGTTATGTTTTCATATTTACATATCAGCCTTAGGTGTTTCGACGTATGAGTATATTTTACGAAGTGGCACTCCGCCTTCTGTGATTCCGCAGTGTATGAGAAAGTGCCCATGTAGTAGAGCAAAATTGTCTAAGAAATCGTACATGTTAAGCAAATCCAAAGCTAAGAATCTTAAATCAAGAAATTCTGAGAGGGAACCGTCAGATCCGACATCGAGCACGAGAATGGATAAGTTAAACACTTCCCCAGCAACCAGTGATACAAACGTAGCAAATTTAATTAGTATATTAGTTAATAATGAGTTGGAAAAGGCCAGAAAGATTTTTATGTATGACAAAAACAAAATACATCCCCAAGAAGAACATAGTTAACGGCATGAACGTGGACATTGCATGGCATTTTAAATGGCGAAAAGTTGTTGATATCGTAGCATTGATACTTTTTGATCAACTCCTACAATCGTCCAATTAGTGCCTTTTCAAGAACCTATTGTAATAACATGTATTTTTATAAAAATATAACACTTCGATAAGTATATTATTGATAATAATTACAATAAAACGTTATGTACTACAAAAATAGTTCTAATTTCGTACCCATTCGTGTAACGGCAGCTACGTAGGTAGGTACTTACATTTAAACGCATTTTAATACGTTACATATTGAAACGTGCTTGTCGGCCAATTAATGGTACCTATGGTACCGGCTTATAAGATGAATGGTGCTTTATGATTGATTCTATGAGAACAATTTCTTCGATTAGGTGTAAATGGTGTAATTCTATATGGAGTTCATAATAATAATAATATGTAGTTGGGCATCTCCCCACAGAATCCGGTTTTGACCATTACACCTTGGTCTACATTTATAATACGAATGGCCTAGCCTAGAGATTTCCTATGCAATCGCACCCAGTGATGAGTGACATTTTTAATAAATATCTACTTACGTATATTTTTCCGCTTACGAAATCTCTTTGCATCATCACTAATGGCCTTTGTCGCTGTGATGACGTAATCTAATACAGTATGATGAATAAAGACAGTTTTCTAGAACTCATATTCAAGGAAATCATAAATAAACTTAGAACTAAAATGTTTTTTCTTGCTAAGCATTTTGTAAGTTTTAAATACCTATGGCAGATATTAGCATTTTATATGCAGGAATCCAAGTAATTCTGCTAAAAATTGAGATGTCTGGCTTTACAATATTTTTGTTACATGATAAGATAAACAAGTGACTTAGCATAAAAAATATAATGTGGAAACATTTCCCTCTCTATGTGAAAGTTAATATCCAGCAGGGTCAAAAAAAATGTCAGGTGAAAGAATTAAAATCAGTAAAATATTTTTATTCCAACCAGTTTTAATTTACACCTTCAATAATTAATCAAACATTTTAAAACAGTATTATAATATGTAATAAACAAATATTTTTGGAATATAAATTTCCTCAAAATAAGTTACAGTCAAACCAGGGTTTAATCACGTTTGCGGCGACGATTTTGCTCCTCCTGAAACAAGTAAACATTGTTGTTCATTAGACAAAAGGCAAAGTCATGCATGCATGATTCAAAGCATGAACAAAATGATGAAATTTAAATTACCTAAGATGTCAATAGTTTTAACTAAAAACATAAACTATGGTTGAATATAATTTCAATAGTAAAATGCCTTTTAATGTTTAATATGATATTTTTTTATGATTGAACATAAAATATTATATTTCAATCCAAATAAATACATATATTTCTTACCTTTTGTGTTAAAATGATGACCAGTCTTCTGAACATGCCAATAAAGTCAATGAACAATTCGAGGGCATGTTGAACAAAGTCCTTGCTTCCCATTCGGCGTTTCTCGATGATAAGTTGTGTGTCGAATAGTACAAATCCACACATCAACATTAGGCCAAGGTAAAGGTGGGCCTAAAAAGAATAAGAAGCATGTTAATTACATCATTAACAAACAATATAAAATATAAATACAGTATATTATAATATTTTGTTCCATAACTTACTTGGTAAAGGAAATGTGATTGCATGAACAGGTTGAAAATAGTCATCAGGGACATAGAAGTAAGTAGTGTCATAAGAGTACCACCAAGGAACAGCCAGCTACCACGCTCAGCCAGCATTGCTGCCACTGAGAAGCACACAAACACTAGTGTGGTACCCAAGAGCGCTGTCACTATTATTGATGGATCCACAACACTGACATACTCCATCAAGGGTCCCATGCTCATACCTGTAGAATAAAATAAGCACATGATAAAATAATGAATGAAATATGTGAAAGAGCACAAATGAGTTACTTGTTTCTTACATACCTGAAGTTAAACCAAATCCTAAGAGATATGCAAGTCTTTGATTTGTGTTTTTGCCATTGTCTGGAGTAGCAATAAGCATGAGCATCAGGCCAGCTCCAATGATTGCTGAGAGGAATCCAGCTTGGAATCTTGTGAACATGTCCACATAGACACCAGCAGATGCCGAAGCACAAGTCATCATCAGTGTTCCGTAAACATTTTTGAGATGTTGACGAACTGGAGGTTCACTGTAAGCAATACACAAAAACTTTGTCAGTATTTCATCATTCACTGTATTAGTGCTCAAGGTCAATAATATAAATGACTAAAATACACTTCTGAATAAAACAGATTTAAAGATAGAGGTAATTGAAGATGCGCACAGCTGATTAAACATTATAGGGTAGGTATATGTTAACAAAATGCTAGTAGGTACACATTTTAATGTGGATATGGTATATCATAAACCTCCTCCTCCTCCAATTCATTTTCATTAAAAAGCAGCTGACTTTACTCAGTAAAGTTAAATGCAAACTCTTCGTTGTTCATTTGCTCATGATATTAACACAATTATGCGTTTGTGGATACGTCTAGAATGAACGAGAAAATACACAATGACCTACATAGAAGTCACGTAGGACGTATCCATCCCCCAGATTTGAATTACAAATTTAAATTAATTTATTCTGGTTAGCATTTTTTTCTAAGAAGCTTAGATAATTAATACTCACAGTCTATTTTGGAAGCTATTGATAAAAGTCTGGATGTTGGGTGTCATATTGAATTCTAGCTTTCAAGTAAAACAATCAAGTTATTGAGCAATCCAGTTGAAAAACAATCGCAGAAGAATGATAAACTAACTTAATAACTGGGATTTAGTACAGAACCACGTAAAAGAGGCTTGGTCACTAAATAACGTTTACTTCGTAATTACGCAGAGCAAGCAGCTAAATTGATAATTCTATGGAAAATGTGACAGCTGGGATATTTTGTACTTGCGTCTAGTGATGTACGTCAATGATAATAATTATTTTATCGATTGTTCAATCTTTATAAATAGTTTTTTTCTTTATTTTTAGTATAATCATTCTTGATGAAGATAAAGTCAAATAGACCTAAATAAAATTGTTTCCGTGAGGGTTTAACATTTATGTATATGTATAATTAATTTATCTTTTAAAATTCAATATTTATTATTTGCTCTATGATGATGGGTTATTATTTTATCATCACACATAGATAATCGCACCGATACAATCTCTGAAGTACGGAAATGATTCCGTGAGCGATTATTGAAATAATAATGTAATATAAAAATAAAATATCGATATATTCTTATTTAATTCCATTGCTACATCACTATGGTTGGTGCTATTGACATTTGTGACGTAAAATTCATTAGCCAATAGCAAACCAACACGGTGAGTTCCGAAATCAGCTCGGCGCAAGGAGATAATTGTGTTCCGAACTTGTGATAATTTATTTTAATAATTTTTTGGGCACCACGTACTATAAAAATAAGACTACAATACTTACGTGTTCTATGATTGTAACGCATATTATAATATATAGCCTGACCAGGAACATAAAAACCCTCGCCATGTTGCGGAAAACTAATGGTACTAATTTCTTTTAATGGCAACAGTAACTGAAAACTTCATTCACATGTCACCATGCATGTCAGTCTATTGTTGTCAAAGTGTAAACAAACTTTATTTTAAATGTGTGCAATTGATTTCGTGAATTAAATTGCTAAAATATTTTATAGTCGTGAAAGAAAAGTGGTTCACGATGTGTTAATGTATTTGTCGAAGAAAAATACTAAGGGTTCGGACAATATTTTCATTGAACAATGTTTCCGACAAAGGTTGTCAAATTGACTGACACGTTTATCGTATGGTACAGTCCACTATGAAAATTAGCTGTAGTCTGTTTCAACTACCTATTTTAAAGTTTTTTGTCACTTTCTAAGTTTTGAATTTTATGGAATTGGGAAAGAAGTACCGAGTTTGAAGCGTCCATGAGCAGACATTGCAGTTGAATATTCATGTTCTGAATTTGATTATTGATGAACAATAAAATAAATCCTACTAGCTCGATTGATGGTTTCATTTAATTTATTTAAACCAGGTTCTCTTTAATAATATTTTTCGTTAATTTATGAAAATATCAAATTAGCTCGTAATCCTGAATCCTGATACATAAATTTAGCCTATTAATTTAACACATGTACGACTGTACTCAGTGTTGCACTATCAAATGCAATTGAAGCGCCTCTGTGCCAGGGTTTTTATGTTCCTGGTCAGGCTATAATTTGTGGTATTTTCTGGCGTTACCTGTGGCGTTACTTAATGTACAAGGATAGTATAATACTATAGTCTCGATCAGCAATATAAAAAGTTAAACGTGCATTGAAAGCTTGTTTAATATAGCCTATAGGAATGTCATTTTAAACCAGAGCCCCGATTACGGTAATTTTTAACGTCTCCAATCCAGACACGCTTCTCGATTCTGCGATACGATTGGTCGTTCAACAGCGTACGTCAGCTGTTTTGATCAATCGTATCGCAGAATCGATGAAGCGTGTCAGAGCCCCGATTACGGTAACTTTTAACGTTTCCAATCCAGATGCGTTTCATCGATTCCGCGATACGATTGGTCAAAACAGCTGACGTACGCTGTTGAACGACCAATCGTATCGCAGAATCGAGAAGCGTGTCTGGATTGGAGACGTTAAAAATTACCGTAATCGGGGCTCTGGTTTAAAATGACATTCCTATAGGCTATATTAAACAAGCTTTCAATGCACGTTTAACTTTTTATATTGCTGATCGAGACTATAGTATTATACTATCCTTGTACATTAAGTAACGCCACAGGTAACGCCAGAAAATACCACAAATTATAGCCTGACCAGGAACATAAAAACCCTGGCACAGAGGCGCTTCAATTGCATTTGATAGTGCAACACTGAGTACAGTCGTACATGTGTTAAATTAATAGGCTAAATTTATGTATCAGGATTCAGGATNATTTAAAAGGAAATTGATTTAAAGCTTGAAGTGCGCTCATGGAATCCGTAAAAATGACAACATTTTTAAGTCTATATAATTTTGCATATTCTATTGCTCTGAAAAGGCCAAAGCATTCCCCCGTAAAGACGGAGGATTCTGGAGGTAATTTGACTTTTTGGACAATTTTATACTGCGAGTGGAAAACCCCGACTCCAGTAATTTCTGTGCAAGAATGTTTAGATGCGTCTGTATATATGTGATGAAAACCATTATAATCNATACATACGTTTATACACAAATCAAAGCTTTATATTATTTACAGTAATAAACTTGGCTATACAATTATATACAACAGGATCTTTATGGAAAAGGAGAGACATTATAGAAGACGGGAAAGGAATGTGTAAGGAAGAGAGTTCCCGAAGGAAAGCAGAGCGGTCAAAACTAGGACAGGAGAAGAAAATATGGTTGATAGTGCCTGAATCGGTGCCACACTCACAAGAATCATCATTAATGATATGGAGTCTTGCGAGGTGAGAGGGTGTACACGTGTGACCCAACCTCATGCGTATGATAGATGAAGAAACTCTCTTATCAAATTTCAACTTGAAAAACCAAGGCTTTGTAGGTATTTGTGGCTGAAGAAGTGAAAAAAGAAAGCCTTTTGATTTGCAACTAATTTCCCAATCCGATTGCCAGGAAGAGTTTAAAGAAAGTTTGGGCAATGCTAGGAGATCATGACAATAACTCTGATAGGGAAACAAATCTCCACAGGAGACCGCCTCATTGGCAAGACGATCTGCAATTTCGTTACCTCTTATCCCACAGTGACTAGGAATCCAGGCGAAACAAACATTCAGGCCAAGTGAAATACATTCATAAAATAACTTTCTAATGTCATATATTACAGGGTACTGGTTTCTGGATTTAAAAGGAAATTGATTTAAAGCTTGAAGTGCGCTCATGGAATCCGTAAAAATGACAACATTTTTAAGTCTATAAATTGTGGTTACGTTTCGGTCCACGATCGCCACTTAATAGATTTCAACAATAAAAAGTATCATGTTTAAAATTATTTTTTTAATTTAATAAAAATGCAAGCATTATTATTTTTATATGATAAAACGAGATTTATATATAATAGAAACTAAAAATAAACTGTTCTATGTTAAGTTGATTGAGTATATTTCCATAAAAGGCAATACATAACCAAACGATGCTGCGTGTAATGGATAAAAGATGTAAAGTTATCATTTGTGTAAATGAAAACATACTTTTTTTGGTAAATGTTGCCATTATGTAAACATTTGAGAGCTGCTTAGCTGATCACGGCTTCAAATCCGTTGAGTAGCGTTTGAGAATACCATTTAAAATTGAAGGATACTTAAATTTAGGAGCCCGTCAGCTGAGTGACAGATTTGAGTAGTGTTTCAGTATTCGGCCGTAAAACTTTTATTGGGTGAGGTTCACTCCGCATTGAGCAGGCCAAATACCGAACAGGGAATGCGATACAGTCTCTGATAGCGAGGTCCCGCGTTCTCGGTTTCGTTTTTTTTTTTAGTTGTTGTTTAGTTGGTCATCATCATCTTCACTATTTCAGCCACAGGACGTCCACTGATGAACTTAGGCCTCCCTCAACGATTTTCATATTGCCCGGTTGGTGCCCCCAGCGCCTTCCTGCTACATTTATGAGGTCGTTTGGTCGGTTTTAGTGGGTAGGCCCAGTCTTTCTGACAAGGAAGCATCTTACAACCCGCTCACTACCCTTATGGCTGTTGGGTATGTAGCTTAGCCTACCAGCCGCCCGGTTGCAGACTACAGGCACTGACCAGTTCCTACAGGCACTGACCAGTTCCTACAGGCACTGACCAGATGGCGGCGGTGTCGGCGTAGGCGAAGACGTGTGCCACAGGCACTGACAATTTGCTACAAATACTGACCAGTTACTACAGACACTGACCAGATGGCGGCGGTGTCGGCGTAGTCGATGACGGCGTTGCAGCGTAGCGCTCGACGTGGGCTCTCGCCGCTGCCGTCGACTAGTTCCACGTGGCGTGTCGAACTAACTACATGACGGGGTTGTCAGCGATGTTGGCTGTCGTTACTACAGGCACTGACCAGTTACTACAGGCACCAACCAGATGGCGGCGGTGTCGGCGTAGGCGAAGAAGGTATGCCACAGGCACTGACCAGTTGCTACAGGCACTAACAGGTTACTACAGGCACTGACCAGATGGCGGCGGTGTCGGCGTAGGCGATGACGGCGTTGCAGCGTAGCGCTCGACGTGGGCTCTCGCCACTGCCGTCGACTAGTTCCACGGGCGTGTCGAACTGACTACATGGCGGGGGTGTCGGCGATGTCGGCTCTTGTTACTACAGGCACTGATCAGACTACAGGCACTGACCAGTTACTAAAGGCACTGACCAGTTGCTACAGGCACTGATCAGACTACAGGCACTGACCAGTTACTAAAGGCACTGACCAGTTGCTACAGGCACTGATCAGACTACAGGCACTGACCAGTTACTAAAGGCACTGACCAGTTGCTACAGGCACTGACCAGATGGCGGCGGTGTCGGCGTAGGCGGTGACGGTGTGCCACAGGCACTGACAAGTTGTTACAAGTGCGGACCACTGGCTACAGGCAATGACCAGTTACTACAGGCACTGACCAGTTGCTACAGACACTGNAAAGAGATGATGATGATGATGACCCACGCTGAACTGTTCCACCAAACTCAATGACAGGGGGGCGCTACCATCGTTCAACTACATGGCTTCCAACATGGCAAAAATCGGAACCAGCGATCCGGCATTGACGGTGGCGCCCCCCTGTCAATGTCATCGACAGGACAGTCCAGTATTTTGGAACTATACCCTTGTGGGATTTCAAAGATCTTTTTGCAGTTAGTTTACCTTGATCCTAGGCGGCGCTGGTGGCGGCAGCGCCGTAAGTCGGACGGCGGTGCCACTAGCGAGAGCCATGACGCAGCGCTCGCCGATCGCGATCTGTGTTTGGAGGTTGAATAGCGCGTTCGCACCCTGGAACAATCAATTTTAGTTACAGCTTTTAGTCTAAAGCCCGGTCTGTGAGCACGTAGAATTTTGTCCAATGACCCCAAGCTACCCATCCTTATCGCTCGCGCGTAATTATGTTGCTGTTGCGCTCGCACACTCACTGCGGGCGCCCGTCGCACAGTCGCGACAGAAATATAATTACGCGCGAGCGATAAGGATAGGTAGCTTGGGGTTATTGGACAAAATTCTACGTGCTTCGCGACCAGACTTTAGAAATCTTTGAATGCAGTTCTATTTCTTTTCCTAAATTAAGGAATGTTTCCTTTAAGTAAAATTTTCTACCTACAGTATTAAGATAAGAGTACTTTCCTTCCAGGTGGCATTACAAAATTCCACCCTGTATATCATTTATGATCAAAGTACCTGAATGTATCCTGAGCTAAGCAAGTAGTAGCTTGTGAAATACCAAAGCTAGACGTTATTTTTTAATACTGTTTTTTTTTTATTAGAGAGGGTAAGCTAGACGTTATTTTTTAAGTCCTGTTTTTTTTATTAGAGAGGGTTATGCTCCTCTCCTGCAGTGGAGACTAATGACCTGATAATGTTGATGGCTCTATTCTATTTTCTAATATTAATTACCTGCATACGTTTACGTACCGGAAAACGCAGCGTGGGACGTCCACCTACAAGGTGGACCGATGACATCGTAAAGGTAGCAGGGAAGCGCTGGACGCAGGCCGCTGCCAATCGATCAACGTGGAAAGCATTGGGGGAGGCCTATGTTCAGCAGTGGACGTCCTATGGCTGAAATGATGATGATGATGAATTACCTGCATCCTCAGCTTAGCCAGCAGCAGCTTATGCAGCTCGTACTCCAAGAACGGCAGCTGGTCAGATATGTCTCTTGCGCCCGGCTCGCCGGCCGGCGGCGCGCGGCGCGTGCGCGCGGCTATTCAAATTCAAATTCATTTATTTCACAGAAATACACGTCCATAAGTTTTTTTTAAAGATTATTATAGTCTGGTACGTGAGCACGTAGAATTTTGTCCAATGACCCCTAGCTACCCATCCTTATCGCTCGCGCGTAATTATGTTGCTATCGCGCTCGCACACTCACTGCGGGCGCCCGTCGCACAGTCGCGACAGCAATATGCAATTTTACACGCGAGAGATAAGGATGGGTAGCTTGGGGTCATTGGACAAAATTCTACGTGCTCACGGACCGGGCTTTAGCTTATTCTTATTATCTAAATAAATATAACTCAAAGGTGACTAAATGACTGACATAGTGATCTATCAATGCACAGCCCAAACCACTGGAAGGATCGGGCTGATATTTGGCTTGCAGACAGATGTTATGACGTAGGCATCCGCTAAGAAAGGATTTTACGAAATTCCATCCCTAAGGGGGTAAAACGGGATCCACGCGTACGAAGTCGCGGGCGGCCGCTAGTTCTTCAATAAATATAAAGTCCCACGCGCGTCTCGTAGCAATGTATAACTATGTGATCGTTTCTAGATTATGGATTTATCAGTAAGCAATCGTTTATCTTATGTAATTACTAACTAACACAAATGAATTAACTGTAGCTATACTTACCGACGGCAGTCAAAGTAACCGCTTTAGAGTAGGAGGCAAGTCTGCTGGGTTTAGAGCAAGTCGCTAGCAGCACCGCGGGCACTCGCGCTCGTCTGTGAATGTAAACTCTTATTATTGTGTGTTTTATTGGATAATCTTACCCATCTCAACATAATTATGACCATTGCCTTTTTTTAACCACATATACAAATAGTCCGGTCGCCGAGCACTTAGAATTTTGGCCAATGACCCCATCCTTATCGCTCGCGCGTAATTAAATTGCTGCGGCCGCATCGAGTGTGCGAGCGCGAGTGCAGTAAATTTTGAATATTTGGCTTGGTCTTAGTACTGAGCAGGCTGGCACCGACTCCGAGAATATCAATCATGGCATACATTTGTCCTAATAAATAAATAATGCAATTATTTTCTACTTTTTAGTGCAGGTTTTTTGGAGTCGATTTTAATTTTTATGTTAAAATTAATTTTTATTTACGTGAACGGGGTGTGGTATACATCTCATTTGCTACAGAAAAAAATGCCTTCTCTTAACTTTTAAAAGATTAATTAAGATAATTTCCAAAATATTTTAATTTTGAGTAAGTTAAATCATTATTTTGTATTTAAATTGAGTAATGCAGTTTTGACGATTGAATAAATTATAGCGAGAGCGACACCCCTACGTGTTTAGGCCATTATCGCTTGCTCGGGGCTCGAGTTGGCCTTCTTATTTGTTTTTTCTATGGCTGTAGTGAGTACAGCAATTACTCGCAATTTCTTTAAATGTGTGCGGTGTGGTCCTTCTGCCTACTACTGAAGAGAAGCCTACTGCAGAACACTCATAAATCAACTTTATGAGTTTTCTGCAGTAGGCCTGGTGTTGTACGTACCTGCAGCCGCCGCATGTGGATAACTCCGCGCGGTAGGGCCCGGCGCCCGGCGAGTAGGGCACGTGCGCTGCGGAGCACTCGCTCTCTACTTCTTCTATTGTTGCTTTGGATGTACCGTTGGCCACTGGAAAGACATAACCTTTTAATATCATCATCATATCAGCCACATGACGTCCACTGCTGAACATAGGCCTCCCCCAATGATTTACCAGTTAGACCGGTTAAAGCCCGGTCCGTGAGCACGTAGAATTTTGTCCAATGACTCCAAGCTACCCATCCTTATCGCTGGCGCGTAATTATATTGCTGTCGCGACTGTGCGACGGGCGCCCGCAGTGAGTGTGCGAGTGCGACAGCAACATAATTACGCGCGAGCGATAAAGATGGGTACTAATGGGTAGCCTGGGGTCATTGGACAAAATTCTACGTACTCGCAGGCAGACCAGACTATAGTTGTGAACATTCAGTGTACTCCTGCCATCTTTATAAGGTCCTGTATATGACATCGGTCCAGGAGATAACATGGTACACAACAATTTCATGAGATTTAGAATGAATTCAGATCAGTGACTAGACAACCCAAGACAGTCCAAAGGTTACTACAAGGTTCGAGACTATATTAATGACAAGGATGCGTGGTCAGTTCAGTCTGCACATATTTGATGTACTTGAATTTGGTTATTCTTCTTACCGTTAGATAATTCCTGGCAATTAGCGGTGACTGAGTTGGTTCCGGCGTTTCTTCTCAGCACTTGCCATATGTTTGTCTCGAAGCGCTGGTAGGGCCCAAAAGATAAGGAGACATGTAAAGTGCCCTATAAGGGCTACCTTTTCTTTTTAATTATTTTCTATATTTTGACGTTCATAAGTGCCACTTGTGGTCTAAACTAAATAAATATTTTTGATTTTGATTTTTTTGATTGTCTTGTCGCCTTAGAACAAGGAAAGCCGACCAAAAAAGCACAGCAAAAGAAAAAGACAAATTACCTGACATAGCAGCGTCCAACTCTGCGTTCATGTCGCAATCAAGATTAATCACAGCTGCCGTGCCCGATGCTGATAGCACGCACACGTCTTCACTGGAATCGAAAAAAAAAACAAATATTAAATCGTAAAAAATATGTCTGTCGAGTTAGCTATAGTCTGGTCTGTGAGCACGTAGAATTTTGTCCAATGACCCCAAGCTACCCATCCTTATCGCTCGCGCGTAATTATGTTGCTTTCGCGCTTGCACACTCACTGCGGGCACCCGTCGCGCAGTCGCGACAGCAATATAATTACGCGCTAGCGATAAGGATGGGTAGCTTGGGGTCATTGGACGAAATTCTACGTGCTCACAGACCGGGCTTTAGTATAGTATAGTAGACGTAAGCCTCAATCATCAGATACGGTTGTGTCTACTAGGAGACTAAAACTTTTATTGGGTGAGGTTCACTCCGCACTGAGCAGGACAAATACCGAACAGGGAATGCGATACAGTCTCTGATAGCGAGGTCTCGGTCTTGTTTTTATTTTATGCTGTTTAGTTGGTCATCATCATCTCCACTATTTCAGCCACAGGAGGTCCACTGTTGAACTTAGGCCTCCCTCAACGATTTTCATATTGCCCGGTTGGCGCCTCCAGCGCCTTCCTGCTACATTTATGAGGTCGTCTGGTCGGTTTTACTGGGTAGGCCCAGTCTTTCTGACAAGGAAGCATCTTACAACCCACTTACTACCCGTATGTAGCTTGGCCTACCAGCCGCCCGGTTGCAGACTACAGGCACTAACCAGTTACTAAAGGCACTGACCAGTTACTACAGGGCGGCTAGCACGAAAAACTTTCGAGTTCAAATCGTTTACGTGCTCGAATCGCCATCAAAAGATTTAGTACGAAAACTACAACAGCGCCCTTGTGAACGTGGCGTAAGGTGAAATTGGTATGAGAAATGGTTGAACGAAACTTATTTTGAGAATCAAAATTATTGTCACGTTATCGTTTAATTCGAAGGTTGAGTATCGAATTTTGTCGAATACGCAAACGATTCGAAGACGAAAGTTGTTCATGCTAGAGGTACAGGCACTGACCAGATGGCGGCGGTGTCGGCGTAGGCGATGACGGCGTTGCAGCGTAGCGCTTGACGTGGGCTCTCGCCGCTGCCGTCGACTAGTTCCACGGGCGTGTCAAACTGACTACATGACGGGGGTGTCGGCAATGTCGGCTCTCGTTACTACAGGCACTCATCAGACTACAGGCACTGACCAGTTACAACAGGCACTGACCAGTTACAACAGGCACTGACCTATTACTAAAGGCTCTGACCAGTTACTACAGGCACTGACCAGATGGCGGCGGTGTCGGCATAGGCGATGACGGTGTGCTACAGGCACTGACAAGTTGCTAAAGGCACTGACCAGTAACAACAGGCACTGACCGGTTACTACAGGCACTACCAGTTACTACAGGCACTGACCAGTTACTACAGGCACTGACCAGTTACTACAGGCACTGACCAGTTACTACAGGCACTGACCAGTTACTACAGGCACTGACCAGATGGCGGCGGTGTCGGCGTAGGCGATGACTGCGTTGCAGCGTAGCGCTCGGGCGTGCGCTCGCAACTCAGTGCGTAGTTCGGCCCACCACGCCGCTCGGGCCGCGCTCTCCCCGCCGCCGTCCACAAGTTTGACGGAGCGGGCGCATACCGTGCCACCTGCGACGATAACTTATATTTAAACTAGCGGCCGCCCGCGACCTGCGACGATAACTTATATTTAAACTAGAGGCCGTTTGATTAAAAAATGACGATAGATGGCGCTTTTTAGGCCCAGTTTTTTGATTCATAGTTAAAATAACAAATTGTTAAATTTTGTTACTAATGGTTAAATATTAACAAAATGTCAACTAATAGTTAAAAAATGTACTAAAAGTCAAGGTAACCATTGTTTGAAAAACATTTTTTTCTGATAATTAACCACTTGTCATTTGACATCTGTCAAATTTGACTATTGGTTATTTTAACTACGAATCAAAAAACCGGTCCTTAGACACGTCCTATTTATTTATTGAAATTTATTTTTCACATATCGTCATAAATTATAGCCTATATGTTAATCTGTAAAGTTTCAACAAAATCCGTTCAGTAGTTTTTGCGTGAAAGAGTAACAAACATCCAGACATCATGACATCCAAACTTTCGCCTTTATAATATTAGTAGGATCTTTAACCCCTTAACACAAATTCCAAGTTTAGTTAACAATTAAATCGCAACTTGCTACTAAATTCTGTGTTTTACATGCAATTAATCACTTCAAATTAAGTTTTAATACGTGTGAATCAGCCTGAACTGTCGAGAAAATGTATACTAATCTAAGTATAAAAAAATGTTTATGTCCTACCATATTACAGCTAAGAACTAACTGATGATCTTGTCTTACAAGATAAAAAAAATATGACCTTGTCCTACAAGACAAATCTAGCCGATGACCTTATTCTACAAGACAAGTACCAGCCAATGACCTTGTCTTAAAAGACGAGAACTAGCTAATGACCTTGTCTTAAAAGATGAGAACTAGTCAATGACCTTGTACTGCAAGACAAGAACTCACCGATGTGAACTATAAATCCAGGCGGGTACTCGCTCATGGTGAGGAAGGGGTATTCAAGCATCTCCAGATTGTTGCTGTTCATGGACGGCCGCAAGATGGCGCCACCGCCGCTACCCGTGTTCACCGCCGACGTGTTTAGAGAGCTTCCTAAAAGTAAAAGTGATAATAAACTATAATCTGGTCTGTGAGCACGTAGAATTTTGTCCAATGAACCCAAGCTACCCATCCTTATCGCTCGCGCGTAATTATGTTGCTATCGCGCTCGCACACCCACTGCGGGTGCCAGTCGCACAGTCGCGACAGCAATATAATTACGCGCGAGCGATAAGGATGGGTAGCTTGGGGTCAATGGACAAAATTCTACGACTATAGCAGTGTGAGTGATATTGACATCGAACGAGTTAGGCAGTGAGCATTAATCAGGACTGTTTTCTTCGTCAGAAAGTTAGGCCCAATTTCCACCAAGTGTTTTGTTGAATAACCGGATTTCATTATTCAGGAAATCAGAAATTCTGATTCGTTACTGAAAACACTTCTCTGCTTCGCATCGGTGGAAACTAGGCCTTACAATCAATTTTCTGGAACTTAACATGTGTAAGTAGGTATATGTTCTTAAACGAAAGGTAAATTTAATTAATACACATAATAAATGGAAATAAAAGTGCATGTTTTGAGGAAAAAATAGAAACTGAAAGAAACTGAAATTATTTTTGTTTGAAGCTTTGAAGACATACCTTTTGGCGTAACACTGAGATCAGAATCCGACGACCTCCGATGTATCCCGAGCGGCGTCGACGACGAATTCAGCGACGCGTTTTGCGTGTGAGTGGGCGGCGCCGGCTCACGGCCGCCGTACGACTCGTGGCGCGCGTGACGCGGCGATCCCTTGTCTCGCTCGCTCCTATCCCGCTCTCGCTCGCACCTGCCGACACCGCACGCTGCATGCGAGTTACCACACACACTAGCGCTGTTAGTGTCACACTTATCTCTCTCTACGCCGTCTACGTCTAAGCTCTCGGTACGGTCGAAACTCTCAGGCAGTGACGGTATGGTCTCTAATGGTGCACCGCTAAGTATAGGATGGAAGTGTTGAAGGACCGGCTGTTTTCGTTTGGGGTCTTCGTTGGACATTTTGAACGACTCGGCATCTGAATCAACGCTGTCTTGCCTGACTAAACGTTTGTCCTTGGAACCTGATGATTCTAGCTTTGGCTTAGCATTATCATCTGTGGCTTCAGTATCAGGAAGAAGCGACTGAACTTTGTCGATGAGCATTGTCTCCATTGCAGTATGGATTAAGCCTGTTGGATGGTCCGACTTACGATCATGATCATCTTTTTTCGAAGGGTGAAACATGGACTGGACTTTATCTACAAGGATTGATTCCATAGCTGAAGAAGTTAAGCTAGTGGATTCAGGTTTAGGGGCGTCCTCTAATACTGCTAGTTTAGAACTGTCAATGTCTACAACCGTGGGGTCTATCAATGATTGCACTTTCTCCATAAGTATAGTTTTGACAGCAGTGTTTATGAGACCACCAGATTCAGGCTCTTTTTTAGCTTTTTCTGGTTCGTATCTTTTATCTTTACTCTCAGTTGAATGTTCTGCAGGAGCATTAAAAGGTATTGGAGAAGTAAATAACGACTGAACTTTATCCATCAGGATAGTTTCCATTGCAGTATGCACTAAACCAGAAGATTCTTTCTCTTTCTTCTTTTCCTTGTGAGATGTCGTCTCACTAGTGTATGATTTTTGATCATCATTACTCGATTCATCTGGGGTGTTCAAAATGTGGCTTCTCTTAATGGCATCATCAAAGTTTTTATTGGTTGGACTACACTCGGGTGTAGTAGGCGTCAGCAAGGACTTGACTTTATCCATTAGTATAGTTTCCATAGCAGTATGGACCAATCCCGTTGTTTCTGTAGTACTATTTCTTGCTTCTTCGACTTTCTCCAACTTTTCATTGACGTCATCAAAGAATTGCCTGTTAACATCAGAGGGTTCAGGAGACGTCGGTAGAAGCAATGATTGCACTTTATCAATGAGTATGGTTTCCATTGCAGTGTGAACTAGACCAGTGGGTTTGATAGCAGATTTGTCTTTCCTGTGCAAGAATTCACTATGACGCCTTGAGAGGGATGAGTCCCTAGCATGCTCCGGGAATAATGTACCACTTAATGACGCTCTCGATACAGGCTCTGAGCCTATGTACATTGAAACTTTAGCGCGTTCGAATTCATCATTGCTTTTGTGCAATTTATTCTTTTCTGTATACTCCTTGTCTAAGCTAAGCAAATCTGCGTATGAAAGAAAGGGAGAGCCTAAAACGGTCTCACTGGGAGCTTTAGAAGTAACGTCAGAAGACGACCCAGGCTGGCTCATAGGGGTTTTGGTTTCAACTTTTTTCTTAGGGATTAAGGAGTAATGCGAAAGGCTTTTTATCATGCTGTTTTTGGAGAGCTTCGAAAGCTGTCGTTTGATGCGCTTGGAGGAGCGATATACAAAGCTTTTGTTTTCTACCGGCGAACATGGTGCGCTAATACTGTTGGACTTTTTATGGTGTGCAAAGGGGTTGTGGAACTTAAACTGGTGGTTATTTGATTTTGGGACTACAAACGTGCTGTGATCCGTTTCACTGGACGTGGATGCATACGCCTGGTGTTTGCTAATGCCTTCTTCTATTTTCTCATTCTTATTATTGTCAATGTCAACTTCTTTAGCTGGTACATTTATAGTTGGCGGTGGCGGTGGCGTAACTTCAGTAACTTCTTTAAGATCAGTCTGTTCAATTTGTTTATTCAAATTATCGACGCTTGATACTTCGAGGACGCTCAATTTTTTATCCACGTGAGCAACGAGCGTTGGGTCGACTATATGATTCATCACGTAGCGAACCACAGAACTCGTCGTTTCAAATGATTTCTCTGTATCAGTTCTCTGATCAGAGCTTTCGTAGTCTTCGTCAGAGCTGGTGTATATTTCTGAACTATCGCCAGATAGGGCAGAAGATACCGAGCCAAAATAACCCGCTTCACCAGGGAGTTTCAGAAGATTGTCACTTCTGCCAGCCACTGGAGTGTTGGGACAAGACTCTGACAGTTTTCTGTGACGCTCCGGTATAACAATTTCTTCGGAACTTATATTTTTTAGAGAAGAAAAATGAATTTCTGGGACATCCTTAGAACATGTTTCATCTACACTTGCATCTGAAGATGTTGCTACAATAACTTTGGGTTTTACTTCATCGACGTTAATAGTTGGTTCTGATTCACTAGTTCGGCGTAAAGTCGAGTTTGGTGAATGTTCAGAATCTTGAGTTTCAGCAATGCATGCAAGGCTTGTGTGTGCGTGCATGACTGATCTGGCGAGAATCGATGCCATTCCTACGCCTTGATCTTCAGGATTAGCAAAAGTCTTTCGAAACTTGGGCTTTTTGATTCTTTTGAACTTTTTTATTTCATTCTTTATATCAACTAGGGATATACGAGACGTATCAGACGAGTTTGACTTTATTGAAATCGCGTCATCTTGTTTTTCTGATTTTCTCGATGAGCGCATGCTATTGAGTCTTTTGAGGAAGAAGCTGGTTTTGAACTTTTTTATTTTCTTCAGCGGTCCTGGCGAGTCTGAGTCATCTTCGACGCGATTCAGTAGTCTATTTAATTCGGATTGATCTTCTGCGATGTGCATTAGACTTTTTTGGGATACGTAATCGTCTTGATATATGGAGACGGAGCCAGCATAGCTTTTGATGCTGGATTGCCTCGTGAGGATGCTTTTATCGTCATCTTCTACGTTGTCCGTTTCATCTAGAAGGGAGGATCCTTTAGGGTTCAGTATAGTGAGTAGCTTCTGCAATTCATCTTGGTGACTTTGATAGTACTGATTGAGGTCTGTGATACTTTCGTCGTTGGTCGCCAAAATGTCCAAACACTTTCTTAGCTGTCTATTTACGTTTATGTACAAATACAAGCGGACACACGACAAACCATGCAAAAGTTTTCAATTAGTATTTTATGTTCAAATACACTTGTTTATTTAATTATAAGTAAGAACATTGAAAACAACAATGAAAGCTGACCTTAAGGAACTGAGAAACTTTGACTGTTAAGTAGTTTAAATATTTACATTTTCTAAATTTTTTTATAGGCGAAGAGTTAGAGCTGAACTTGTTACCGTTAAAAATTTTGCTACACGGGGTTTTCAAAGTGCTACATTGTACAGATTGTATAGTCCCCATCAAAAGGAAAAGGTATATTTTAAGTTTAAACATAATTTTCTCTCTATAAAATTGGGGAACCTTCATTAGATTTAGTATTATGCGTGATTTGTACATACTTAGTAATACCAATAGTAAAAACTACTGAGACACTTATCAATCTAAAATCATAGGTAACATACACATTCTAAATCTAAACCATATGAGTAGAGATAAATCAAATTATTCCAAAATAGATAATGATTATTCTGAAAGGAGTTGCAGACAGTGATACAAAAATAGGAAGAGGAAAGTATTAGGAAGTTAGAGGATTAGGAGCATGGTAATAATAGGCAGGGTACTCACCTGCCATGTAGCACGTAACGTAGCATGTAACGTAACCAACCTTCAAGTGAGTACGGCTCGTCCACGGTCATCGCGTATCTAAAGCGCGGCCAACGCTCGCACACTCACTGCGGGCGCCCGTCGCACAGTCGCGACAGCAATATAATTACGCGCGAGCGATAAGGATGGGTAGCTTGGGGTCATTGGACAAAATTCTACGTGCTCACGGACCAGGCTTTAGCAGAGATACAAAAGGTCGATTTGACTGTCGAATTGACAATCTATTCTGTCTCTTCCCATCTTGTGTATTTGTCGTAATATCTCGTTCTCCCGCCAAAATATGTCAAAGTTAGACGGGTTTGTCAACATTCGGACATCCATTTTTGTATACATAGTTGTTGCAATTCACGAGGGCGAATCTGTTACTTGTCGGTTCTTATTTTATTATTCCGATATATTTAAGTCTTTATTTAAGAAAAAGGGGTAGGCCTGTTGCCATACACAGGGCACATTGTGAGGCAGAAATGCTATTATTATTCTTGTTATTTAATTTAAATCTACATTAGACAATAATTCAAATTATAACAAAAACATCTATTTTTATGATTTGACAGATATTTTTCAAAACTGTATCGTCTACAAAAATATTTAATCTAACCATTAAATAGTTATGCACCCTTGCTATTCCAAATTTAAATGACATTGGGTTTGTTTACATTTGGTATCGCTTCTTGTTGGCCCTACTTTAGCTGCGAGCTCCTGGATCCTACTGCAAGCCGCCTTTGTGCTCGCAATGATACAGTATCTGACTATCTGATACATTACATGCTACACGGCTAGATGAGTACCCTGCTAGAGGAGGTGCCATATAGAGATGGGTTATACTAGGTGCACCTATTCCTAGTATTTATTAATACTCGATCCAAATACCTATTCCACCTAGTACGTAGTAATTTAGCATATTGGCGCGACTAGTGCGGTCTTATCCACGTAATATGACTATAAAATACAATTTTCTTAGAAAAGATACAACCGCAGTATGAATATTGCAATTTGAAATTGAATAATAATTCATACTTCAACAGGCTTAGGACTGTTATTTAATTTGTAGCGTTAAGAGTCGCATCTCAAACTAATTTGAAAATTATAAATAACTTGAAATTTTTTCAAGTTATTTATAATTTTCAAAATAGGCTTAGGACTGTCAACTTAAAAGTCGGCGTATTTAAAAGATATCAATTTCATAAAAATATTCACATATTTTATTCTTTTTTACATGAATTTACATGAATATGGTTTGACTACGTTTGTGTGCGTTTGTTTCGTCGCGCTCAAATTTGTTTGGTCAGACAGAGACGGAGTGAATCTCTACGTTCGCACATAAGCTAGAAATACTCGGTGCGCGTAATACACGACTAGGTACGGATTACGCAACAATAACCTCTATTACTTTGATGGTAGGGTCGGAAATCGTGTAATTTATAAAATATTAGGTGGATCAAGTATTTAAAAAATTGGAATAGGTGCCGCTTAGTACTGTAAAATAACTAGTGTGTGGATCTGTTCTAGTAAATACGTCTCGTGCCATATTGTGTATCATGTATAACACTCACTGCTGTGTGCAAGGAGGCCCACTCGTTGCCTGGCTCGCGCTCGGGACTGGCGTGATACTGACTGCGGTTCCTGTGGGATACAATAATATTCAGTTGACAGCACAAAAAAAAGCTTTTAGAAGACAATGACACTTATTGCAACTAAGAGTAGGCGGCGCACACCGTTGATTTTTAGTTGGCCGATAGTTGTGCCCGATTTTAAATTGTATGAAGAATCGGCCAAATCGAATCGGCGTAGTGTGCGCACTCCCATACATGCCCATACTGATCAACTGCTCGACTAAACTATCGGCCGACGAAAAATCAACGGTGTGCGCCTACTCTAAAATAAGATTCAAGATTTTTATAATTCGCTAGTGTGAAAATCAGACTTTCGAAGAAATACCCACTTGACACTTTACATTTATCGTCGTATTGTGGTCAATAAATTATAGCCTTTATGTTATTTTGATGTACAGTACTGTAAAGTTTCATGAAAATCCATGAAGTGATTTTTGCGTGAAAGAGTAAACATTCTTCTATCCATCCTCACAACCTTTTTATCTAAAAATATATATAACTCAAAGGTGTATGACTGACTGACTGACTTACATACATACTGACTGACTGACATAGTGATCTATCATATCATGCAGGTAGGTGTTATGACGTAGGCATCCGCTAAGAAAGGATTTTACGAAACTCCACCCCTAAGGGGGTAAAATGGGATCCACGCGTACGAAGTCACGGGCGGCCGCTAGTTTAAAATATTAATAACAACTAGCGGCCGCCCGCGACTTCGTACGCGTGGATCCCGTTTTACCCCCTTCATCTATCTTACGCGGTTTAGATTTTTTCATACAAATGATTTTTCCCGCTAACTCCCGTTCCCTTGGGAATTTTGCAATATCCTGTTGTAACTAAGCTTTAAGTTTACTAAGGTACCTGCATATTAAATTTCAAGCGTCTAACTTAAGCGGTTTAGATTTTTCATACAAAAGGATTTTCCCGCTAATTCCCGTTCCCGTGGGAATTTCTAAGTATACTATAACCTGCCCAGGAGTATGTAGAATATTGTACCAAGTTTCGTCAAAATCCGTAGAGTAGTTTTTGTTTCTATAAGGAACATACAGACAGACAGACAGACAGACAAAAATTTTACTGATTGCATTTTTGGCATCAGTATCGATCACTAATCACCCCCTGATAGTTACTTTGAAAATATATTCTAAAGATTTATTATAAGTATAGATAAGGGAATAGGATGATACATACCAATGGCTCTGGCCACGACTCCTGCCTCGCCCTCCAAGTCGAAGTCTTGTTGGTAGCCCACCACAGCATTCGCGCCCAGCTCGGCTGCCTTCAAGCCCACTAGGCGTTGCACCTGTCAATAAATATTCAATACATGAGATACCTACTTAAAAGACAGCTGGCCAGAATAATATACGTAGAAAACACTCAGTCCAAAAAAAGCTAAATCTACTAAAGCCTGGTCCGTGAGCACGTAGAATTTTGTCCAATGACCCCAAGCTACCCATCCTTATCGCACACTCACTGCGGGCGCCCGTCGCACAGTTGCGACAGCAATATAATTACGCGCGAGCGATAAGGATGGGTAGCTTGGGGTCATTGGACAAAATTCTACGTGCTCACGGACCAGGCTTTATATAAAAATAAGTCGGGTTTTCCTTCCTGACGCTATAACTCTAGAACGCACGAACAGATTTCCACGGTTTTGCATTCGTTGGAAAGGTCTCGGGCTCCGTGAGGTTTATAGCAAAGAAAATTCAGGAAAATTTAACAAACGAAATTCCACGCGGCCTCGGGCGGAAAGCTAGTTACCTAATATATTATTTGAGGAGCGACGAAACAAAAATAGAAGTACTCAAGACGCAAAAATGACATGACACATGTTATGGCATCATTTTTTTAAATCCTAGCCGTAGTTGATTTTAAATCAAAATAATATCAACTATGACTTTCCCCGCCTACCCACTAAAACCCGACGGTTTCCACCAGAGCCCAAAGAAACGGAGCCGCGAGTTATTTATTATTGGCGATTTTGATACAGTGTTACAATTAAAACAGTTTATTTTGACAATAATTTTTACTCATGATAATTTTATCGATTCCATCGATGGCGACAGCAAGAAAAAATACTTATTTTATACCTACATTTTCAAATCGGTACCATTATTTGAAAAAGTTGCTATTCATCGCCGGCGCAACCACGACGAAATTTTGTCAGTGTGTGCGTGCGCGCCGCATACGTGTTGGCTCGCTCACATACAAACCGCGCCCGTGCGTTTCTATGAAGATGACCTACTCATTTGTATTTACTCTGTATTCATACATAATGACCACAAACCTGGTTGCTGAGCTTAATAAACGCGACCTGCCTAGCCTCGTTGGACGCCCGCGGCGTGCGTATCTTGTCGATCCACTGGTACTCTGGGTCATCGTTCACCACCAACTCCTCGACGAAGCCGTGGATGGAAGTTGCCCTGTAGCCGGGCGGGATCATAGGGCCTGCGAAGATGATTAACGCATGTATTCACAAACATTACTATGAGGTCTCACAGTGCGCGTGGACGCACAGGGTCACACATGAACCAATCACAGAGCTCTATTCAACGCTGTGCGTTCGATTTGCTGCTTCACTTAAGCAAGTATCGTTTGTAAATACGGGTGTAAGTAAAGTAGGTATAAATAACTTTAGAATAAATATGAAAAACGATATATGTGCCTACAAAATTTAAGGGTTGCCCTCGATTTCCCTAGGATCCCATCATCAGATCCTGACTTGACCTGACGTTATATCATAAAAGCTGATTTTAATATAAAATATTAGGGCAATAATAAGAAGTAGTTTCCTCATCAGCCAGACAGTTTTGACAGTTCCAACTCCTTGCCAGACAGTTTTTTTAGGATAGCTGCCAAAGCCACGATGACCCAAACTTCATGATTCACCAACATTCTATCATATATTGGGAGCATACGCTGACAAACTTTCAGTTTTTTAAAATGACGTAGGTCTGGCGTTCACTAGCTCTTAGTCTATTTTACAAAACATCAAACCACAACTTACAGTGAAAGAACTGGACTCCACAACTGGAAGTCTTGTACTTGTTGAAGTCGGAGAACAGTTCGACCTTCACGATGACGTTCAGTTCGCCTCGGATGCCGTGCATCGTGTCGAACACCGGTATCCAGCCTGACATCACCGCGCCTGGACAAACAACGGACAATAAAGGAGGAGATAGTTGCGGGTTGCAGACCAGAGCTAAGCTAAGTTAGTTTAGCTTTCCACGCATAGCTGACGACTTTCCCATAGTGTTTATGGTAACTATGGAGTTACACGACTAAGTACGTCCACGGCGGCGTAGTNCTCGAACAGTACTATAGTCTGGTCTGTGAGCACGTAGAATTTTGTCCAATGACCCCAAGCTACCCATCCTTATCACTCGCGCGTAACTTGCTGTCGCGCTTGCACACTCACTGCGGGCGCCAGTCGCACAGTCGCGACAGCAATATAATTACGCGCGAGCGATAAGGATGGGTAGCTTGAGGTCATTTGATAAAATTCTACGTGCTCACAAACCGGGCTTTAGACACGTACGCTTCATTGTACTCATGGTGTACGCCTGCTTGCAGCTTACATACAAAACAAAGTAACTCTGTCGACGGAGCGGCAGCGTCGCCCACGCGACATAGTATGGAAACGTACAAATACGCGTGCGTGGATAGTTTTAGTAAGCTACGCCATCATGGACAGTGGCGCAAAGTACGCAGTTTTACACACAACTATGGAAAACTGTGTTAGCTATGCGAGCTAAGGAAGACTATCTTAGCTTTTGGTCTACAGCCCGCATACAGCCCGTATGCAACGCAACACACCAAACTAGGAAACGAGGGTGCGGTTGCAACTGTCAATATTTTAGCTCATTTGCTTCTTTGAAATCGGTATCTGAAGTCTGAACATAGTTTCTGTTATGATCATATTTTTAGATGTTCATAAAAGGAAAACGTTACCAAAACCTATCGATGAACCTGTTTGTCTTTCTAATCAATACTCGTGTCGATTGCTATAGTACGGCACAGAACGGATATAGAGATCGGAGATTCGGAACGGAGAAGGAGCCTTCCATTAGGTGGACCGACGATCTAGAGAAGGTTGCGGGAAGCGCTTGGATGCGGGCAGCGCTGCAGTGTAGGACAGAGCCCCGATTACGGTAACTTTTAACGTCTACAATCCAGACGCGCTTCATCGATTCTGCGATACGATTGGTCAAAACAGCTGACGTACGCTGTTGAACGACCAATCGTATCGCAGAAGAGAGAAGCGTATCTGGATTGGAAGCGTTAAAAGTTACCGTAATCGGGGCTCTGATCGTTGTTGAAATCCTTAGCTTAGGGGAGGCCCTTTCTCCAGCAGTGGACGACATTAACGTTTAGGGACACGCTTTTTCAAGGCGACGAAACCACTTTTGTCATTTTTTATTCTACCCAATGAGACAATCTTGCAAGGGTCACAAATGTATGTAATGGTTTGACAGTTGTTATCGTACCCTTACCTAAGCTTAAGAGACTAGTGATCAAATGAAGATATACATAGGTAATGAAAGGGCTAGAAGCAACAGCGCAATGTACATTTTGCAATACCTGCTAATATCTACATAAGAAATCAGTTACGAACTTTGTAAGTCGCACCGTTTTTCTCCATCGAGAATCCCTTTTTTTTCTTGAGTGTGATGAACGTGTGAAACAGAAATCACAATTAGAACACACAAAAACCCATAGTATTATCTCTTAGCAAACTGAATAAGTAGGTATTTATGATACTTGAAGAAGACAGTGTAGTGTAGCCATATTTTTAATTTTTACGCCTAAAAATATTACATTTGGGAAAGTGGTTTGCTTATTTACTTACTGTATAAAATTCATTCATTATTATTTATTTCATTTAAGAGTTTTTAAATGTAATCTATATTCTAAAGCATTAATTCTGACATTAAATAGCACTCTTAAGGTTCGGCCAAACCAACGCGATCAGCCGGCGTGCAGCGATGGCGACCAGACTTAAATGCATTGATCGCCATCGCTGCACGCCGGCTGATCGCGTGTGATCGCGTTGGTTTGGCCGAACCTTTAAGGCTCATACCACCATGAGGAGCAGCGGCCTTCGCGTTGTTGGCTTCCCTGGCCAGCAGTGGTGCAAGACTGATGACGACTTTGCCAATAGCATCGTTGGCCGAGTAGGTGTCGTGGTCCATGAGCCTGAGCTGTAGAGGCTCATCCTGCAGCTCTGATTCGTCTACCTGGAATGTTAGTCAAAGTCAAAATTTCTTTATTTGTTTAGATTAGACTAATAAATAGTTCTTACAAATCGTCATTTTGCTCTGGCCTCAGCCTCGAGTTTAGCGGGCAGCGGGGCGGGAGCGGCGGCGGCGCGGGAGCGCGGCAGGATCTTATGCGTAAAATCAAATAGACCGGTTCTCGAAAACAGCGGCGCGGGAGCGGGCATCGAGCGGGCAACGAGCGGGCAGCGGGCAACGAGCGGGCAGCGCACTCCTTCTGCCCCGCTGCCCGCTAAGTTCGAGGCTGAGGCCTTAGGAGCCTCTACAAGTCTCATAACCTTTTTACCCTACCAGTGCTTCGAGACCAACATTTGGCAAGTGCTGAGAAGAAGCGCCGCAACAAACTCAGTATTAGATAATAATATGTAACTTTGAGTTGGTACATACACATGTATGTATGTATGGATACATGACTCCATTGTGTGGTTTGGCAGTTAGAATGGTAGTTCTGAATTCGATTACATACAAACAAACATCACACAGCCTTCAATCTACAGTTCTTGCAATAAAAGAGTTATCAAATTAATTTAAAGTTTTTGTTAGTTAATAGTTATTAATCGTAAAATATGTGTTTAATTAAATCACGTAAATTATAAAGAACTACTTGTGGTAATTTTGTGTGAATAGAAATAAAAGTATTAAGGGAGGGATGATAGCACAGGCGATGGTTCAGCTACATTTGCCAAAATACTGAATACATAATCTGTGATCGAAGTATGTACCTAAATATGCAATGAGAGACAAGAAATATGCCATACAGACTGAATGCCAAAAGATAAAGAGATATTAAAGCTATTTTTGCACCTGTAGTAAATATTGTATGTGCTTATTATTTCAATTTAATTTTATGACATACAGTNATTTCATTGAAGAGTTTTTAAATGTAATCTAAATTCTAAAGCATTAATTCTGACATTAAATAGCACTCTTAAGGTTCGGCCAAACCAACGCGATCAGCCGGCGTGCAGCGATGGCGAGACTTAAATGCATTGATCGCCATCGCTGCACGTCGGCTGATCGCGTGTGATCGCGTTGGTTTGGCCGAACCTTTAAGGCTCATACCACCATGAGGAGCAGCGGCCTTCGCGTTGTTGGCTTCCCTGGCCAGCAGTGGTGCAAGACTGATGACGACTTTGCCAATAGCATCGTTGGCCGAATAGGTGTCGTGGTCCATAAGCCTGAGTTGTAGAGGCTCATCTTGCAGCTCTGATTCGTCTACCTGGAATGATAGTCAAAGTCAAAATTTCTTTATTTGTTTAGATTAGAGTCTAATCTAAACAAATAAAGAAATTTTGTCTAATCATTAGACTAATAAATAGTTCTTACAAATCGTCATTTTGCTCTTAAGGAGCCTCTACATGTCTCATAACCTTTTTACCCTACCAGCGCTTCGAGACCAACATTTGGCAAGTGCTGAGAAGAAGCGCCGCAACAAACTCAGTATTAGATAATAATATGTAACTTTGAGTTGGTTAATATGACCATACATGACTCCATTGTATGGTTTGGCAGTTAGAATGGAAGTTCTTAATTCGATTACATACAAACAAACAGTGAAAAATCACACAGCCTTCAATCTACATCTCTTGCAATAAAAGAGTGAGTTACCAGATGTTAGTTAAAAGTTATTCGTTTCAGCCAAAAAAAATTAATAGTAAAATAATAATAAATAAATAAATAATAAATAAATATCCTTAGACATTTTACACTGCGCTTCTAGTCCCAAACTAAGCAAAGCTGTACTATGGGTACTATAATAATGTAATTAATTCATTCACTATATCTATGTAGTAATTTTGTTTATTTTTATTTTATTTATTGCACACACAAAAAAACGGTACAAAAGACAACTTAATGCCATGTGGCATTCAATTTTGTGTGAATAGAAATAAAACTATTATTATTATTATTCTGTCTAATGGCTTCAATGGTGCGAATTTACAGCACACTGGTTTTGCCAATGTCGAGTGTTTAGAGAGACACGGTGGACAGTGGAATAAGGGAGGGATGATAGCACAGGTGATGGATCAGCTACATTTGCCAAAATACTGAATACGTAATCTGTGATCGAAGTATGTACCTAAATATGAATGAGACAGGAACTATGCCGTACAGACTGAATGCCAAAAGATAAAGAGATATTAAAGCTATTTTTGCACCTGTAGTAGATATTGTATGTGCTTATTATTTCAATTTAATTTTATGACATAGCACACAAAGTTTTTGTGATAATTAATCAATTTGACTGACTACTATTAAATTGATTTGTACAGTCCTAAAATATGTAATAATAATTTCATAGTCCCATTTAAGTTTCTTGTATTTAGGCTAAGTTCTTATTCAATAAATTTATCTTATCTTATTTATATATGTTTTTTTGAAACAGGGACGCGCGCGATAAAGTTTTTCTGTGACAGGCAAAATTCCACGCGGGCAAAGCCGCGGGCAGAAAGCTAGTTCATAATAATTCTTCAAAAATTGTGCTTGTTTGTCTTGAACCAACAGGTGTTTTGCAGACAGCTGTTTCATGCTAAAATAAAATCTGAGCAAAACACTGTAAAATGTGTTATTTCTGATGTAAACAATTTCACATTGTCTTTATAGTTAAAAACTCCACATTCCAATAGAGAGACGATCACATATGTTTAATATAAACAAACAATATGGCAGACAGACGCCAGACGCATATTTAAAAATACTTGAATACCACATCGGAGTAGAATTGTACGCGCGCCAACTTTTGGGACAACCATTTGTCATTTTACAAATTCTGGCCTTGATTAGTCTGGAGTTTGGAATACTACGAACTTTTGAAACATTTAGTGTTTATAAAATGCACAAAATCTTTAGAATTTGACAAGTACAATTTTAATAAGACCACTTAATCTTGTTATCATTATTCAATATTGTACATATAAAATCAAAACATGATAATGGGATTCCAATTAGAGTGAAACTATTCAATTGACAAATATTTTAGAGGGTAGTTGTAGAATTTTATTTAAACTTTATTCAAAATAAATAGGACATGATACAATGAGCAAATAATGACTTGCATGTGTGTATTTTAACATAAGGTATGAGCTCTTACCTCAAATCTGTACCACTCTGTGCTATTCCACTGTGGGTTCAGAGACTTCCTGCACACGTCGGTCTTGTGCGTGACGCCTCCGAACTTGATCTCCACGAAGGCATCCGTGGTGTCCCCAGCGCGGTCCATCACAGGGAGATTCCTCCCCGCCAACACTTTCACCTTTATTTTCCCAGGCATTTTGAACTATTGACACACAACTTCACACCACACCACCACAATAACCATCTAACCAATCAGTCAACACAACTTATTCGACTCTATTATCACTCTTTTGTAACCAGTTTAACACTTTCCGAACTCATAATCAGCACGAAAACACTACTTGATAATCTTATCAATAGAACTGTCCGCACATCGAAATTCGACTCCGCTGTGATTTGGTGATAACACACACGACACGTAATATATTCAAACACTAAAATCTAGGAAGAACCCTGAGTTTTAATCACTATTTTATGAGAAAATACTTTATTTTGGTACGGAACATCTTGTTTTTGTGACGCATTTGATACGCGGTTTACGGTATAAACACTGCGTCTTTAAGCGCCTCAGACGCCTCAGATGTATCCAAATGATGTTCTAAAACTAATGAGTAGGGTTTATTAATAGACAACGAATGATTTTAAAAATAAAATTCGGCTATCGCCGCGGCGCCGTGCGACAATCACAGATGACAGATAGAAAATGTCAAAAGGCATGTCAACTGAAATGTCAATTTCAGATCTGTGTTCAGATGCGTTCATTTATTTTTTTTTTGTCGGAAATTGCGACGTTCAGTATAAAATAAATATGACATCGTTTTAAGTCGGGTCTCTAGCGCGTTTTGACCCAGCAAAAACATGACCAAAGTCAACAAAATTACCTACAAAAAATGTTTAGTGTTGACATGTTTCTGTTGATCGTGTAGGGCAAAACACGTGCTGCGCTGGAAACTTGGCTTTTAGAGAAACCTTCCCGACACGAAAACACCAGTTTTCGATATGAAATACAAATAACCAAATGTAGATATCGGTAGAGGGTATTTTAGGCTACTACAACTACACACTATCCTCACTCTTTACAAAAAATCAGAATATAAGGCTAAATAAATCAATTTTTGTTGAACTTGCATTTTAATAACTTCATACAAATGAACAAATCATAACAATCTCACGTATTTAGGTACCAATATTTCTTAATTCTATTTACAATTACATATTATAAGTTCATGATAAGGCGGGAAATAATAAAATATTATAAAGTCACAACTTTTTCATGTTATCTTGTTTGCTTTTAAGAACAATACTCGCTATTCCTTTTTTTTTTACAAAAATAACATATTATTTNTATTACTTATTTTTTGCTTACAATAAATTACATCTTACTTATCTCTGATTTTCTCCAACAGTTTACTTATGTCTTGACTACCCGCCGGGGGGTTGGGTCGCTTCAGTTTATGTTTCGCGGTTAGTTTAGGGACGCAACCCTTGATTGGAGGCCTGATGTTTGGCACAGGGAACGTGTCTAACTTGGAGTGGCCGCCTAGGCCGTCGTACGAGATATCTAGCTGAGCTTGGTTCATATCAGGTTCGTCGGAGAAGTCTATTTTGGCTGGCTCCTTCTTGTGGAAGATGCTCAGCCGCTGGCTGTTTGAAGGCTGGTTCTCTGCGCCCCTTTTGGTTATGTTTCTGGCTGCGTTTAGGAGCGCCATCTCTGAGGGCTGAAAAGAGAAATTTTTCGTTACAAAATCAGCAGTTTAGCGCAGTGATATGATGTTAAGAAATCATCGAAGCTCCTGACGCTTTCAAAAGGTCAAAATATCATCGAGATACATCAAACAGAAATCAGCAAATCGCTGAAACTCATATGCAGCACTCTTTAACCCAATGGGTACCAAAGGACAATAGGTAAAAAACCATATAAACCCAAGTGTACGCTTTAGGTTTATTCCGAAACGCTTTCTTCGAGGTCCGTGATCGAACTGTGTCAATATATTAAACAACTCTTCTGAAACATGGTGCTCTTGCTGAAACATGATGTAACAACACCCTGTATATTACCTTGAGTTTTGTAGCAGGCGGCATTTGCGAAGGCCGCGTCTGTAGCGCAGAGAGCGCCAGGCTGCTCTGCTTTAGGCTCAGATACGGGGAGTCGGCTTGCTCTATCCTGTTCACCATTGTATCCTGGGCAAAAAAAAAGGTATTTAAATAAAATTTTAAGGAAAACTAGCTTTCCACCCGCGGCTTCGCCCGCGTGGTTTGTTATTCCAAGTCTGATTCTTTTTTGTTATACCACGTTTTATAGTGACTGACGTTTCATGTCAAGTCACACGGGAATGCTGTCGAACGGGATAAAAAGTATCCTATGTCCTTCTCCTGGCTCTAAACTACCTCCCTGACAATTTTCAGCTAAATCGGTTCAGCCGTTCTTGAGTTATAAGTGGAGTATAGCCTGACCAGGAACATAAAAACCCTCGCCATGTTGCGGAAAATTAANTATACAGGGTGTTAGGTAAATGGGTATATGAGCCGACACTAGCCCATGTTAACATGGTCATATAAATGGTATGGTAAAGTCAGAAAATTGATATCTTCATTTTAATTATTTTAATTTTCATACAAATCGGATTTTATACAATTTATTTTGTATGAAAATTAAAAAAAATTAAATTATGATATCAAATTTCTGACTTCACCATACCATTTATATGACCATGTTAACATGGGCTAGTGTCGGCTCATATACCCATTTACCTAACACCCTGTATAGATGATCTCAAAAACTTCAGCTCCCACTCAAATATAGTCAGTAGCTCAATAAAGTTAATCAATCATAAAATAATATGATAGAAAGTGACGTTTAGCTTAGGCGCAGACCACCGACTTTTGGTCGATAGTTCGGCCCCGATTTTAATTTGTATGAAGAATCGGCCGATACCGAATCGGTGTAATGTGCGCACTTCCATACATGCCCATACCACAGCCCATACTGATTAACTATCGGCCGACAAAAATCGGTGGTCTACCCTTAGGCTTATAGTATAGAAATGTACTAATAAACTAAACTATTAAATACATGTAACTTTTAATTAGTAAGGTGGCTAGTTTCTACTCACAAAGCTGACATTGGTGTCGTTTATAATAATGGCTTCATTCAATCGCGGGGTGGCTTCCCTTTCAATGTTGGCCACATCGCTGATCTTTCGTTTGATTAGTAATACAATTATGTTTCAACAGGATTAAATTGTTTCTACTCACAAAGCTGACATTGTTGTCGTGTATAATAATGGCTTCGTTAAGCCGCGGGCTGGCCTTATGCTGTTTGGGGCTGGGTGTGGCGTCCCGTTCACTATTGGCCACGTCGCTAATTTTCCGCTTGTTCAATAGCAACTCGTTCTTTCGGTTCGCATGCGTTAGTTTTTCTTCTAACTGCCTGTGGGTACAGAAATGATTGTTCCTTGGGTGATGCTCAATTATTTTTGCCATAAGTCTGCCTATTGTAAAGCCTGGGCCACACACATAACAATAATAAATAAATATCCTTGGACATTTTACACTGCGCCGCTAGCCCCAAACTAAGCTAAGCCTGTACTATGGGTACTAGACAACGGATATAAACATACTTAAATACTTTTTTTTTGTAAATACATACATATTATACATACATAGAAAACACCCAGACCCATCACAGAAATTAAAATTCATCATTTCAATTTCTGCCCGGCCGGGAATCGAACCCGGGACCTCGCATAGTAGTCCGTTCTGAACCACTACACCAAACGGCCGACTACGACGACGTTAACATTCAGGTGATAGCGGAGCGAAGGCCTTGCGAGTTTGCAAAAAAGTACTGAAGTATATTTATTTAAAACCTTTAGTGCGCACACAAAAAAAAGCGATTCAAAAAGGCGGACTTAATGCCATGTGGCATTCTCCCCTAGCTAACCGACTGTATGCGAATACTTGGCTACACACACCGTGATAACGCGAATCTTCAGGTTATTGTGATGTGTGTAGCCTAAAGGTGATAAGAAATGTATTATTAAAGGTTACTTACAGTAATTTTGCTTGCAGGTCAGCAACATTGTTTTTCTCTACACCAATTTGCTGTTTTGCTGCCTGTAACCTGTCCCTTGTCTCATTCTTCTTTGATTCCGATTCACATAGGGCTCTGAAAATGTACATTGCAATACAATATTAATCTTTATAAAGCCCGGTCCGTGAGCATGTAGAATTTTGTCCAATGACCCCAAGCTACCCATCCTTATCGCTCGCGCGACTGTGCGACGGGCACCCGCAGTGAGTGTGCGAGCTTGGGCTCATTGGACAAAATTCTACGTGCTCACGGACCAGACTTTAGACAAGATATTATTTCTTTCTTAAGTGGAACATCATCATCATAAGCGACAACGCACACTGGGCGCGTCATTTCATAGTATCGCTAATAATGTGAAATGACGCGCGCACAAGTTTTGTGGCCGCGTCTGTCTCGCGATTTGTCGCAATGTACGCTGTCGCTTATTGTCAGGTCAATCAGTTATAGTTATTTTTCAATGTCCATAAAGTATACCATACCTTTTCAATGCCGTGGCAAACGTGGCAACAGTCCTAACATCTGTGTATCCCTGTAACATCTGTTCTACTTCATCGCTGGTCGCATTTAAGACTTTCTGTAAACTGAAAAAGTAATAATTTTAGGCATGTAACAAAGACAAGATCTAAAATAATGCTTAAATGACATTCTAGCGTACTACTACTGCTGATAACTAAATAACAAACGTCAAAAATCTGTCAAACTCCATACAAAAAATATGTTGTTAAAGTTAGGTGGTGCAACAGCCTTACTAAAATAGGACAAATTATGGTTTATTTCTTACCCATTTAAAGTCTGCATATTCTTATTGAGCCTTTCGTTTTCTTCTTTCAGTCTATTTGTCTCCTTATTTTGTATTTTGACATAGTCAAGCTGCTCTTTGAGGGCTGATATTGCAGATTCTCTGGTCACTAATTTCTTTTCTAAGTTTTTTAACAGTTCCCTGTAAACATAATTTGATTATGAAATAAAAGTAAGTACTGAATCCTAATTATTTATGAAAGATAATGTCTGTAAAAAATATTCTCGCTAATACAATCATGAAAAGTTTTTAACCAAAGCTTTGGCAATGTGCATAATATTGCAAAGATATTATAAAAATTAGCAGGAAATTAGTAAGTTTCTGCTAAATGGTGTAATCTCAACATAATTTCATTTTACAATCAAAGATAAGTTTTCATTATGTAACATCTAATGTACCACATTCTGCAAATAAATAATTTGAATTTGAATTTGAATTCAAATTACTCAGACCACATAATAATAATTCTGTGTCTATGATTCTTATCATTATTAGTTTGAAAATTTATGTCTGAAGTAACATGAAGGTCTAAACAAAAAATTTTAAAACTCAATTAATTCAGCAAATACAAACTCATTCTTCTTCAACTCCGTAGTGATTGCAGCCAGCTTGTCTTCCTTATCCTTAGCCGAAGCTTTCTGTTGCCGCAGTTGAAGTTGGGCATCGTCAAGACGGGACTGCAGCGTGGTCACGTCTTCGCCGGAGCTCTCGTTGGATATGGTCGGGTAGATACGGAACATACACTTGTCTGTGACTTTGTGGCGGCATTGTGGGCAGGATTTTGATCTGAGGTGGAATTGTGTAAAGTAATCGTTATCATTTGACAGTTCATAGCGTACGATTATTCTGTCAAACGCTTTGTTTAACTGACTTTATCGTACCTTATGAACTACCAAATGATTACGATATCTTAACACAATTCCACCTCAGATTTCATATAAGAAAATAATACCATGAAGATTATACTTAAAATTACAATCTTAAGAGCATTTAATACTGACTCACTGTAGTCAAAAAAGTCTAATCATTGATAGATTTTATGTCTATTTAGGGACCACTTTTAACTGTCCAAAAAGAATAAAGATTATGATCATATTATGATATGGTTTCAAATTTAGGTAATTAAAGTTTGTTAGCAAGAATTAGCAAGTTTTACCTTTCGATCCACTGTGCCAGACAATGATAATGAAAAATGTGCCCACATTTTGTTGCGAAGATGTTCTCAGCTTGATTGACGAGGTCACTACAGATTGTGCATAAGATATGCATCTCCTAAAAATAAAAGGTAACACTAGAGCCACAGGTAGAGCGATGTTGTTTACATTTTGAGGTTATGTTTGTTTGTTTACTCAAATAAATTCAATAAAATAAAGACAACAATAACAAATTTACTTTTTCAAATTGTTTATTACAGAATGAAGTTAAACAAACCCATTGAAACAGGATTTTTAATACTTACCGCCAATTGATTTGAGTACGAATTGAATCCTATTTACGTCGTACGAAAAAAATTAAATTCATAGTTATAATGTAATACACTGAAATTAAGCGTCATTGATGATCACGAACTCAACAGGATTTCCATTAATTTTAATCTACCTACAAAAGATTAAATTCACAAATAAAATAAAAATCTCAAAAATCGTGTTCGGTGTTATTGACTTTTTACTTTTTAATAACATCAATCAATTTTTTTTTAATCTGTGCATAGACTAGTGATGCGACTTATACTACGCACGCACATACAAATTGAAATATATTAATCGATTTAGGATAATTTAAGTGATTTAATATTTTAAAGTAAAATGTGACTGAACATAATTAGTAAAACGTCCAGAATATTAAATACGCTATATTTATTAATATTATAAATTACCCTAGAGATTAAATAAACAGTAATGAATAAGTATGATAAATAGGAATGTACAAAAATTGAACTTTATTCAGCATTCAACTCTTCCATTTTGCTATAAGCAGTTTTCAGTTCCTTCAGCAGCTGGATAGCTTTTTCCTTTTCTATGAGGACTTCACTCTTCTTCTGTGCGCCGGTGATTTCGGTGGTAAACAGGGACATCGTGAGGGTGTCCGCAGAATCGGAGGGCCCAGGTGCTACTGATACGTCGGTCACTTTGTTTACTGAAACAAAATTTGAATTTTTACTACTGGCTTTTTCCCGTGCATTGTATTTATAGTTGGACTATAGGCCAGTTTCATCCAATACTTAATGATTTACGGACTGAGTTTCATTCGTGTTCATCACAAATTACAATTAAAGATGGCAAAGTCCACTGGTCAGCTTGCCGAAGATAAAGCACACGGAATATTTTCCCCCCATTGAGAATCAAACCCGGAATCTTTAGATATGCGACTGTTCTGATGAACAGGCTGGATGATCCCAGCTATAGCATATAGAAAAGCAGCAGCATATACTCACTGACGAAGCCGTCAGCCTTCACGCTGTCTTCATAAGCAGTTCGGTGTGTTTTAAGGGTTGTGTCATTTGATAGATACAAAGACTTCCAGCTTTTAGTTACTTACTGACGAAGCCGCCAGCCCTCACGCTGTCCTCATAAGCAGCTCTGTGCGCGTCGAGCGCGTCAGCCAGCGCGGCGGCGTGCGCGCGCGGGACCCCCAGCACTAGTAGGTCCCGCGTCAGAGCTGCGCCGGGGCACGCGCACGACCACGCTTGGCGCGTCACCCAGCGGGGGACATGTGCTCAGAGACATGTGGTCTTATCACTAGACCAAGGAGAGTCTGCCAACTAGGTGCTCACAAAACAGAAGCGGCATCCAGCCAGGTACTCACATACGAAGTCGCAAGTCCTCACGCATTTCTTTCGCTTCGCGCTGCAGCGCTAGAATATAGATGAGAACGCTTCTAGCCCCTGGATAGTGCTTGTTCACGAAGCCACCAGTCACCAAGCGATGCCTTAACTATTGTGTAAGACTGGCAAATTAGGTTACTCACGAAGCTGCTAGTCCTGACGCTATCCTCATAAGCAGCTCTGTGCGTTTTGAACGTTGCTTCATTCAGCTCTAGATAGGTCAAAACACTTTCATCTGGTAAGACCTCATGCCGCTATTCTCATAAGCAGTTCGGTGCGTTTTAAGGGTTGTGTCACTTAACGATAAATACTAAAACTTCCAGCTGTTAGCCTGGTCCGTGAGCACGTAGAATTTTGTCCAATGACCCCAAGCTACCCATCCTTATCGCTCGCGCGTAATTATGTTGCTATCGCGCTCGCACACTCACTGTGGGCGCCCGTCGCACAGTCGCGACAGCAATATAATTACGCGCGAGCGATAAGGATGGGTAGCTTGGGGTCATTGGACAAAATTCTACGTGCTCACGGACCAGGCTTTAGTTACTTACTGACGAAGCCGCCAGCCTTCACGCTGTCCTCATAAGCAGCTCTGTGCGCGTCGAGCGCGTCAGCCAGGGCGGCGGCGTGTGCGCGCGGGACCCCCAACACTAGTAAGTCCCGCGTCAGAGCTGCGCCGGGGCACGCGCACGACCAAGCTTGGCGCGTCACCCAGCGGATGCACGCGCACGCGCGCGCGCACTCTTCGCGGGATGCTGTATGGAATAATGAAAGTTTGTACCACAATAGAGTAATAACTTAGGATAGGTATGTTTTAGGAGTCTTTGGGTTCTTCTTCTTCTTCTTTTATTGATGGCGATGAACTTGTGCTTTTTCGCCACTGTTCCGCCAATGTCACGTGCGCAGCTTTTACACAGTGATAGTCAAATAAAGTCCCGCTTTTAACTGAAACTGCAGTTCCAATTGCCCGATTGACGTTATAATTATTTACAGAAACATGTGTAAAAACATTATTACAGAGCAATACTTATGAGTTGGTCTTACAATTTATGAGTTTTATTTTTTCTCTTCGGGCACCCATAAATGGTCGAAAATCAATTCAAATCTACAACAACTTTTAAACATTGTTAATAGTGGGTCCAGTTGCCGGAAGAAGAAATAATTAGGCATTTGGAACCGCGGTCACTTGACGGAACACTTTAAGCCTTTTACGTACACAAAAAATGCCCTCATTGCGATTTAGTTAGCATAAATTGTGTATTTATTTTATAAAATTGACTTACATAAACTGGTATCTTTCAAGATTTCCATGATGCTGTCATCCTGCGAAGAAACAAATTCTTGTAAAAATAATTTCCATAAATTATTATAACTAGGTAGGACCTAGGATATCATGCATTCCATTAAGTTCACCATACATAAACCACAGATTCCAATCTAATTCCATGTGTAAATATAACAAAACAAGGTCCGTTACTGCGAACGCGACCTTTCTATTGATATTCCCCTGCCCTAATGATCAAAGTAACGCCACTATTCTATTAGTGGCTTCAAAGGCTCCCAAGAAAAATAACATTGCTCTAAGACAACATCTAAGTGGTGCAAATTGACAAAGGATGTGGGCTTTAACGGATTATTAGGTGTTACGTGCATTTTATCATAGCAATTGGGCAAACGAATAAAGTATAAAAGCACATTTACAAAATCTTGAAAAAATTGCGCTAAATCCAATTTAGCGCATTCATTTGCGGATTGCGATGTTCAAAATTTAGCCTAAATTACACTTAAAGAACTTCTGAATAAGCAACTTTATCAAACACTACATTTTCTCTGGAAGAGGATTGTTGTAGCAGGTAGAGTGGGTACACACTAGAGATTTACTTTCTATGTTTTTTGCCTTCACCCGTGTGACCTATACTAAGTAGTGCGATCAAATTAGTACCGAGAGAGCAGTAATTCTATCTTCTTAAATATATAAAAGGAGAAACTGACTGACTGACTGACATATCAACGCACAGCCTAAACGGCTAAACGTAGGCACTTTAAAGGAAGGGACGTAGCTTAAGTACCGCAGAGGTGCACTAAGAAAGGAATTCCCACGGGAACGGGAGTTAGCGGGAAAAAACATTTGTATGAAAAAATCTAAACCGCGTAAGATAGATGAAGGGGGTAAAACGGGATCCACGCGTACGAAGTCGCGGGCGGCCGCTAGTGTTAAGATAAGCTTTAAGAAGGAAAAATACTAATAGTTTATGAAAATGACGTATCTATGTATAATGACATGGATTTCCTTTGGTTTGTGTTTAAATATGGTTTAAATACTGTGATATTGATAGAATTCAGAAGAGTTTCATTCAGGACAAAATTTATACCTAATTCAAGGGCAGGTTCAGTGACGTAGCTAGGTAATAAAGGGCCCTGGGGCAAATAAAAAAATGGGGCTCCACTGCAATCTAAACTGGTTAGGTTTTATCAAGTTTAATGACATCGTTTCAGCCAAATGACAAAGCAATGACATAAAGCTTACTTACTCCTGATATAACTTTCGAATTTCTCCCTATTTATTTTGAAAATGAGATTTTCTGGTAAGGATGCGGGACCCCCTGAGCTTAGGGGCCCCGGGGCACTGCCCCGCCTTGCCCCTTAGTAGCTACGCCCTTGGGCAGGTTGTAGACTTGTACTTAGTCACCGTAGAGTCATTTGACTGACTCACTCACTCATCACGAAATTTCAGAAACTACCTACAAGTGCTAGGAGTCTCAAATTTTGTATGGGGGTTCCTTTTGGAATGTAGGTGCTCACTAAGAACGGATTTTACGAAACTCNACTCACACTGTATACCACTGATTCCAATCTAATTCCACGTGTAAATATAACAAAACAAGATCCGTTACTGCGAACGCGACCTTTCTATTGATATTCAGGGGCTCTAATGATCAAAGTAACGCCACTATTCTATTAGTGGCTTCAAAGGCTCCCAAGAAAAATAACATTGCTCTAAGACAACATCTAAGTGGTGCAAATTGACAAAGGATGTGGGCTTTAACGGATTATGAGGTGTTACGTGCATTCTATCATAGCAATTGGACAAACGAATAAAGTATAGAAGCACATTTACAAAATCTTGAAAAAATGTTGCTTCTTTTTAACGAATTTAGGTACATCGCGGTTTTAGTAGCAATAGACAGCTATCCAATTTAGCCCATTCATTTGCGGATTGCGATGTTCAAAAGTAAGTCTCTAAATTATACTTAAAGAACTTCTGAATAAGCAACTTTATCAAACACTACATTTTCTCTGGAAGAGAATGTTGTATTAGGTATGGTAAAGTACATGCTAGAGATTTATTTTTATGTTTTTTGCGTTCAGCCGTGTGACCTATACCTAAGTAGTGCGATCAAATTAGTACCGAGAGAGCAGTAATTCTATGTTAAGATAAGCTCTAAGAAGGAAAAATACTACCTAGTTTATGAAAATGACGTATCTATAATGACATGGATTTCCTTTAGATTTTTTTTTATGTGACAGGAGGCAAACGAGCAGACGGATCACCTGATGGTAAGTGATTACCGTCGCCCATAGACACCCGCAGACCCAGAGGCGTTACAGGTGCGTTGCCGGCCTTTAAGGTAAAGATACGCTCTCCTCTTGAAAGCTTGCAGGTCGTATCCGTCCGGAAACACCGCAGACGACAGTCCATTCCACAGTTTGGTTGTACGGGGCAGGAAGTTTCTAGAGAAACGTACTGTTGTGGACTGCCAACCATCTAAAGTAAGTGATGGGGGTGGAAGTGCTGTCGGATTCATCTGTTCAGATTGTGTTTATATGGTTTAAATACTGTGATATTGATAGAATTCAGAAGAGTTTCATTCAGGACAAAATTTATACCTAATTCAAGAGCAGGTTGTAGACTTGTACTTAGTCACAGTAGAGTCATTTGACTGACTCACTCACTCATCACAGAAACTACCTACAAGTGCTAGGAGTCTCAAATTTTGCATGGAATGCCTTTTGGAATGTAGGTGCTTACTAAGAACGGATTTTACGAAACTACACCCCTAAGGGGGTAAAACGGGATCCACGCGTACGAAGTCGCGGGCGGCTGCTAGTAGGAAATAAACAAAAAAAAACGACAGACCATCCAATCATCAGTTATATTACGATTTTCTTAAAACTTTATGCAAAGTATACCCTTATTAAAGTTTATACTTTCGGTCGCAAAAGGCAACAAATTACGTATTCACTCATTAATCAGTGATGTAGACTTACGCAAACGCCAAACCCTGCAAAACCACTGAAAAGTTACGTTCGAAGTTCTTCCACAATTTGTACCGTGGTGAAAATCTTGGTGTTCTATGGAAAATAAGACCACAATATGGTATTAAATTAATAAGATAACATGCTTTTCATTCATCGTAAAAAAATAATTAACATATTACAATTAAAATCGCCCGTATTTACAAACATTACTATGAGGTCTCATAGTGCGCGTGGCCGCACAGGGTGACACACGAACCAATCACAGTGCTCTATTAAACTCTGTGCGTTCGATTTGCTGCTTCACTTAAGCAAGTATCGTTTGTAAGTAAATACGGGCAACCAGCTTCTCGATATGCCATTTCGAGCATGTGAGTCTATTGGCTCCTTATTATGTACCTACCATTGTTTTTGTAAAAATTGTTATTATAAATGTTACAAAGTAGGTACTGCTTCAGTAAAGTCTTTTCTATTTCAAGATAAGGCTTCAAGGCTTTATATTCAGGCAACTTAGTACTCAAGCCAAGTAGTATTCTTTCAATTCATGAATATCTAGAAAAATAAAAACCTTACGTAGTTATGTTAAGGAGATAAATCGAGTTTGACACTCGTCTCGTTCGACGTGACAATTTTGCGATAGTTACCTTTCGAACGTCATAGTATCCATGTATATTCAGTGTCAAATACACTCGGCATCAAATAAATCGCACCTCCCGCAACAAGCACTTCTCAAACGGATGGATCCCCACTTCCCACCAACATTGGGTACCATTTGAAAGCCTAGTAGTTCTAAACTTCATTTCATTAAAGGAAAGGTTTACACCAAAAATGTGTTTTTAGTTACGCTTGAGCCAACTTTTATTTTACTATAAAACTGTTAAGTTGGGATTAATCGCTATCCATCTGTTAAAGAGGACACATGAGATCTTTATTTGGTTTTATAACCATAAAAATTGGTCTAATTGATCCCAGAGGTGAGCCCAAAGTGAGGTCTATTTTCAAGTCACATTTATGGTATATGTTAATCATTTATTTAGAAATGAAATGTATTTTTCTTTAAGAATATTTATTGGGCTTTCAAATAACACCAATATTGTTGGGGTAGCATAATTGTGTCAGAAGAAAATCTTTAAAGTTCGCGTCGCGGAAGGTGCGGTTTATTTGATGTTGAGTGTAGTTCGTGACAAGTGGCCAGAAAGTTGACAAAACCACCTTATTCCAGTTGTAACAAAGACGTGTTGTGAACTTATTGGCTGCTTTGAGTGTCACGAACTGTTTGACGCTGACTGTACCTACAGCAGTGTGGAAATAAAACATGATGCGTAATATATCTTCTGGGGAGAATTGATTTATGAACGAAACATTCAATGGTTGTAACCCATGTCGTGTTTAAAAATATCGGCCCAATAAATCGCACGTATATCTAGCTCTAGCAGTTGAGAGCTGAATTCTGTTTGGGTTCTTAGTTTAAATGTTTTTTTTTTTCGTTTAATTGGACAACCCTCGAAGCCAGAGAGGCTCGTTCGGGAGCGAGCCTCTAGCCTGAGGCGGAGCTGCGGAAAAATGTCTGAGCTAAGACAACAACTCGCGGCTCCGTTTCTTTGGGCTTCGGTGGACACTATCGGGTTTTAGTGGGTAGGCCCCGCCTCTAATGAGCAGGCGGACAGAGTCCCACATAACCCACTGGCCGTTCCCATCGACCAGTAGGTATGCGCAAACCATATCCCGACTTAAAAAAAGGCACTAACCAACATATTATCCGAAAAGGAATATGATTTAGGTTCAAGAAAGTCAAGCGGTTGGTTTGATTATGTTAAATGCCGATAGAGGCTCCTAAAGTAACATTGTACCCTTATAGAAAGAGGATAATAACACCGGTCGACAAAAAAAAATTTTTTTTTTGCGCATGGATTTTACTTATTATATTCTGATTATATAAGCAAATTTATATAAAAAAGTGCAATTACAAATCGAAAATATTTGCTTTTTAAGAAGTTATAGCGATTTGAATTTTCCATCTTCATAGTAGAATGTCTCTAAAGATGCACGTCCCATTCTCATTGGGATATATTTATAGATAATTATGGGGGCTTATTCGCAAGAACAAGGGGCACGCTTTCATCAAAATATAGTGGTATTTGAGAAACGGCGTTACCAAGGCCAGTATACTGAAAGCATGATAGGGTTAGATTTTTATGAGAAAAATCTTCTATGGAACATGACAGGAAATTAAAACTTTTCATTTTTAAAAAATATTTGGACTCTATTTTGAATTTTCTCTTGTGAGAATGAATCTTAAATGGATGTTTGGTATGTTTTAATAAATAGAAAGAATCAAAGAAAGAAAGAAAAAAATATATTTGGCAACAAATTGAATCATCTCTATGTTCATGTTTCATACATTCATTGATATGAATTTTTCTATTTTTTACACATAAAAGCAAATTCAGAACATTTTTATGTTGTTATTATTATTTCTAGGTTACAAAGCAATAAAAATAAGCTAAGCATCACCCGTGCGCAAAAATGCTGTAGACAGTTGNAGAAGCGCCGCAACAAACTCAGTCACCACTGTCTGCCGGTTAATATAAATAAATAGAAATAGTAGTAGTAGGTACATTCGATTCAGGAGCAGTTCACTGAATTTACCATGCATTCTTGTATGGTGTATCTTATAAGAATGGGTATACAAGATTGCGTGGTATATTAAACAAGGTAGTGACGTGCTAATATCTAGACTTACATATTAAGAAAAGTGGCCAAAAAGTTGACAACAAAACCTTATTCCAATTGTAACAAAGACGTGTTGTGAACTTATTGGCTGCTTTGAGTGTCACGAACTGTTTGACGCTGACTGTACCTACAGCAATGTGGAAATAAAACATGATGCGTAATATATCTTCTGGGGAGAATTGATTTATGAACGAAACGTTCAATGTCGTGTTTAAAAATATCGGCCCAATAAATCGCACGTATCTAGCTCTAGCAGTTGAGAGCTGAATTCTCTTTAGGTTCTTGGTTTAATTATTTTTTTCGTTTATTTAGTGGGATTGGGGGTTCCCTCGAAGCCAGAGAGGCTCGCTCTAGCCTGAGGCAGAGCTGCGGAAAAATGTCTGAGCTAAGACAACAATTCGCGGCTCCGTTTCTTTGGGCTCCTGTGGACACTGTCGGATTTTAGTGGGTAGGCCCCGCCTTTAGTGAGCAGGCGGGGAGAGTCCCACATAACTAGAGAATACAATCGCGGGATCCCGATTCCCGGGATCCCGGGATCCCGATCCTTTTCTGATCCCAAAAATCCCGGGACTGTTCTTGGCTAATCCCGGTATTTTCGGGATTGATNTCGAGCATTTGAGTCTATTGGCTCCTTATTATGTACCTACCATTGTTTTTGTAAAAATTGTTATTATAAATGTTACAAAGTACCTAGGTACTGCTTCAGTAAAGTCTTTTCTATTTCAAGATAAGGCTTCAAGGCTTTATAATCAGGCAACTTAGTACTCAAGCCAAGTAGTGTTCTTTCAATTCATGAATATCTAGAAAAATAAAAACCTTACGCAGTTATGTTAATGGAGATAAATCGAGTTGACACTCGTCTCGTTCGACGTGACAATTTTGCGATAGTTTGCCTTTCCTTTCGAACGTCATAATATCCAGTACGGCTAGCACGAAAAACTTTCGAGTTCGAATCGTTTGCGTATTCGAATCGCCATCAAAAGATTTAGTACGAAAACTACAACAACGCCCTTGTGAACGTGTCCTAAAGTGAACTTAGTATGAGAAATGGTTTCACGAAACTTATTTTGAGAATCAAAATTGTCACGTTATCGTTTAATTCGAGGATTGAGTATCGACTTTTGTCGAATACGCAAATGATTCGAAGACGAAAGTTGTTCATGCTAGAGGTACAGGTACAGGTACCTTTGTGTCAAATACCTATGTAGTTCGTGACACCCAAAGTCAAAGTCAAAGTCAAAGTCAAAGTCAAAATTTCTTTATTTGTTTGGACTAATAANGTTGCGCCTTGACTTTGACCTTGCCTAGATTCTACCTTAGCATAAAATTATATAACGATAAAAAATAAACCTAAGGTACGATACGGATACGGACTATACAGGTACGGCCCTAATAATATCTTTTTCGTAGACCTTAGACAGGACCACAGCTTGAGCTAACGCCACAAACCTCCCAACCCCAATTGACACTAAAGGAAAAGTTGCAGCTGGAAATAGATAAGAGTATGAAATGCCCAGATCCTGAAGTACAACTACAAAGTGAATCGGGCTTGACAAATACTATCAGACGTGAAATGAGCCTATTTGAAAATGGCGGAGTTCGTGGATATCACTTAGAATTAGCATTTAATTATCTACTTTATCTATACCTCCAACGAGTGTAGAACCCGAGCGAGCGTTTTCAGCTGCTGATTTTGTTGAAAATATATTACGAAGCAGGCTAGGAAGTCAAACATTGGATCCTTTTATATTTCTAAGATTCTATTTCCGAAATTGAAAATAGTGCTTTTGATGTATTTTTTATTTTTTATTTTAGTATTATTGCAACTAACAATATTAAAAACATCTTTTGAGAAATTATACTTAAGTTTCTTTTTTATTAGAACCCAATTCCCACATAGGGCTGATCCCGGGATAGTCCCGGGATCCCGGGATCACCCATCAAAAATCCCGTAATCCCGGGATTGAAAAACATGCTCGGGATTGTATTCTCTAGTTGTAATATAAGCAGTGAATCTTTCATTTCATAAATACTTCAATTGTAATAAAATGTAATAATATACCTATTGATTTAGACGCCATACTACACGCTCTAATTCATCGCAACACTAATGAAGTGAATTAAGCAATATTCCTCTCGAATATTAGTAATATAATAATATAATAGAATCGCTACACTTGAACAATTGCGGAGGTAGATACTTACTACTGAAAGACATTTCTGTCATGCGATATTAATTAATCAATAAAAAGGTGAAATTAATGTTATTAGCTAAAGATTATTGCTAGTAGATAAATTAGTTTTCCTTGTGCTAATATTTCCTCTTTTTTTGCTGTGACTCCGTTTACAGATTTTATTTTTCTTTCCTAACATTACCCTGTAAAATATGTTAAAACTTGCATTAAATGTACGAGTAGGCACTATTACTATACCTACTCACACGAACTTGAATGCCACATAGATGTGAAAGACTATCTAAAGATACTGAAGACTTTTTCCAAAGTACTATCTATCTATTTTCTCTATAATCTATAAAATATAAAAGCGAAAGGCGAAAGGAAATAAACTACATGCGCTAGGAGTCTAAAATTTTGCATGGGGTTTCCTTTTAGAACGTAGCTGCTCACTAAGATTTTCCAAAATTCAACCCCTAAGAGGGTAAAACGGGTTCCACGTAGATAAGTAGAGTCGACAGTTACACACTGTAACAATTAATGAAGTACCTACAAGTGCGACTTTACAACAAATACAATCGGCAGCACATAAGGCTACTGCAAAATCCCCCCTATTAATTATTTATAATTACATATGTTGCACAGTGTTTCATCATCATCATCAACATCATTTTCAGCCTTAGCACGCTCACTGCTGAAAATAGGCCTCCTCCAATGATTTCTAAATTGGCCAGTTGCTGGCGGCCTGCATCCAGCGCCTTCGCGCTACCTTTATGAGGTCCACATTGTGTGTTGCACAGTGTTTAGCTTACTCTGTTACAAGACTCACAGGCTGGTCCTCCTCCATGACTTGCTGCACCAAGGTCCTGAAGAGTGGGGCGGGGAGGCTGCTCAAAGCGTGCAGCCCTGCCAGAGCCCAGAGAGGGCAATCGCCGTCGGAGCAGAACTTGAATTTCTAAAAAATTCATTAGAGATAAAAAAATTAAATGCATTTTTATTTGCGACACGATGCGAAGTCGTGAAACATAATTTAAAACAAAAATATCATAGTATTTGACACAATACAAAGCTATAAAGCTCTAAGGCTGGGTTGCACCATCGTACTCTAACTTTGAAAAAAGTCTAAAATCTGTCAAATTCCATACAAAAAGCACCGGTTATCGTCATAGTTACGGTCAAACTTTGACCATGAGGCTGCTCAAAGCGTGCAACCCTGCCAGAGCCCAGAGCGGGCAATCGCCGTCGGAGCAGAACTTGAATTTCTAAAAAAATACTTTAGAGATAAATAATAAAGCATTTTCATTTGCGATGTGAAGTCGTGTATGTTTCACGACAAAAATATCATAGTATTTGACACAATACAAAGCTATAAAGCTCTAAGGCTGGGTTGCACCATCGTACTCTAACTTTGAAAAAAGTCAAAAATCTGTCAAATTCCATACAAAAAGCACCGGTTACAATAACATGTGTTTTTGGAGTGGAGGATGGTGTTTGGCAAATATTTGACGTTTGTTAAAGTCAAAGTAAGATGGTGCAACCCAACCTTTATGTACGAGTAACTAAGCTCTAATTGAGCTAAAATTGCGATTAGAACACAGACATACACATGAATTTTATTAACATTAAATGATTAATATAAATGAAATAAAAGAATTAATCAATTACTTGCAATCTAAGTAGGTATTTTTCTAGTTCGTAGCAATTGAGGTGGAAATGTTTATATTTACCTACTTAGTTAAATTTCTGACGTTCTGATCACCTCGACTTGACGTTCAGCTAACACTATAGTTCTGTGCCCACCCACGTATTTGCTATACCACCTAAATATGACTGGCAATAACTTAAAGAACACTTACCATGCTGATGACCAGGGTCGAACTGTAACAAAACATATAAAATTAGCATCAGAATCGCGGCGGCGACATACATCGTATGTTATGTCACTACAGTTACACACAGGCCATAAGTTTTAATCGTGGTATTGTATCACAGCAATATGGCTGTTATCTGTATAACGTACCTATACGTCGTGGTCAGAGTATCATTTAAGTAATTTCCAAAAAATAATAGCGAGCTGCGATTATTTATTTATGAAATTAAAAGTATTATTGGGACAACAAATAGGTACTGTAATAGACATAATTTTCAGAAGGCATTTCTAAACATTTGGAAAACCAGTATCTTTTGCAAACAATTAACATTCATATATTATGTATAGTATACGTAGCTTTAGTTATAAGTAAAGACACATTTTTCCATGTTCTTCCAATCTGTACTAACTACAGTAGAACGCCGATTATCCGAACGCCGATTAACCGAATCGCCAATTATCCGAATCGGTCCTAAGCGTAATAAATAAAATTAAAACCAAGTAATTTTTATTTTGTTTTGTTGTAACAAGTAGGAACTCTCAGGAGTCTAGATTATTTCAACTGAGCGTTATTGTAGAACTGTAAACATATTTAAAGTTTATTCTATGTGTGACGGTTCGTTTTAAACGCGCTTTTTCTTTATTACCAGTCTATGTCCGATTATCCGAATTTTCGATTATCCGAATCGACCCCGGTCCCAATTAATTCGGATAATCGGCGTTCTACTGTATTGTTTTTTCGTATTATCAAAGCATCAAAAATTGGTTTAGCGATAGGTAAGTACCTATATACGTCACAAAAAATAGACGGAGTATTTAATTCAAGATCAAGCTANAAAACAAATAATATCATACTTATTCTTATTACATACAATACAAAGCTATACAAAGCTCTAAGGCTGTGGTTTCACCACCTAACTTTGACAGTAACTATAACGATAACCGGTGTTTTTGGAGTGGAGGATGGTGTTTGACAAATATTTGACGTTTGTTAAAGTCAAAGTAAAATGGTGCAGCCCAGGCTCTATGTACGAGTAACTAAGCTATAATTGAGCTAAAATTGCGATTAGAACACCGACATATCCATAAATAGATGTGCTGTAGCACAGGGTATCCTAGTACGGACACCAGTCTCTACGAAATACTTATTTCTGTTACTTGTTGTTATAATTACCCGTTACATTATGACTTTATGTATTTTATAAAGAGAGAAATAAATAAAGTTAAAGTTAAATAAAGTTAAAGTTAAAGATACATTTGATGATTCATATAAATGAAATAAAAGAACTTGCAATCTAAGTAGGTACTTTTTCGTAGCAACTGTGGAGCAACTAAGGTAGATTTTTTTATTAATAATGACGTTCAGATCACCTCGACTTGACGTACAGCTAACACTATAGTTCTGTGCCCACCCACGTATTTGCTATACCACCTAAATACGACTGGCAATAACTTAAAGAACACTTACCATGCTGATGACCAGGGTCGAACTGTAACAAAACATATAAAATTAGCATCAGAATCGCAGCGGCGACATACATCGAGTATGTTATATCAGTATCAGTTACACACAGGCCATAAGTTTTAATCGTGGTATTGTACCACAGCAATATGGCTGGTGTATCTGTATAACGTACCTATACATCGTGGTCAGAGTATCATTTAAGTAATTTCCAAAAAATAATAGCAAGCTGCGATTATTTGTTTATGAGATTAAACGTATTATTGGCCCAATTTGGGACAACAAATAGGTACTGTAGGTAATACACATAATTTTCAGAAGGCATTTCTAAACATTTGGAAAAACCAATATCTTTTGTAAACAATTCATAACATACGTAGTTTCAGTTAGTATAACTAAAGACACATTTTTCCATGTTCAATCAATAGGTACCTACATACCTAAGAGTAGCCGCACACCGTTGAGTTTTAGTTGGCCGATATTTGTGCCCGATTTTAATTTGTATGAAGAATCGGCCAAATCGAATCGGCGTAGTGTGCACACTCCCATACATGCCCAATGCCCATACTGATCAACTGCCCGACTAAACTATCGGCCGACGAAAAATCAACGGTGTGCGCCTACTCTAAATCATCGTTTATTCTATTAAAACACCAAAAAATGGTTTAGCGGTAGAAATAGACGTCACAGATCAACGGAATGAATAGAGACATTAGTAATTTAATTCAATCACGCACCTAAAATGAACTATCTCAAGAAATCAAGATTTTCTCTTAGAAATACCAATAAACTATTGAACTGTCAGCGATTTCATTAAAATTTCTTGCGTTCCGATACCTGACAAAATATGTCGGGACAATTTTAAACGATTCATTTGTAAACTCGTATTGTATTTTAGTCGGAGAAAGCGATTTGTAATAAATTCCTTTAACGCAAAAATTAAAAATTAATCTTCTATCTATTTATATGTATAAAAGCGAAAGGTCACTGACTCACCCATCACGAAATCTCAGAAACTACAACTGCTAGGAGTCTCAAAGCATGGGGGTTCTTTTTAGAACGTAGGTGCTCACTAAGACGAGATTTTGCCAAATTCAACCCCTAAGGGGGTAAAACGGGTTCCACGCGTACGAAGTCGCGGGCGGCCGCTAGTAAAAGATAAGAATGTAATGAAGTAAACTCACGATAGTCCTAAGAATAAATCTTAGTAATTTTTAAAGGCTATCCAATATCGATATAAAATCATGTACTGTGTTTGTTCAAAATGATATAAAAATTAAAAAAAACACTTTAAATATAAATTGGAGAAAACTCCTTCAGGCAACCCTTCCACGACAAGGCAATGCAAGTTTTTATTATTACTGACGGGATTGCTACCATGTACGTACAGTCACGGAATGAAAAGGTTCGTCAGTTTTCAAATTGATTCCTTCAACGAATCGCGAGCACATTATATTACCTTTTGAAACTATGTTACAGAATAATCTCGAGTTAGAGAAAATAATCTTTAACTGTTCGTCAGTAAAGTTCAAAATTATTCAGATCAAAGTTGTTTGACGATTTATCTTGTCTTGATTGATAAACTAAAATCTTCTTGTTGGTTCAACCTGCATTATTATTTCTATTAAATAAAAAAAAACTATTGTCAATTGGTCAATGTCATCATTGCATTGCACTGACGGGATAGAAAAATAAACAAGCAAAACCATATTCGTTAGCAAACGTCATTTATTTATTTAAATGTTAGCAGCACTGTTTCGTGCACTGTTATCTTGGCAGGTTTGATTCTTACAGTACCTAGTGCAAGCGAAAACCGACACTAAGGTGGCGAACCTTTTCATTCCGCGACTGTACCTTAATTTTGAGTTTCCGATATTTCGGCACTGTTTTAAGCGCCATGGTCACGAAGTAACTGAGGAAAACTTGCGGGTGAGATGGTAGCAATCCCGTCAGTAATATTGAAACTTTAAAAGCATGTAAAAATAAGTATGAAGTCATAGCAAACTTTACAAATATTCGACATGATGTAGAGATTCTCATAAAACACACAGATTGGCAGCATGGCGGTTTAATATAGCAGTTACAATGGATAATCTGTAGACCTTCCGAGATAAGTAGCCGCTACGATAATATTTCCGAGCCACGAGGCACGGTCTTTCATCTGAAACTACTATTTTATTTATTGGAAACGCAAAACATACTTGTTATTTTTAAACAATAAACTGGACTGTCAAACCCGGTAAATACCTAATAACTCGTATTTTTTTCTCTTTGATATGATGAAACGCCAGCTAAATATCAATTTATAACCACACGCCAACAAAATAACCACAAGGAATAACAAAAAATTGGCCAAGTGCGTGTCATGCCACGCGCAGTGTAGGGTTCCGTAGTGGTCCGTCGTTACCACAGTATATTTCAGAAGCAAGCAATTACTTCATCTACATCACTTTTCATATTTTCTTCTAAGGAATTTTCACCACGTAAAAAAAAATTCAAAATTTTATTCTACCGTTTTGTCGGCGTGATTAATATACATACCTACCTCCACAAAATTACAGCTCTCTAGTACCAATAGTTTCCAAGCAAAACCTCGGACAGACAGACAGACATAATCGAAACTATAAGGGTTCCTTGTCAGGACTACGGAACCCTAAAAACAATCAAATGATATTTAATTATTTTTTAGATTAAACTAATATATTAGTTTACTTTGCTTGCTACAACGTTACGAGACCACGAGAGTGAGGAGCGCTACGACCTACTACGGACAGTGGCTACGGTGCTACGGGTTACAGATTGTTGCTACGGAAATGGTGCTACGAAACTTGTGATTCCGAACTACTAATTACATTTTCTAAGAATGAAATAATGTCCAATCATTTTAATATTCCTTGTGTATTTACCAATTGATTCATAGGGTACTTTTAGGATTTTTAATTTTGGTATATTTACTGCCGTATTTTTATTTATTTCATTTTGTACCGCCTACTTTATTCTCTGCATAGAAGTTTTAAATAAATAAATACTGGAGCACAGTTGTAACAGTTCGGTGGAAAAAGACTAATTATTATATAAAGTTAGTGACTATTTACTACATTTAAGTCCTAACTGTCAATGTTTATTCATTACTTTAAACGCTCCACTACCAAGTTTCCTCACAAACGTAGTTACAAGCTCAGCAAGCAAATTAAAAGACCCACAAAACACTTTAAATATTTTTAAACGGTTTGTTTTGAAAATTCCAGATGATCTCAATTTGTAAAGTGTAGATTTAATATTACTCGTAATGTAATAATCATTTAGTTACCAAAATAAATATTACTTTTATAGTATCAACAGTATGTATACTTATTATTGAATCAGATTTTAGTGGTTAATAACAATACAGGGTGTTAGGTAAATGGATATATGAGCCGACACTAGACTACTACACTTCATTTTAATTTTCATACAAATCGTATTTTATAAAATTTATTTTGTATGAAAATTAAAATAATTAAAATGAAGATATCAATTTTTTGACTTCACCATACCATTTATATGCCCATGTGAACATGGGCTAGTGTCGGCTCATATACCCATTTACCTAACACCCTGTATAAAATTATGCTTTGTATTACATTGGAATGAAACTGGTATCTTAGGCTTATATGGTATTTTTTTATAATAATAATAAAAATAAATAAAAATCTTTTTATAGTATTTTATTTATCATGCTATACAGTTGTTTAGCGTTAAATAAAGAATGAGATATAAACTGAAGAAGGCTATTTTAGTCAGTATTTAAACTTCAGACAGCAGTTCTAATAAAGTCCTAAAGGACAAGATATTTTTACTTAATTATGGAGGCCCTTTTAAGGAATAGTTTCGAGGGTCGGATCGTCCACTCGGTGTAAGTGTGTTTTCGTTCAATTTGCTGATCGAGAGCAGGTGTTCGTCATCTAAATATACACTTTACGTAAGTACAAACTGTTTTTAAGGTATTTTTATTATTATTGGTTTTTGGGCCTTTATTTGCGCCAACTCGACCAGGTTTGATCTATTGTGGCAGCCCTTGTCTTTAAAGTTCACTGCTTAGTCCCGTTGAGTCTATAAATTTCCAGATTCTTTGGAGCGTGATATCTGCTATCTCATCCGGGTGCATGATGTGTCGCCCGAGATGGATACTTCTTTTGCTCATAAGCGGGAAGCATGAGCAAATAAGGTAACTAGTAATATTAAAAGAACCCTGGATGGTTTTAAGTTTTCTGAGTGAATTATGGGAACCCTCAATACTTATCATGCAAATTGTTCTTGTGAGAAACTTGAATAGAGTTATAGTGAGCAGATATTAGGAAGTGTTGTGTAAATATGTAAATTTTAATTTAGGGGGTTCTTTGGCACAGATAGTTAGGAAGTATGAACGATTTTGACAGTAACAGCAGAAACATAACATACCTGCAGCCACAAAAAAAAGCAACAAATGCTTGCTCTTTCTTAAGCAGCACCTGAATTTCGCAAATCTAAACCGATTGAGTGATCAAAAATGTCCACCTAAATAACGTCACAAAAAACAACTGACTGTCGGATGTAGTTCTTTCAAAGACCGCTAACCCAGTGTTTCCCAAACTATGGGTCGCGAGCGAACATTGAGTGGGCCCTGCCTGTAGAACGACACACCACCCTACCGATCTAACCGCTGGGCAGCGGGCGAAATTTCCTATAGGTGGGTCCCGAGTTTGGGAACTTGTATTAGATGAGTCGTAGCCCAGACAACTTTAGGAACCACTGCGCTAAACCATTGACTAAATCACGTCAATAGTCAACAATCTATGGCATCAAAAAGAAAAAGAAGCCCACCCAAATAAAAACGTCACAAAAAACAACAGACTATCAGAATATAATTCTTTCAGACTGCATCATACGCCCGTATTCACAAACGATGCTTGCTTAAGTGAAGCAGCAAATCGAACGCACAGCGTTGAATAGAGTTCTGTGATTGGTTCGTGTGTCACCCTGTGCGTCCACGCCCACTGTGAGACCTCATAGTAATGTTTGTGAATACAGGCGTAAGTCAACAATGTATGGTATCAAAGAGAAAAGGCACACCCAAATAAAAAACGCCACAACAAACAACCGACTATCGAATGTACCTAGCTCTTTTTAAACCATCAAGGTTCATCAAAAAGACCCATCCAAATAAAAACGTCACACAAAACAACAAACTATCGGATGTAATTAAATATCTTTGGACATTTTACACTACGCTTCTAGTCCCGAACTAAGCAAAGCTTGTACTATGGGTACTAGACAACCATAGCTGGGCATTAACTCGTTAATCCGTTAATCGTTAATTAACGAAGTTAACATTTCTATTAACGGATTAACTTTTAAGTTAACTATAAAAAATGTTAACGGACTCGTTAACTTCCGTTAAATTATCCTAAGTCCGTTAATCCGTTAATCCAGTACCTACTATTTACCAAAAGCACGCTGAAAAACGCGTTCTGACAAGTACGTTCGGGCTTCCAGAACTTCCAGAACCCAAAACAACAGTTTTTGTAACGGCCAAGTGCGTGTCGGAAATTATTTTTTTTAAATTTAAGTTATTTGTATGAAAGATTACGCGGTAATAAGCGGTTTACGATTTACAAGGTATTAAAAAAAAAACTACTTACTAGATCTCGTTCAAAACAATTTTCGTTGGTAGTTTTTATAGTAATGTACATCATGTTTTTTTTAGATTTTTCATTTTCTTATTTCAGAAGTTAGAGAGGGGGGGAAACCAACTTTTTTCCACTTTGGAAGCGTCTGTCATGCAAACTATTCGATTTTGAAAAAAAAATATTTTAGAAACCTCGATATCATTTTTGAAGACCTATCCATAGCACACGTATGTTTGATGAAAAAAAAATTTTTGAGTTTCAGTTTTAAGTATGGGGAGACCCCAAATTTTTTTCTATTTGTTATTTTTGCATCAAAATCTTAATGCGGTTCACAGAATACATCTACCTACCAAGTTTCAACAGTATAGCTCTTATAGTTTCGGAAAAAAATGGCTGTGACATACGAACGGACAGACAGACATGACGAATCTATAAGGGTCCCGTTTTTTGCCATTTGGCTACGGAACCCTAAAAAAGAGGAATAAATTCCATGCGCGATACAAGCTTTCGAAATTATTTGAACCTTGCATACAATGATTTTTTTCGTTTTATTATCATGTGTTAACGGATTAACGATTAACGTTAACTTGCGTTAAATCTTGTGAAATGTAACGTTTTAACGTTTAACGAAGTTAATTTTTTTATTAACGGTTTAACGATTAACGAAGTTAACTATTTGATTAACGGTGCCCAGCTATGTAGACAACAGATATAAACATACTTAAATACTTTTTTTGTAAATACATACAAATTATACATAGTAACACCCAGGCCCATCACAGAAATTGAAATTCATCATTTCAATTTCTGCCCTGTGGGAAATCGAACCCGGGACCTCTCGGCATAGTAGTCCGTACCTATCGAAACCACTACACCAAACGGCCGACATTCTTTCAAATACTGCATCTAAGTCAAGAATCTAAGGTATCAAAAAGAAAAAGAGCCCACCCAAATAAAAAACAACAACAAACAACCGACTATCGGATGTGTGCGCAATGCCCGCAATTTCCTTCGTCGCGTGCGCAGCCACCGGCGATTGTGCGCTTCTGCGAACCGCGGTTGACAAACAAACCGTGTTTATAAGCAGCGACGTGTCGGCTGGCGAGTGAGACGACGATGGCGAAGGGCTTATGATAGAAGATTCATCATCATCATCACCATCAGACGTCCACTGCTGAACATGGGCCTCTCCCAATGATTCCCACATCGCCCGGTTGGTAACTTGGTAGCGGCCTGCGTCCAGCGCCTTCCTGACCTTTATGAGGTCGTCCACCTTGAAGAAGATTCATAAAAATGCATAAAAATAATTTTATGTTTGCAAGTAGGCTTTTAAAAAGCACTTTTACGCGTCTCAGTATTAACCCTACCACTGCTTCAGGACAATAAATGGGCCAGTGCTGAAAAGAAGCAGCGCAAGAAACTCAGTTACTATTGTCAGCCTCTTTCTCAAGGGTTTACAAAGTATTTACAATATTACAGTTATAAATATTGATGCAAGCTATGCAGTTGAACATTCCAAATATTTTTATCTTTTATAATCATCAACATCAGCCCTTTATTCATTAAGTTTTAAGATAACCCAATAATTTGAACACATTTTTGACGATTTGGAAGGACTCTTAACTCTTCAAGCCCCGCCAATCGAAACAATAGAAATCAATTGTTACGCGGTCTTATGCAACCGCTTGGGGTTTGATGGGTTTAATTTTCTAACCGTACCTTTAAATAAAGATAAATCATATCCACCATATGGCAACAATTCGCAAAGTCACCCTGTATATCATACCACATCTCTAGCGCCATCCCTACAATAGGTACATTTTTTTTTATGCAGAACAAGGCAGGTATTTGATCGCAATCGCACCTGATATCGAGTATAAATATGGAGATACCTACTTGGTTATTAAAATAAGTCACACGTTGCTTTGTAACTTTCCACCTGGCTATAAAACACTAGGTTTATCGATACAAAAAAGTGTTATCGTAAGAAAATACTAGATTTATCGATACAAAGGAGACTATAACTTGATTAAAATACGGAAAAGAAGTTTCATTTCCAGCCAGATAGATTGAAGCCAACAATCCAGGAAGCACATTTTGTGTCCCTTGGGAATGGTACACAATAAGTTTCATAAAAATGTACATTCCTTCAGAAGTAGGAATTAATTTACAATTATTATTAAAAGTAGCAATTGTTTTGCATTCACACTTAAGTATGTAGGTAGGCACTATTTAGAGTTAAAATCTACCAATGAAAGTATCATAACAGTTAATTAATTTTAAACGTTGGGCAAATAGGTACAGGTTACCTATCCGCGTTAAAACCTGTTCAAATTAATTTAAAAAAATACCGAATTGAAAATTTTCCTTATTCTATTAATTTATTGAAAACGCTCAATTTAGAGATTTGAGTTATCTAGACCATAGCAATCCTTTCTCTGTAATTGGATCAAAATGATTACGCTAAAGTAACGGAATAATTCTAATACTTAATTGGAAGCAAAGTACAACATTCAACATTTCACTGACTGAGTTTAAAAAGAAACCACTCTGTTAGATTTAAATAAACATTGAGCAGCATTTTTAAAGATATCCTTTCTAACAAATTGCTATACTAATAGGACTAATTTAATGTCAATACGTTCCTCGCTTCTTGACTTTGTAACGTCGAACCCTTTACAGGAAAAAGCGGGTTTCGATTTGATTTTAAGTCTGATACTACGTCTTTATTGTTGGGGGTATAAGGTTGATATTTGGGTGTGTAGGTGCACGTGTGGTTTCAAGGGAATCTTACGGGAAAGTAATGAATATAAAATAATTGGACGACAGAGACGTTTCGTCCTACAGTGCGGCGCAAATGCCCTCTTGCAATTCAACAGTTGGTCGCCGCGAAAGTAGCGATGGCAGAAAAATGATAACTAATTACAATTTTAAAATTATAACGTTTATATTGTCAGAGTATGATGATTAAGCATTAAAATGTTTTGGGTCACCTATAACGAAAGTTGCAAATAAATGTCGGCCAAACTAGGCGAAGTTTGACTCAGATAGTTAAAGAGTTTTTACCTAAATGGAATTATTCAGTCAAATTATGCAAGCTGGTTATACTTAATTTGATATCAACACAGATAAACCCCGAAGACTATCTAGAATGTCATAAAGATTTAAATTTTACCCATTTTCAAAGAGTTTCAATGTCAATTTCAGCTTTCTTAGGTCTACTCGTAATTATTTTGGGGGAAGCGTTAAGTTACGATAACAATTAGGACAAATATTCGAAATGATTATGACACCAACACTAAAAATCTATTATTAAATAAAGATAGAAGACTTCTTGAAAGATTGTAAGTCGTATCTGTCCGAAAATACTTCCCAAATAAACTATAGAGCAAGTTTATTATATGGACCACTATTCCCACTTCTGTCTGAGTCGCTTTCACGCCTAAACCACTAACCCAATTTTGATTAAATTTGACATAGTTTGAGTCCCGGGAAAGGACATAGAATAATTTTTATCCCGGTTTATAAAACCAACGCGCGCGATAAAGTTTTTCTGTGACAGACAAAATTCCACTTGGGCAAAGCCGCGGGCGGAAATCTTTAAAGAATCTACATTTTACTATTAATTTTCTTCTTTAAAAAGAAAAGTTATTAATAAAAATCACCGTTTTTTGCTACCAGTACTGCGCCGTCCAATGCACGCGCTATAAAAGGCCCGCGCGCGCGGAATCCTCACTCAGTCGGTGTCCATGTTCTACCAATTGAAGCAAGTGCCACCCCTTAGTTTTTCGGTTATGCTGTATTAATTGTTTTTAAGGTAAGTTTTGGACTTTCTTTTGGCTTAAGATGGGATAATTTTAGTTTTTAGGGAGAATATTTGGTGGATTTTTTTTGCAAATTTGGTAGTAGAGGCCAAAATTCATTTAAATTATTGATTTAAATACAAATAAACAAGAAAAATATTTTTTAATAAAATGAAAATAAAAAAATTAAATAGGCACTTGACAAAAAGTGCATTGAGCCGTTAAATTCGCGTAATTTAAATACATAAATCATAATATCAAATTATTAAACACATAGTAACTAAACAGTGACTCTTACATAGTAGGCCATACCTACTATCGAGTATCAAAAAATTATCAAAAAAGTTCAACATAGCATAATATAATCTTTAAAATAATTAATAAAAAATAATTTATTAATAAAGTCTGCCACATAAATAATAAGTAATAATTTATTATTTATGTGTTTTATTAAATAATTTGCACAGAATACAAATAGTACCTCTATTTGAAGGGCGAACTTAAAGCAATAAAGCTAAGCGCGGTTTGTCTTCCAGTCAACCTTTAATATATACAAATACCTCTCCGACAATGGCTATTTAAAATTTATCTACATATCAAAAGGGTCATCGTCTACTGTCCCATATGGATCGTAAAAGATAGGTAACTAATCCTGAATTTAGTTAAGTAGAGCTAACTTAGTAGGTATAATAATATTACAGTGACAAGACACACACAAGCTTGAAAAATTTATAAGTTATTAAATTATACACGTGAATAAATACAAAATTAATTAAATATACCTAAGCCTATGAACTTGGTGTGTTGTTCTACCAGACAATTCATACGAATCAATGAAAAAAATAACCATCCTTTATTAGTTTAAATACTGAAAGATTGTAAGCTGTAAGAAATAGCCTAAAATCTTTCAACAAATAAAAAATCATTTAGACTTGATCATCGCGTATAAATCCATAGCGCTGTGCTTTCTTTCAATTTAATGAAATTAAAAATAACAATAAAAAAAGACATTAGACGTACGAAATCATTTAAATTTATTACCTAAGTAGTATTATTTTATTTTGAAATAATATTTATTGAAAATCAAAGTCGCTTTCGACACCTGCACATTCCAACCGTTGAGCGTTTTTTCGCATTGACTACCCACTCCCAGAATGTTATTTTCAGGCCCATGAATGGTCTAGAAGTTAGGGTATTATGTTTATTATATTTTAAAACCTATCATCGTTTATTCTGTATTGTTTTAACAACAATCAATTGGAAATGTCAGCAATTCGGAGGGCATCTTAGTAGACAATACGCGGAAGTCTCGGGAGGTTTCCCCAGCAATTCTACTAGGCAGCTTGTTGAATTTAAATTTGAAACGGCTATATTTGTATTTAATTTGTCGCGAGTTGATTACAGTTCAGCATGATAGCTTGATAAAATTTTTAACAAACTCTGCCATTTATGGGCGTCAAAAAGATGATAAAGGAATGAAATAAAGGCCTCTACATGTTTTATTTATCTTTGCAAAAAGACAACGCTACGAAAATTGTAGGAGTAGAATTTCATGAAATAATTTTCTGAACCGAATTAATAGTTTTTTTCCAGGAGATAGATAAACAGCCAATTGCCCTATTAAAATGAAGATATTTTGTTACTAGCTTATAGAATTTTGTCTGTCACAAAAAAACATAATCGCGCGAGTCCCTATTTCAAAAAACCGGGATAAAAACTATCCCATGTTCTTTCCCGGGACTCAAAATATCTCAATGCCAAATTTCATCAAAATCGGTTCAGTGGTTTAGGCGTGAAAGCAAGACAGACAAACAGAGTTACTTTCGCATTTATAAATATTGGTATAGATTTTAAAATTAAATGGATAACATAATCTTCTAAAATGTTGGTAAAGATACTGACAATAGTGCAGTCACTCGCAAGAAACTCGGTAATTTCTTGTGCTTCTTCTCAGCACTAGCCCATATTATTGTCCTGAAGTAGAATTGGGACGTGTAAATGTGCTCTTCACACATTTTATGATTATTTCGATGGGTAGCGTACATTTGGATTGGTATAGATAGGTAGTACCACGGTAATACTTAATTACCGTGGTAGTACCTACGTCTTGCGCCGTTATGATATTGCTAACACGCAAACTATAATACATACTCCATTCTGCAGTCGGTTAAAATAAAAGCAATCATGGCCCATTAAACACTCGAACAAAAGACGCTCAGAATCAGCGTTGCATTGCGTAAGAGAAAACGCATAATGAAAAATTTAATGGAATCTTGAGACGAGCGTTTGTTAGCAAACGGAATTTCTTATTGATCTTCTCCTATCATGTGGGCTATACAGATTGTAGCTTTAAGTATGGATCAAACCAAAAGGATTCGTTCTACGGCTCAAATGTTGCATTTGAACTTTCCCCAAGAAAATAATGTTCAAATCTTACAAAAAAAAATACATCAGTAATCAGCCAATGATTAAAGGGACGTCAATTTTATTTTTGAGAATTTGGATCAATTTGGATATTATTTCTGTAGGATTATTGTTACATTTGAGCAGTAGAATCAATCCTTTTTGTTCGATCCATACTTAACACCCCCTATAGTGTCACCTACTTGCATTTGACATGGTTCCGAGAAAACCTTGAAGTAACATTCATATCGAAAACTTTGCGTAAATCAGTCCTATACAAGGAAAAACATTTGTGACAGATTCTAAGTATTTCGAACGTGATTATACTCTTCACGTGAAGTAACTACTTGTGTTACAAAAATAGCGGGGGTTAAGCCAATTTGGCCACCTAGATATTGAGTGCTTCTTCCCAAGTTTAGGGAAAAAAGTTGACTTTTGACCTTTGAATAACTATCCGTTCTCCTATGGTTATAGCGGTTTCTGAATCGAGATTCTTAACTTAAGAATGAACCCAAGCCTATTTTCGTATCTAAATTGTGAGTAAATCAACTTGGAGAATTCGTTTTGAGTAACCTGAAATCAATTTAGGATAATTCAGAAAAGAAAACACGAAAAGTATGAGCATTTTCTCTATAAGTCTGGTCTGCGAGCACGTAGAATTTTGTCCAATGACCCCAAGCTACTCATCCTTATCGCTCGCACGTAATATTATGTTGCTGTCGCGCTCGCACACTCATTGTGGGCGCCCGTCGCACAGTAGCGACAGCAATATAATTACTATTAATTACGCGCGAGCGATAAGGATGGGTAGCTTGGGGTCATTGGACAAAATTCTACGTGCTCACAGACCGGGCTTTAGCTTCAAATCTTAATTCAGAAACCGGTAAGACTTCATCAATCCTATGATCTGAGTTTGATTTCCAGTTACTTAGTACCTACATGTGAGTACTAAACTAATGGATAGGTAGGAGGCTTGCATGCTTTAATAAAAGGCTTTTCCTAAAAGGATGCCTCTGTCTCTGTTTTGGAATGCGTCGGTCTGATTGAGCCACACTAGACGGGCTCATTAAGGCTGTCACTAGCGTTGCAGCCTCGTTGTAACAAGCCAAATGATGGAAGAAGGCTTTGCTGTTGCGTTTGTAAATCAAAGGTTTTGTGATTAGAATAGAATTGAAACTGGGTTTGATTGATGACAAACCTTCATCATAGAGTAGGAAAATAACATAGGGAACAATGGTGTTTTAATAAACTTGAATTTTATGCCAGCCAACATTGAAGATACAGTTATTGATAGATTAAATGGCTCCATCAATCAATAAGGCAGTTAAAATAACATCGAGGTGGAAGGGTTGTAACTTTGATCCTAATCCCAATCGACCGCTCTGTACCTCTAGCACGAAAAACCTTCGACTTCAAATCGTTTGCGTATTGGAATCGCCATCAAAAAATTTAGTATGAAAACTTAAACAGCGCCCCTGTGAACTTGACCTAAAGTGAACTCAGTATGAGAAATGGTAGAACGAAACTAATTTTGACAGTCGAGATCGTCATATTATTGTTGAAATCGAAGGCTGGGTATCGCATTTTTTCGAATACGCAAACGATTCGAAGACCAAGGTTTGTCGTGCTAGCCACCCTGGACTATTGTGGTCCTATCCTTTTAACACAAGTTTTTATTTAGGTGAATTGGAGGGGTAAAAAGGATATTAGTAATTTGTTGAAGGTAAATTAATAAAGGTATGAGACCCTTTAAAAACTTATGAGTCGCATTCGATTCAAGGAAGGAGAGTATTTCACTACAGTACCCAGAATTTCCTTGGAAAGTCCTTACATTGTTTAGCGATGTGCTTTTATCTTTGTAAATTATGTACTTACTTATTATATTCTATGTACTCATTATATTCATGTATTCCCACACTCTTACAGCTTGTTACTGCCCACGCGGCAAAATGCTCACCCAATAGGTAGCTCTACTATTTATATCCTACCAATAGAACACAGCGTAGGCGGTGGACTAAATGTAGTACATCACAAGCCAATCATATAATGATTTGCATTCCTATTAGGCAGACATAATGTGTTTAGTACTATTAATAACATAATATTAAACATGCAACGGTAGTAGTAATGGTATTGCACTATCTATTTTGATATTCAATATCAATGATTAGAGAGGCTGTGTGCAATGTGCATAAATAGAAATATCTATTTCCTTGACTACTTAATAAAAACATTCATATACAATCAAACAGCCTGTAATTTTAGGTTAAACTCCAATCATGAAATGAATTGGGTTCAAAAGTAATGAAAAATACCTTTCACTATTAGATTTTTCATAGGTCCTAGATTCATCAAAGTTCAGCGGTTTAATTAGGCGTGAAAAGATAACAAGCAATTAACAAATACGCAGATTATTTAGTTTTACTTACATTTAATTAAGAGCCAGATTAATAAATTGTCAACGCTTAGTAACTACCTGCTTATATTTTTACGAAAACACCTTCAAGAGTTTCCCTTTCTCAAAGCCTAGAGATAGTAGTCCTTCCAAAGACTTATTTGTAGAAGTTTTAGAGATAACTTCTACAAAAATATTTTCAGTTTACGATATCAGAAAGAAGTATAGCAACTTGTTAAAGGCACCGAGCAAATCTGAAGTAAACTAAACGGTTCCGAAATATTTGTTAAAAGTTTATGCAGAGGAAGCTACAGTCAGCATTGAAAACTTATGCTTTTTGTGAAATGTGGGAGCTAGTTTCGCAACTAAAAATGTTGCGTATCTATTTATGTTTGTATCTCAATAATTTTATTAGATGTAGAGCTATTTTAAATTTGGTGCATGGTCAANACCCTGTATAATGACGTTTGGCTCCCGAATATCAGTAGGTAAGCTATTGGCCAATCATAGTTACTTAGTTAAATAGTTTAGTTAAAATACCTCTCAGTGAGCCCTTTAGAAAAACAGAACTCCGCTGAATTGCAGCAGTAATACAACTTATTACGCTAATGCAACACTGCCATTATAAGTAGGTAGATAACTTAATGCCAGTAAAGTTTAAAATATAGACAGGCGATTTTTGCGGTATTTTAAATGATCTAGGATTGGGAATAAGACCTATTTGAAGCCGTCACCATTTCAAGAGAATTCTTAGAACACAAATAGGTAGGTACGTATCTAAGAAGGGCAACAAATTAGTAAGATGGTAACTTAAATGAAATGCTAAAATTGTCCTTAATAATATATCCTCTGCACCTCTGGTCCTCAATTTATACACCTACGTTCACCACACCCCCATTCTAAAATTTCCTTCCATTTTCGGGGATCAGTGTACAAAGTAACTCTCAATATTTCCCCTAGTTACACACAAAACATGTGTTGAATAATACATCGTTCAGTAATACAAGCAATTTAACAGGCGCGAAGGCAAAAGAGGGCTACAACAAAGGTTTTATTAAGTTCTCTGTGAGTAACTACGCATCAAAGGATGATAATCAGTGTTTGGAAGTTGTAAGTTAGTGGCTCTATGGCGTGGTGGGTTGCTTTGGAAAGAGGTTCCAGGTTTGATTCCCTATTTAGTCAGAAAATTGTGATTGGTGGCTCGAGTGAGTCACACCATAGGTTCAGGGTTCATTTCCTTCTTTAGTTAGTTCAAAGAAACATAGGTTTTTTCAGGCTTCAGGTCGTTGAAAGACTGATTATATTATATTTTCATATTAATTCGACTCTTAATTATTATCTTCGACATAATTATAATGATAAGGACTAGCTTAACTTTAAATGACATCGATTATTTATAATTGATGCAAATGAATTTATTACAAAACGTCTAACAGTGAACATAAATTGAAACTTCCCGGAGATTATTTTTGGTTTTGTGTCACGAAATATATTGTTAATTAAGTAAATTATAGTGTTGTCATTGTTGTGTACTTTTTGTATGTACACCTTCAATCTAAATATTACACTTTTTTAAATGTTAGAACTACCTACTTTTATTTATTTACATAAACACCGACACCGAAATAATACCTCTTAAAAACTGAATTAAAATAATTTCATTAGGTACCTACCTACTTACTTGTTTTGTAAATTAAGTCAAGAGGGTCTGGAATATTTCAACTAATTTCAATAGAATTCAGTAACTTGATATGCTCTGAGACACGGGATCTTGCCCTGAGTGCTTTTGCATTAATAACTATGGACTCTGAACCTACTTTATATGATAAATTGATGAAGATGTGAAAGGAGATATTGATAATCACTTGTCTATTTTCTTTGTGAAGACAATTGGTGTTACAAACAACAAATGTAAATTATACATATTTTCTAAACTCTTGTTTTGGGAATAAGGCTGATTGTATCGCATACTTAGTAGAGAAACTAAAATATTAATAATAATTATTATTATAAAACTTTATTGCACAATAGAATCGTACAAAAGGTGGACTTAATGCTATTTAAGCATTCTCAGCCAGGCGACCCCTGGGTTATGCAGAAAGCTGTGAGTGCAAAGGTAGAGGTAGAAGGGTAGATGTTAAAATTGAAGTTAAATTTTTAATTGATATATAATTCATATACTATCTCCACGAGTATCTAGAGTTCGGATAACAATAAATTACAGCTCGTCAAATAATATTGTGATTGGTGATCTTAATAATAACTTAGGGTTTTTGTTAAAACTCGCGTGTCTGTAGCTATTGATAGCCAAGATAGATAGTAATGCCAAGGAACCTTAATTATTTTGGGATTTACATTGCTGTGCCTTATGCACGGTAATGCACAAAGCCCAATAAATAGAAGAAACTAGCGGCCGCCCGCGACTTCGTATGCGTGGATCCCGTTGTGAAATTTCGTAAAATCCTTTCTTAGCGGATGCCTACGTCATAACATCTACCTGCATGCCAAATTTCAGCCCGATCTGTCCAGTGGTTTGGGCCTTTGAGACCTCCCTATACACAAATGGTGTAAATGAAGCCATGCTATCAACCAGCTCTATCTCTACCACATTTGTAACAACTCCTGTACAGACGTATCTAACAACGACAATTTCTTTCCAGAACAATGTCGCACAAATGGATCATCTTCACCTTCTCGTGGTTCGGCACAGCAAGCCTGCAGTACATCAACACCGGCGGCCCTGGCGCTGACACCGTTCTCGACCCCCTAGACTCCACCCTCCACTACCCCCTACCCTATGTCCATTATTTCAACCTCCAACCCTCACGGAACGAGTTCGAACCCTACCAAGGCGAGTCGCAACACTACAACCAGTTCTACCAACCCAACGACAGAGAGCAACCAGATTTGCAACGCAAGCGCCGCAAGGCTGAAGATCAGGAGGACATCCGCACCAGGCGATGGCTACCTAACCTGGTGGACACAGACAAAACCATGTACTTTCGGAACGACGAGAAAATGCCTGGGAGCCCTTTTATAGTCGGATTCTCCGGGACAGTCGATGAGAACGCAACGGATCTGCTGAACAGCATAGACATGAGAGATAAAAAGAATTTTAGTCCATGGGGCGGCAAGCGTAGCAAGGCGAGCGTGGAACACATGTGGTCCTGGAAAAGATCTTCTGGTATCAGAGAACCGAGCATGCCTAAGCGTGTCCGCTTCAGCCCGTGGGGAGGAAAAAGATCAGGCCAGATGGTCTTCAAACCTGGTGCCAAAGGATCCAAGATTATATTCTCAACGTCTGTACCCGAACTCACACGGATAGTCTCCAACTTCTCGCCGACAGGAGAGCGGTTCGATTTAGCCGGTTTCCAGTTCATACCCTCTTTGGACAAGCGGCACCCGATCAAAGTGCTAGCGTTGAGTACGCAGGTGGACGATAAGACCTTACGAGAGGCGTTGCCATTTAAGACGTTCCTGGAGTCTTTGCCGAAGATTTTCAAGCCGGGCCATCCTTACTCGGACGTGAATTTAAAGAAGGATGGGAAGAGGAAAGTCAAGTTCAGCGCTTGGGGCGGGAAGCGGTCGCCGCCCATCATCGGGCCTATCTGGACTCCCGCGCCGCAGGACATCAAGGAGTCGACTCTGAACACGATACTGTTGATACGGAACAACCAAGACGACGAACCGGCGAAGGCATTGTAATGTGGAAGCATCCCGACAAATTGCTTTTAGTTTTAAGTGACTCCCGAACTTGACTGACGTTTGGCTGTACAACGGTTACTGTTAGATAAAGAATAAGCTTGATATTGGTGCCATAATGAGACTAAAACCAAGTTCGGGAGTTACAGCACACTGTCTCTGGCGAAATTGGCTGGGTTCGTCCGAGACACTGTCGAACTGATGAATAAATATTGTTGTTATTTATGATATTTGTTACCTACTCTTATTTATTGTGCTATCTTAGCAAGATAATAAAATAAACAGTATTCAGTTACAACTGATCTCGAGTTTTTTTTGGTGAACAAAGATGGCTTGGAAATAATACAAAAATGGTATTTTAAAAATAAATGTTATTCTTTAATAGTACCTAGTAATACACAATCCAGAAAAAACATCAAATAAAACTAATTGAGACAGATTCATAGGATTTGACAATCATTGAAATCTTTATACATATATGTTAAATGCAATAATAATAGACACCAATCATAAGTTCTAATCACATTTAGTCTAGTCTAATCACATTATTTAAAGTAGGTATAGAAATAGGGTGTATAGTATAAAAATATGGAATTAACCACACCTTATATAAGAATATTTATTAACTTACGATAGTTTGAGAATGTAGTCAAAAGCAGACTTATTATTACAATTTAAAGATTTACGAAAAAAATACTTTTGCAACCTTTTTGAGCTCTATCGTTAATTTGATACCCCACACGACTTAGGTATTTAAAAATTTACAATTCTCTTTTTTGGGTTACCAAAATATTTTTACGTCTTTCAAGACTATCCATCCTAGAAGTTTCTAATAGCACATTCTTTAGCTTGGGATTTATCCTGCTTTATATTCAATACTGATATTTTTAAACATTGGTGCAAAAAATCCTAATTATAAAATTTGGAGGTCTTAATTATAAAATTGTTTTTTAAAAATTATTGGCAGCAACAGGCATTCATTTATTTCGAGGTAGGAAAGTATACAAGTATTATGTTATGCACCCCCTCGCCAATGGGAGTTATACTATAATTTAGACATCTTTAAACCTATCTTATATTACAAAACACAATAGCTGTCGAATAGAATTGAGACACATACATTCAAAATTGCGTTTTTCCATGAAAGAAGATTTAATAAGCCAGACCCATACCGGAACTTAAACACAGATAATATCATACTCAAAATAGTGTTAAATGCATACACAGGCTACTTGACATTGTATAACAGTCATATACATTGAGTGTGGAATGTTCAACCACATGCACCACAAAATATAAATTGGTGATTGAAATACAGTCCCATAGCCTGATGAGTGAATAGAGAGGTAGATATTTAGTCATGAGATTCACCCTGGCACAGTAGTTCTATTGATGTGAAATGTGAATGCAGGCCCCAAGGAATTTTTAGGTGGCCTAGTAAAGTAGTAGTAGTAGAATTATGAATAGATAACGGCACACCAAGCTTAACACTGTGGCTGTAGAAGTAGTAGGTGCCAGTTTAATACATAAATACCTATAAACCTGATGTGCCGTAAGTAGGCAGATTTAAGACATATGAAAATACAGACTTCGAAAAATTTGGTACATAATTTCCTAATTTCACAACATAGAGAAATACTTATCTTATAATCACATGAAAAATTAGGCTGTTCTAAGGATGATATGAACTCCAGAATCAGTTTCTACAGGTTTGCTGAGCTGCCCCACCTTTNCTAAATAATAGGCGATACTAAAAAAATACATAAAATACACAAAAAATGCCAACAAATAATAAAAAATGACACTTTTTGAAAAAAATCTGCTTAAAAATTCGTGTTTTTTTGGTTATTTGATAAATTTCTCCAAAAAATGCCCCTATAACAGGTGGTTTTTATTACTTTGTATTATTTTCTATTGTATTACCTTCGTAAACCAAAAATCGCATGTCTCTATCCCTATCACAACGTTTGCAATGATCGTTTGAACTAAGCCTCTCCGGGCGCGCCATTCAACGCTTCGTTAAGAACGAAACTGAAAATGGCTCTAGATTTGTAATTTTGATAAAGACAAGTTAGATTTCAAATAAAAACAAAAGGTTTCGAAGTAAAATAAGCATTTTAGTTAAAATTAAAATTGTCTCTACCTGTAGCGGACAATAATGTTGTGGCCGGCCTTTGTTCAAACGATCACAGCAAATGTTGTGATAGGGATAGAGACATGCGATTTTTGGTTTTACAAAGATAATACGATAGAAAATAATACAAAGTAATAAAAACCACCTATTATATGGGCATTTTTTGGAGAAATTTATCAAATAACCAAAAAAACACGAATTTTTAAGCAGATTTTTTTCAAAAAGTATCATTTTTTATTATTTTTTGTGTATTTTATGTATTTTTTTAGTATCGCCTGTTATTTAGCATTATTACTGTTTTTATTTTATCAGGACATACCGCCTAGTTTAAAAGTTATTACGTTTTCTTTACAATAAGTAATCGGAAGAAAAAAAAATCTATAAAAAATTAAAAAAAAATCTCAAAAAAATTTTGACCTCTTTTTTGTCGATAAAAATAGGTCTAGTTTCATCTATTTTCATATGTACACTTTAACGTGACTCACACTGTATATCAAAGTTGATATATATCGGATATATATCATAAATATCCGATATTTTGATATTTATAATAAATATCGGATATTTTCGAACCCTGTATAGTATAAAAATATGGAATTAACCACACCTTATATAAGAATATTTATTAACTTACGATAGTTTGAGAATGTAGTCAAAAGCAGACTTATTATTACAATTTAAAGATTTACGAAAAAAATACTTTTGCAACCTTTTTGAGCTCTATCGTTAATTTGATACCCCACACGACTTAGGTATTTAAAAATTTACAATTCTCTTTTTTGGGTTACCAAAATATTTTTACGTCTTTCAAGACTATCCATCCTAGAAGTTTCTAATAGCACATTCTTTAGCTTGGGATTTATCCTGCTTTATATTCAATACTGATATTTTTAAACATTGGTGCAAAAAATACTAATTATAAAATTTGGAGGTCTTAATTATAAAATTGTTTTTTAAAAATTATTGGCAGCAACAGGCATTCATTTATTTCGAGGTAGGAAAGTATATTATGTTATGCACCCCCTCGCCAATGGTAGTTATACTATAATTTAGACATCTTTAAACCTATATATATTACAAAACAATAGCTGTCGAATAGAATTGAGACACATACATTCAAAATTGCGTTTTTCCATGAAAGAAGATTTAATTAGCTTACCAGAATCATACTAGATAGAACTAAAGACAGAAAATATACTCAAAAAGCTATTTGACATTGTATGACATCTACATCAGATATGGAATGTTCAACCACATGCACCACAAAATATAAATTGGTGATAGAAATACAGTCCCATAGCCTGATGAGTGAATAGAGAGGTAGATATTTAGTTATGAGATTCGGTTGATTTTGCACAGTAGTTAAATTTCAATCAAATATTGGACACTAGAATTAGAATTCATACTTCTCAAGGAAATACTTAAACTATTAATCAACAATATTGCAAAATAAGAATATTATCATTTTACATTTCACTGACAAATTAAAGACTTATTTATGGTAGATGGATACATTGAATTATGAATAGATAACAGCACATCAAGTTTTTCGATGTGGCATCTTATGTAGAAGTAGTACGTGCCAGTTTAATACATAAATGTATAAGCCTGATGTGCCGTAAGTAGGCAGATTTAAGACAGATATTAAAATACAGACTTCGAAAAATTTGGTATACAATTTCCTAATTTCACAATATAGAGAAATACTTATCTTATAATCACTAAAAACATTAGGCTGTTCTAAGGATGATATGAACTCCAGAATCAGTTTCTACAGGTTTGCTAAGCTGCCCCACCTTCNCCACCTTTAATTTGAACGCTTCATCTTCAAACGCAGGTTGCATCTGTCCTCGACCGAACAGACCAAGATCACCACCACGTTTAGCTGAAGAGCAGTCCGAATACTTAGATGCTATGTCAACGAACGCTGTGTCGTTGCTGACTATTTGTTTGCGGTAGGTTTTAACCAAATCCATAGCCTCGTTTTTGGTTCTTGTGATTTTTTCCTCGCGCCATGACGAAGGGCGACGGCTCTCTGCGTGTTTCACTAAGATGTGGCTGCATCTGATCTCTCCGGGGTCTGCTGGCGCCTCCGGACGTTCCCATTGCGACTTTTTAGTGTAAGTATTGAGGAAATAAGTCATACCAGTGGAGCGGCTCGTTCTCATCTCCCATCCTTCGGGCAATGGTCCCTCTTTGTCTTGAGACATTCTGGAATATTCGGTGAATATTGTGGAATCACAAATTGGGCACAATACGACATATAGCAAGTTTCAAGATATGCTGAGTAAGAACATTAGATTAAAAGCCAAATAATCTGGATTTTACGCATTAGGCTTCACTAAGGTATATTATTACAGTGGTTAATGTTTATTTGATATCTTTGTTCACCAAAATAGTGAGAAATGTGCGCGAAAATACATTTTATTTACTAAATACTGTCTAAACTTAACCTATAAACTTTGCTAGTTAATTTTGTAAAGATAGAATCACCAAACGTACCTGGTTTCAAAGCAGCGTTCTTTAATACGCAAAGAATACAACTCCAATCAGTTTTCACTGAATATTATCACTTATTTTCACTACAAAATGTAAAAACTTTCTCGGCCCCTTTTCAATCGACGCTTTGTTTGACAGATAGTGATGTGCTGCCGCTTACCTAACTTTGTTATGATTTTACCGCACATATCAATTGAATAATCATACGCTTCTAATCGATATTATAAATTAGTAAAAAGGGAAAGACTACGAAGGTTTTATGTACACCCTTTTTTTTGTTAAAGAATCCTTATCTCGTTAACCCCTCGTGGCACAAAATAATTATGTTTGTGTTATCACCAATGGGTTCACCACCAGTGTACCACACACAGAACTCCAGCGGTAATATCAAGGTTCGAACCTTCGAACCCACGATCTTCGGGTCGGAGTAGGTATGCATAAAAGGTAAGAAATTGTGAAAGACACCATCTGTTTACGCCTTTTGCTATCGAGTTGTTAGATACGTGATAGGTACTTTAACTAGCAAAGATTTGCAAGGGTAGGAAATGATTAATAACAATCGCGTTACATAGGTGGCGCTGTTATGAAACCTGAAACAGCTGAAATTAGGAAGCGCCATCTAGTGAGATCAAGTGGCTTTACTTATTCAGGAGCGGTTTTATTTATTTAGGTAAGTAATACAAATTACAAACCCTGGAAAATTTCAGAGACTATGGAAAATTTCAGGGATTTTTTCAGAGTTCTCTCAATTGAGGCGGTATATTTTGCGGTTACGGTTTGATGTAAATGGAGGTACAAGAACTACGTGATTATCGCTTCTGTGTCAGGTCTAAAACTCCTTATGGGGCACAACACAAGATTCATTAAAACGCAGAACGAGAACACAAAAGAATGCTTTTCTTTTGGTTTTAAATTCTCTATAAAATAAAGTAAATAAAAAGTGTAGCAATTAAAATGGCAGAGAATGCCACTCGGCATTAAGTCCGCCAATGTACATCTGTATTAATATGTGCAAAAGTGTACCTTAATAATTAAATAAAATGTCTTCTTGAAAAAATCAAAAATCTTGTTTAAAGAATAGCTTCTCATAACATGAAAAAATCGAATTGCCTAAGACGGGAATCGAAGGTTGTGGGTTCGATTCTTTCAAGTTATTTAAAAAAGTGTAATATAAGGTAATCGGCTGGATTTTCCAGAGGTATCACCTATTGTAGGTACATTAATTGTGTTCGCTGCCTAGTTGCATTGCATTATGTTGCCCTTATTTGCCGATTTACCTCCAGATTGAGTTTGTTCTGGTTCAGGCCAGTTCAATCCAGTTTACACTACATCGTTTGCTTGATTGAGTGAGTTGCGAACGGTGTAGGTACACTAAGTTGTTCAAATTGATTTTGTAATACTAATCAATTCTAGAGCTGGGTGTTTGCACGTCGATTACAGTTGTAGGCGGTGCTGCTACAGTATGTGGTATTATAGATGGCGCTAAAAATATTTGCAATTTTAACTACTTTGGCAGACTAGTTTATGCTTATCTAACAGACGTTTATAGTTACTACATGAATAAATTCTGAGCTAGAGAAAATAATGCTTTTTTAATTTAAATATGAATAAGAAAGGGGAAAGTTAGGGTGAAAAATAATGAATCAAACAGTGGAGCTAAGAAAAGATAGAAATAAATTAGTTATCTTTTGGCACTAATTAAGTATAATAAATAATGTCTCGAAATAAGTATTGCAATAATTGAATGGGTAACAAATTGCGCTACTACGGAAATTTTGTTACATATTTACCTACACTTGAATTTATTTCATTAATTAGGCCTATGTTCAGCAGTGGACGTCCTATGGCTGAGATGATGATGATGATTTCATTAGAAGAGAAGAAAATGATTAAGCGAATCATAAGTAATTAGGTACTAATTATTTTATACAGGTACATAATATTACGATTATTAAGCTTTAAGTTCTTACACGTAGACCAAAGGAAATGTGATCCGGAGTCAATATTGATTAATAGTGTTGAAGTTCTAAATCTTAGAGCAACATCTTGTTACAGTTAATATCGCTTCCAGTTATCAAGATGCACGGGTATCTAGCTGGGGGCTGGAATACTAGACTAAACCTGAGTAAGCTTGCTTTCAGCTACCTAAATAAGGCATGAAACTGGTACTGTTTTCAGGAATCTGAAATCATATCAAATTATTTCGACAAACTTTTTTGTCATCATCGCCAATCATTTATTTACGCCCGTATTCACAAACATTACTATGAGGTCTCACAGTGCGCGTGCACGCTCAGGGTGACACACGAACCAATCACAGAGCCCTATTCAACGCTATATGGGGCACACTGAAAACCAGGGTCGTGGCCTTCCTCACCAGGGGCCACGGCATATGCTGAGTGCTCCCATTGCGATGGGCATCACTGTGCGACAGGGTGGCACTGTTCAGTTTACTTTTTCTTCAATTGTATGTTTTATGTGTTACCTCTGTCTTGTTTGCTTTTTTTTATATACCTATTTTGTCTTTTGTGATGTCCATGGCAATAAATGGGTATTTCTCATCGCCACGGTTCTCATCGTCACCTTCGTGGCGAATTTTATTTCTAACTTATTTCAACTTTTTGTAAACAAAACTTGTAGCGCTTGATGTGAAGATTGTATTCTCAATAAATCAGTCAAATTGTGAGTTTCGTTTGGAAGCTTTAACGTTTTGAATTTTTTGATGCCACGAAAGTGATTCTGTACTTCACAGCCATAATTTTTTCAAACTTTACTACCGTAAATGACTCTTAAGTATTTATAAAACATATTTTCATAGATAAATAGCAATAACATAATATAAATAGGTATCTACTTAAATACAAGATAAAATTTTACCGATTACGTCACCTACNATAAGTAACCTTTTATTTATTACTAGTTGTGCCCGCGACTTCTTACGCGTGGAAATCAAATCATTTTTTTCATGTTTCAAAAAAAAAAATGTTCTCAACTAATCAAAAAAATATCATCAACTCGCAAGCGTAAGAAACAATAGTCTTTTTTACAAAATGTGACAAGACGAAAGTCTTCGAGCAGTGTGTGTTGCCAGTGTTGACATATGGANAACACTGGTCCTGCCGCTTACTTAACTTTGTTATGATTTTACCGCACATGTCAATTGAATAATCGATAAGCTTCTAATCGATATTATAAATTAGTAAAAAGGGAAAGACTATGAAGGTTTTCTAGATCCTTTTTTGTTAAAGAATCCTTGTCTCGTTAACCCTCGTGGCATAAAATAATTATGCTTGTATTATCATCAATGGGTTCACCAGTTCCACACACATAGCTCGGGTCGGAGAACTCGATTCGGTCAAAAAGTGGGAAAATTGTGAAAGACACCATCTGTGTACGCTCTCGTTATCGAGTTCGTTAGGTACTTGAATACTTTCGCTAGCAAAGGTTTGCAAGGGTAGAAAATGATGACAATCGTGTTACATAGGTGGCGCTGTTATGAAACCTGAAACAGCTGAAATTAGGAAGCGCCATCTAGTGAGATCAAATGGCTTTACTTATTCAGGAGCGGTTTTCTTTATTTATTAAGGTAAGTATTACAAATAAACCCTGGAAGTTTTCAGAGACCATGGAAAATTTCAGGGATTTTTTCAGAGTTCTCTCGTTTGAGGCGGTAAATTTGCGGTTACGGTTTGATGTAAATGTAGGTAACTACACTAGATATAAGTACGTGATTTTCACTGTCTGTCTCAGGTCTAACACTCCATGGGACACAACACAAGATTCATTAAAACGCAGAACGGGAACCCAAAAGAATGCTTTTCTTTTGTGTTTTAAATCTATAATATAAAAATGAATCGCTAAATGTGTTGGTAAGCGCATAACTCAGCAACGCCTGGACCAATTTTACCAATTCTTTTTTTTTAATGTTCGTTGAAGTCCAAGGATGGTTTTTACGGCGAGAAAAGTTCGAATAATTTCTGGGACAACCCCGGGCGAAGCCGCGGGCGGAAAGCTAGTTGTCTATAAAATAAAGTAAACAAAAAGAGAGGTAATTAAAATGGCACAGAATGCCACTCATTGTAATATGTGCAAAACTGTACCTAAATAATTAAATAAAATGTCTTGTTTTAAAAGTTGCTTCTCATAACTTAAAAAAATCGAATTGCCTAAGACGGGAATCAAAAGGTCGTGGGTTCGATTCTTTCAAATTATTTTAAAAAGTGTAGGATAAGTATTAGGTAATCGACTGGATTTTCCAGAGGTATCAGTATGCCTATTGTAGGTACTTTTGCGTTCGCTGCCTAGTTGCATTGCATTATGTTGCCCTTATTTGCCGATTTACTCTCCAGATTGAGTTTGTTCTGGTTCAGGCCAGTTCAATCCAGTTTACACTACATCGTTTGCTTGATTGAGTGAGTTGCGAACGGTGTAGGTACACTAAGTTGTTCAAATTGATTTTGTAATACTAATCAATTCTAGAGCTTAGCTTAGATGTTTGCACGTCGATTACAGTTGTAGGCGGTGCTGCTACAGTATGTGGTATTATAGATGGCGCTAAAAATATTTGCAATTTTAACTACTTTGGCAGACTAGTTATTACTTAAGAGCAAAATGACGATTTTTAAGAACTATTTATTAGTCTAAACAAATAAAGAAATTTTGACTTTGACTTAAGTTACTTAATGCTTAACACACGTTTTAGTTACTACATGAATAAATTCTGAGCTAGAGAAAATAATGCTTTTTTTAAGTTAAATATGAACAAGAAAGGGGAAAGTTAGGGTGAAAAATAATGAATCAAACAGTGGAGTGAAGAAATCAGTTATCTTTTGGCACTTATAAATTATGTCTCGAAATAAGTATTGCTGAAAAATAGTTGAATTGGTAACAAATTGCTTGCTAAATGCTCGTAACAAACCTACTAGTCTACAGAAATTTTGTTACATATTACATTTTACTTCATATCAGTAACTAATTACTACTAATTTTATACAGGTACATAAATATTACGATTATTAAGCTTTAAGTTCTTACATGTAGACCAAAGGAAATGTGATCCGGAGTCAATATTGATTAATAGTGTTGAAGTTCTAAATCTTAGAGCAACATCTTGTTACAGTTAATATCGCTTCCAGTTATCAAGATGCACGGTATCTAGCTGGGGGCTGGGATACTAGACTTAACCTGAGTAAGCTTGCTTTCAGCTACCTAAATAAAGCATGAAACTGGTACTGTTTTCAGGAAGCTGAAATTATTTCGACAAACAATTTTTTTGTCATCATCGCCAATCATTTATTTACGCCCGTATTCATTCATTCAAACATTTCTATGAGGCCACACAGCGCGCGTGCACGCTCAGGGTGACACACGAACCAATCACAGAGCTCTATTCAACGCTATGCGTTGGGTACGGTTTTCTGAAATCACATGACATTATTTCGACAAACGAACGCACAGCGTTGAATAGAGCTCTGTGATTGGTTCGTGTGTCACCCTGTGCGTCCACGCGCACTGTGAGACCTCATAGTTATGTTTGTGAATACGGGCGTTGTTAGTCTCTACCTACTGCAACGATAACACGATCAACGAAAACGATCCTCTTTAATTACCTAACCTAAGGCGAATAGAGGATTTAGCTTACACTGGTCTGGTTTTTACTGGCAGGCAGGAAATAATGAGTCTTTGAACGCTCTAATACAGCTCACAGAATATCTACCTCACCGTTAAAAAATTCCCCAAACGATTTTAAACTTTGTTTTGATGAATAAAGTTAATAATCGATTCTTGAAATTTCTCAGACAGACCGGAAATCGTTTTCAGCATGTCTTTATAATTGGCGGAAATTTAAGAAGTTGGGAAAACCACATTTAAAGATGTGTTGCTTTGTCTTCGACCGAAGAGACAACCTACGTATCGTTTAAGGACTAATCCCCTGAAGCTGGAGGTAGTTTGCTCTGACTGAGCGAGCCAATGGGAAGGAGCTGAGCCACGAAAATATGTCTAGGCCATTGGTTCCCAAACTTATTTGAGACGCGCCCCCTTTCGACCATACAAAAAATTCCCCTCCTCCAGTCAAGATTATTTATTGGTCGATCGTATCGAGCAGTCTGGAATGCATTCTCTCAGCGGTCGAAGGTTTTTACAGATGGCCCCCACTTTGGGAATAAATGGTCTAGGTACTAGGCCATCTAGCCCGGTCAATACTCGCAGATCCATCCCAAAGACTTTAGTGGACATCGTCAGGTTTTAGTAGGCTCTACTCATCTGGCACAAAATCTATCTATATCAGCCTTTAGTGGATTCGCCTTCGAACATAGGTCTTCTCTTCAACCCTCCACCGACTTATGTGTCTGGCCACTTGCATCCAGTCGTCAATACGTCAAAACAACAAAATATTAGGTTCTTTTATAATAATATGATTGTCATGTTTATTGTCCTAGAGTTACTGATTCTTCCTTGCATTATGATAAGACACGTAATTTCCCACCAGTAGTCAAACATTGGTTTACCGCTTCAATCAATCAGTACCGCTGTATTCCGTGCATGCATATCTACTAAATTCAGACACATATTAATTGAGACACTGTGGGTGGATTCGACGAATGAAAACACTGTGAGTCGAATAGAATTTTAAGTAACGCTCATAAGTACTTAACCTTTTATTTATTACTAGCTACGCCCGCGACTTAGTACGCGTGGAAATCAAATCGTAATTTTTCTCATGTTTTCTCACCTTTTAAACCTGATATCTTTTATCGACGTCACAATGTATGGGCAAAATCGATAAAATGGCGTGATAACCGCTAATCGCGGCGCGCATCTTAGGCCTACTGGACTACTTACAACAATAATTATTTAAAAACCAAAATCAGCCAAATCGGTCCAGTCATTCTCTAGTTTTAGCGAGACTAACGAACAGCAATTTATTTTTATTATCAGACTAGCGGTCACCCGCGACCTCGTACGCGTGGATCCCGTTTTACCCCCTTCATCTATCTTACGCGGTTTAGATTTTTTCATACAAATGTTTTTACCCGCTAACTCCCGTTCCCGTGGGAATTTTGCAATATCCTGTTGTAACTAAGCTTTATGTTTACTAATGTACCTGCATGCCAAATTTCAAGCGTCTAACTTAAGCGGTTTAGATTTTTCATACAAAAAGATTTTCCCGCGAATTCCCGTTCCCGTGGGAATTTCGGGAATTCCTTGTTGTAACTAAGCTTTAAGTTTACTAAGGTGACATGTTTCAAGCATAGCATAAGCATACCAAATTTCAAGCGTCTAACTTAAGCGGTTTAGATTTTTCATACAAAAGGATTTTCCCGCTAATTCCTGTTCCCGTGGGAATTCCTAAGTATACTATAACCTGCCCAGGAGTATGAAGAATAATTGTACCAAGTTTCGTTAAAATCCGTAGAGTAGTTTTTGTTTCTATAAGGAACATACAGACGGACAGACAGACAGACAAAAATTTTACTGATTGCATTTTTGGCATCAGTATCGATCACTAATCACCCCCTGATAGTTATTTTGAAAATATATTTCATGTACAGAATTGACCTCTCTACAGATTTATTATAAGTATAGATAATAATAAAACAGTCTTTATTTTCACATCACAAACACTACAATGAGCACAAGTTATCTGGATACAACTCTGGCAAATTATTACGCTAATTACTGTAAAAGGTCTTTTCGCTCTATTAATACTTGTTTATTTTATTCCAGAGTAGCTGAGCTACAACCTATTCAAGAGTAACAAATTTTTTGTAAGGATACCTTCTCGGAATAACCAATTGACCGAAACTAATTTAAAAGCGTCCGCATTTCGATTGCTCTTAGTTGGTTGGTTGCGATTTACTTCGAAAAATTGAGAAGATCTGTCGAACTACACGATCCCATGAGTGTACGAGTCCGAAGGCCTTCTACTAGGTGGACCGACGATCTGGTGAAGGTTGCGGGAAGTGCCTGGATGCGGGTGGCGCAGGACCGGTCTTTGTGGAAAACCTTGGGGGAGGCCTTTGTCCAGCAGTGGACGTCTTTCGGCTGAAACGAACGAGTGTACTAAGTATGCCCAAAGTACAAAGCAGTGGAATGATTGACAGCCGAATCACGCGACGGTTTAAGTCTTGCATTGGATTTTTGTAAAAATAATTTATAAACCATCAAAAAAATAAAATACAGGATGCCAATGGAGAAAAATGCAAATCAACCTCTCTTCAATAGCATAAGTCTTGTTTTGGTTAAAAATTATAAAACTTTACTTGTTTTTTTATTATTGGTGGTCTTGATTAGCTGGCAGTGGGTATGGGTAGGGTATGTCTGACGGCCAATGGGGTAACAAGGTAGGTTCTGGAACGGAGGTGTACGTACCTACCGGCAAGCGCTGCGTAGGACGTCCACCCACAAGGTAGACGGATGACCTTTTATGATTGCAAGCAGGCGCTGGATGTGGGCCGCTTTCAACTGGCCAATCTGGAAATCATAGGAGGAGGTTAGCAGTGAAAAGAAATACCCATCGTATTTCTAAACTATTTTTTTATTCAACGTATCGTATTGTTTAAGGGTGGATCTGAAACTGTCAATGTGCCAGTTATACCAGGAGTTATTCTTGAATAAGAAATAAATATTTTTGATTTTGATATTTTTTTTTTTAATAAAAGTTTGGTCAAATCGGGCCTAAATCACAAAACATAGATGGAGGTTTAAATTCTACAAAGCAGGAAACACTACAGAAAACTATTCAGCAAATTGTAAGTAAGTACCAGATGATTCAGCCGGATTTCACCCAAATCGTAAAAACTTTAGGCTGTAGGAATGGTCGAGTAGGTGTTTCAAACACTAATCTTTTTAAGTACCATAGTAAAGTGCAGCTTTAGTGATACTGATAAACAAAAACTGCGCAAAGTGCGGTCTTTTTCATATCGGTTGAATTAGGATGAAATTATCGCCTCATTGCCGTGTAATGGCCACGGGCTATCCACTATTATCAGTTGTAAGAGCATTCGATAATTAAAACGATTACCGCAACATGAAAAACCTATTAAAGTTTTTGAGTGTTTCGCCTTTGCGGTGATTGGCTGGGTTATGTGAGCGGAGGCGTGCGAGCGCTGTGATTGGCCGGCGCGGTGCGTAAGTACGCGAGTTTTGGCGCGCTTTCCAGCAGTTTGGCAAAATTTCCCGCGCTGCGAATACGTAGCGAGCAGTACACGGTAAAAGTTGCGGAAAGTTATGCGGAGTTGTTAGTAGCTGCGTATTTTATCCCCGACCAGTTTTAAGGTAAGTGAATTTTATTTATTTGATATAATTTTGAAATGCATACGTACTAAATTAAAATTAAGGTATCCTGAAAAAAAAGATAAATTCGAACATTTGAAACAGTTCGAGTATTTAGCAATAATTTCAGATGACAACATAATGCAGCTACCTATTTTCAATTAAAATTATAAAACATGAAAACTAAAGTTTTCTAGGACACGTAATAAGTTTTGATACTTTGATTTATCATCAAATTAACACCAATAATATAATTTCTCTTAAATATTTCAGTGTGTAAAATCAGTAGCACTCAATTTTATTCTACGTCACATTACATAAAAATGGTATCGATATTCATTCAATTTGCCGCGAATATGAATAAGATATTGATAATCGATATTCATACGGGAGTGTTTTATCTAATTTTTTCCGGGGGAAATTGTCTAATGGCGCTTTGTAAGGAAATATCGCATGCGACTGCTGGCAATCTAATTGTAATCCTGCAATCATGGTGCCTCTTCGATTCTCGATCTAAAAATGTTTATGCAAATAGCAAATATACTCATAAGGATAACCAAAAGAAAATGGCCCAAATTCGATTTTAATAGAAAGTACAATTTTAGGTTTTCAATTTTTTCGAGTCTTTTTTTCCTACTAATAGACTACGGGGTGTACAATAGTTACACTGAAAAATACATTCTCATATTACACTCATTGGTATACAAATAAATTAAATCAAAAGGAAAACTAGACTTTCAATTTTCAATATGAATAAACTGGCTCCTGAACACGCGGTAATTATAATCACCAATTTTTATAACATGTGACAGAACTATAATACAATTTTTAGGTGAAACTAATATTAACATTAAAGATTTTAAACTTTCGTGTTACATTTCAACTAATATAGAGAAACACGGGTCTCAAGCCGTGAGCATATAAAAAATATCGCGTTGAGACGAGACCCGTGTTTCTCTTTAATAACTTAAGATTTTTAAGCTGGTTACTTAATTAAAAAACGCGTGTTAAAAATCTCTACCAGTAGTTACGGCACGGCAGTAAAACTTGCAAAAGTAAATTTCAGTTATACATGTAAATTATCAAAATGTTACTGGCATCCCCGCGGTTGCTTGCCCATGTCCAATTTTTAAGCGCGTTATTAACTATTCATTGTTAGGGTTTCGTAATCTCTCGTAGTATTTAGGCTTGGACTAGGAGTCGACAACCTTTTTCTTGATATATTTTGAAAAATTTGAAAAGTCAGGATTTATTTTTTAATACTTCCAAATATTGTTTAAGACATAAATACCTAACATCGTCTTCTCGACTAGCTGTGAACCAGAAGATTACTGTAATTGTAAGCACAACCCAGGCCGGGGTTATAGGGGGCTTTAGGGGGCCCTGGGCTAATACTGCTTAGAGGCCCACCTAAGGTATAGAAAAAAATGGGATAGTAAAATATTTGACTTACCTAACTGAGGGCCCTTGAATCCACGGGGCCCTCAGCTGAAGCCCAAAAAACCATATGGGGCACAACGCTCACGTGTGTTTACCCCATATTTTCCAAAAAGCTCAGAATTTTACATTTATAACAAAACACCTTATTACTACACAAAACCAGGAAAAAAAGCCAATAAAGCAATATCTTCCAGACAATGAGGACAATAAAATTAAAATCTTGGAATAAGACGCCTTTTAAGAAAAACGTACAAAGAATCTTGGTCAAAATAAAAAAAAATCAAGGAAAAACTTATTATTACCTAATTGTGATTTGAGGGACACAATGATTCTGAGTGTTAGTTATTTTTATTTGTATTGTTAGATAACACAATATTTAACTGTTCTCACACCATCTAAGATACTAATATTATTAATGCGAAAGTAACTCTGTCTGTATTGCTTTCACGCCTAAACCACTGAACCGATTTTGATGAAATTTGGCTGAAAAGAGATAGTTTGAATCCCGGGAAAGAACATATGATAGTTTTTATCCCGGTTTATGAAACAGGGACGCGCGCTATAAAGTTTTTCCGTGACAGACAAAATTTCACGCGGGCGAAACCGCGGGCGGAAAGTTAGTAGCAAATAACTTTCTCGCTAAGTCTCAAAGTTTCTCGGAAATAATCCAATAACAACTATTCCCTTCCTTATTCATGTCAATCAATATGCAAAAAGCTCGGTTATTCGTTCAATGTTCACATTACAACGATATTGATATTGTGGATTGTTGGCTGACATGACTATTCAGGAATGTTATAAGTAAATGCCATCCATCTATCCATTGCAGGAAGTGTCACAAGGGCTGTTATTTTGTTTTTTTTTTACATCCAATAAATATAATATTACCTATAAATGCAAAAGTTTGGATGTCTGCAAAAAGTACTGAACTGATTTTGTTGAAACTTTACAGTATTATTGTTTGTAACTCAGATTAACATATAGGCTATAATTTATGCCGATCTGTAACACTAAATTTCATGCGGGTGAAGCCGCGGCCAAAAGCTAGTTTAACATAAAAACGGTTCGCATAAGTTATTTTGTAGCGAAAAGCACGTAAGTGCAGACAAAATGCAACGAGTTTGTATTTCTTTAAGTAACTACTTACTAATGAGCAAAATACCAAATTGCTTCTTCTTCATCTTAGTCGGGCACTCTTGTCAGAGTGGTCGTGGTTGCGCTGACGAGGTACACGGTGGGGTGTTCGATCATCATCCATACATCTCCGAGGGTAGCTCTCCTGGCGATGTGCCTCCATTTCTGACGGTTACACTGGACCATGGTGGACTCAGTAGACTTTGTGATGGCGTTTATCCAGCGGGTTAGCGTGCTCTCTTGCCTTCCACCTGACCCTGAACCACCAGTCTCTCCATCGAGTTCTCATTTCTAGAGACGTGACCAAAGAACTTCAGTATTCGTAGTTGCACATTTGACGATAGTCTGTCTTTCACACGAAGCTCTTTGTGGATGGATACATTCTGACATTAGTTACTTTGCTTTGTTATTATGATGAACTTGCTTGGAATACAGTTGATATTTTCGATCTAAAAGTTTATTATTCATTCCATTCTCACACTACAGTCAATTTCATTCATTTACATAATTGCATCTTAGGTAGATACTGAAATCGTAAACTATCAGTTTTCTTACTTAAAATTCCTAGAAAAAAGTATCAAAAATGAACTAAGCGGTCGTCTCCAATATAAACAAAACCACAGCTTTGCTATAACTTTCAGAAAGGGCTGAATGACAGGTCCTTTCATCTAAAAATAATAGTCTTTTGTTCCGGTGACATTAATACAAAGTTCTGTAGAAATCATAAAGTTCCCAACTGCTTAAAATGTTTACTTTTGATTATAATTTTGAAGTTAACACTTACATAGGAGACGTATACTTATGGAACAACTCAAAACCGGAGTTAAAGCTAAATACTTAAAGCTTCAAACTAAGCCTGATTTGAATCTACTTTTAAGCGTAGATCTACAAAACGCACCACCACGGTATAGAGCAGTGCAATCTTGACTCTCAAAGATGCCGGGATCGATTCCCATGGGATCGGTACAATACCTGAGTAAAATCACTTTATGAATATGTTTCCAGTTTGGTTTTGATATTGTATTTGATTTGAATAAACGTGATTTTCCGAAAAACATGGAAGAAATTCGGAGGACAACTGTGACGATTTGATAGAGTCAACAGTTTTCAGTGACAGTTAACAAAGATGTTTTTAAAAGATAAATATTTTGGAAAAAGGTTGCTCACTTCTGCACCGCTTACACTCATTTGCCGTGTAATGTTAAAATTAGGTAGTTGACACCGAAGGATATAAAACATAATCTTGTTAAAATTATCTCACCTACCTTCTAAGCAACGGTACAAATAGTAAACTAATAAAAGACTTTAGGTATTATTATTATAAACTAACGGCCGCCCGCGACTTAGTACGCGTGGATCCCGTTTTACCCTTTTAGAAAATCCCGTCATAGTGTGCACCTACGTTCTAAAAGGAACCCCCATGCAAAAAAGACCCTTGTAGTTAGTATTTAGTGATGAGTGAGTGAGTCAGTCAATCAGTGACCTTTCGCTTTTATAGATTTACTAACTAAGATTACATTAAAGATTAATTGAAAACAGTTTATTTTCGCATTTATTGCCTAAAATTGTGACAGACAGGTAAAAATCCCTGTCACAAAAAGCAAACCGTCATCACAGACAGAATAAAATAATGTAACAAATGGATGGATTGATTTGACGTCATAACAAACGATAATGAAGAAGTACTTAGCGTAATACAAGCACATCAGATTACACATTGTCATTGCAAATTCGCCTGTATTCCAGCTACATAAGAACCAACAGTGGTAAGCTTCACGTGCTGTCGTAAGCACTTTTCATTGCAAACGGAGTTCCCTCAGACATGTGGATTAAGAGTGACAGCTACGACGTTGCGGCAAAAACAAAAAGTACGAATTAAATCTAAAATAAACTGTATTACGGACTACGCACATCAGTTACACTGAGTGGTATTTTATTCAGTGGGTAACATCATAGGTGGACCGACGATCTTGTGAAGGTCGCGGGAAGTCCTGGATGCAAAGCTTGGGGAAGGCCTTTGTCTAGCAGTGGACGTCTTTTGGCTGAAACAGATGTCTGGTTTCGCAATAAACGTAGTAATTCGTATGAGTAATTAGATATTTATACCTACAAAGTAAACTGGAATAAGATTAACTATTTTTAAATAAACCGACTGGATCCAGTACTTCTCATACCAGCCCCTTTGCATGAATGTAGAGTATACGATGATAGAGTAGGTACTACGATGTATTAAGTCACGATTTTTTTAAGGTATGCCCCTTTTTACTTCTGAGATATTCACAAATTGCTAGTAATCAATTAAGAAAAGCGTTTGGTCTACTGGAATAGCTCAGATTTATTTAAGACTCGACTGAAAATTTATACTATTTATACTAATATTATAAAGCTGAAGAGTTTGTTTGTTTACTTGAACGCGCTAATATCCGGAACTACTGGTCCGATTTGAAAAATTCTTTCAGTGTTAGATAGCCTATTTATCGAGGAAGGCTATACTATACAACATCACGCTACGATCAATAGGAGCAGAACAACAATGAAAAATGTTACGAAAACGGGGTTTCACGCGTACGAAGTCGCGGGCACAGCTAGTAATACATAAAACATAATAAAATAATTAATAATTGAGCCCACAACTGGACTTACGCCTCGTGCAATGCGATGCACTCCTGACCTAGTTAAGTGGTCGCTGCCGATTCCGACTACCCACAAGGTTAGGAATGCCGTTGCAGGCCTGTGGGTAACCTGATTCAATGGATATCGAGCTGGGGATACATTACACACGAGGAATTGTTTGTTAAGTCATAATTATTAGTTAACATTTAAATTTCAAATGATATGGATATTTTGTAGAGGCAATATTTTTCTTATAAATGAATGATTTTAGCTCTGTTAATTCCAGAAGTTAGTTCTATATCCCTTTGTAGGTACTATGACCAAAAACATCAGCTATGGTAAAACTTTATTTAAGTTTGATACACTTTCCTTATTCGCACAAAAGAATTCGGTGCTCTCTCAATATTTCGTAAGGACACTATGATCAATTTTTGCATCCAAGTAAGTACGTACATACGTTGAAAAATATGAACGAACGGGCTCTACCACAACACTTTTTTGTCCCAGTCTTTTTCATGCGTGATGACTAGTATATTTTCAATCGTAAATCGTCACCATTATTATGAAATCTATTTTTGATACATTAGAAATCTATTTTTAAGGTTTTTCATGTCTTTTTTTAATATGAGCTTTTGTTATGCCTTGCAAAAGGTGCTATTGGATTACTCCGGTTGACAGACGGTGTGCTATTTTTTGGGATGAGTTGGATTACGTTCTATTATTTGTTAAATTCCTTTGGTTGATTTACAATATTAGGTGATGAATTTTTGAAAGCTTTTGACAGTCTCTTCTCTTTCAATTAAATCTGTTAGATTGTGGTTCTACATTGAGCATGGAGGAAGTAATTTCGTTATTTTGTCGTTGTATTACAAATCGGGAACATGCTTCCACGTTTGAGAAGTTTGGTCATCGCAAGGACCATTATTCTCATATGCGACTATGTGAAAGCGGTGCAAATATCGTCGTCGTCATCGAACAACGACGAATCGAAAATCGGTTGATAAAAAAGAACACGTCTGGAAACTGCGTTAGAATTATCACATCCGTCGGTGTTTGATTCTGTAGCTTTGATATGTTTATGAATTTTGAAAAATAATAGTAAAGTCATATAATGGAGCTACTTTAGAGTAGTTTAATGCCCAAAAATAGATTATACGGATGAAGACATGCGACGTTGTTTGACGACGTCGACGATATTATGATTTGTGATAACTATGATTGGTTTACCTAATGGTTTAACGTAGGCGCACACCGTTGATTTTTCGTCGGCCGATAGTTTAGTCGGGCAGTTGATCAGTATGGGCATGTATGGGAGTGCACACACTACGCCGATTCGATTTGGCCGATTCTTCATACAATTTAAAATCGGGCACAACTATCGGCCAACTTAAAATCAACGGTGTGCGCCTACTCTTAAAAAGACGCTAGTTGCAAAGTTGCAATACATAACTGGTACTCAGCTAATCTGCACTTTATTACCATGGAACTAGAGCAATTTGTTAAATGCTGGTTCTTACAAGGAACTAATCTATTCCGTGACAATACTAAGTTGTCGAAACGTGTTCTCGCTCTCCAGGGGGCGGTAGTGTGTTAAGTTTAACAATACGTGCGCATCCTAGTATTTCCGAGATAATACCAGACTAAAGTGTCTTTAGAACGTGGTTACTAACTAGCGTGCTAACTAACTAACAGACTCGTATGTTTTGTTTTCAAATATGAGTAGGTACAGCATTATAGCAGTAACCTTGGGGGAGGCCTTTGTCCAGCAGTGGACGTGTTTTGGCTGAAACGAACGAACGAACGAACAGCATTATATGAAAAGGTACAGCATAATATGAGTGTTCGAAATTGTCCAGCTTTCTCGAGCCTCAAGACTTGTACAAAGTACAATAAGTCACGAGTAATTATGTAGGTCATGCAAATGCTGCAATATTTAATTTTATTAACTTGAAGCATTCGCCGATCAGTTCTACTTACACAAGTTCTCAACCTATTAATTAGCGTGCACACAATTGTCAAGATTTATATTGTAATTATTTTAAATAAATAATCAAGAGTTTCAAGAGTTTCCTTCTGTCAAGACAACTACAACACATATCTTGTACCATCGCGTACAAGACTTTCATAAAAACTTTTAACTTTGGTCCCCATAGAAAGTAGAACCACAGTAGAACTAACTTGTAGATTGTTTGTTGCCATGGTGTTACCCCATCGTTAAAATTTTAAGTTGTAACCAAATACTTTTCAGTAAAGTCGACTGGAAAAGTTGTTTACAATAAAAATTGTACCACAATTTGAAAAAAAAAAAACTTTTTATGATATAAATAAATGAATTATACAGGGTGACTTTGTTATCAGTATCCAAATTTTTTAATAAGCTCATTAGAACAATTTGATAATACAACTTTATCGTAATTATTTTTAATTGTAGTATTTTACGCAAAAATAAATATTGAAAGTGTAATCCGCGGGTGCCTATGCCCTATATCTTAAGTTTTAAAGGTTATTGCTTATTTTCGCTCACCATTATGTCTATTAAGCTTTGCAGTTAACTGTGTGTACGTATTTTTCCATGAACGAAGCAAATTTTCCACGTGAGTCAATTTGGAAACTGCGCATAGCGGATGAAAATAAATAAATATGGAGAAAAAAGTCGATCCTGAAAATTTGGATACTGATACAAAAATCACCCTGTATAGGTATTATCCGTTCTTTTAACCTATAAGAGTGTTAGTTTTATGGGTCTAGCGCCTTATTCAGTGAATGCCTGAGATATTCGAGCGACATGGGAGGGTGATTTTGTGACGGTCAAACTTCAGCGAGACTTCATATTTGTAAGCCCTGTCACGTCACAATATAAGGGCGCAAAGCCGCGGACCATTTGTAAGAAACCTGCGATCGCTGAGAGAATGCATTCCAGACTGCTCGATTCGACCAATAAATAATCTTGACTGGAGGAGGGGGCGCGGAATTTTTTGTATGGTCGAAAGGGGGCGCGTCTCAAATAAGTTTGGGAAACAATGTTCTAGATAAAATTGTCCATTCAGTTAACAATACAACTATGTTCTTATCACAACACTTGTCGAAGCGTACTCAGTTTGGTCTCCAGGGGCGGTAGTGTTAACTTTCAACAATACTAAAGCATCCTAGTTTATTTCTGAGATAATGATACCTGCACTAAAGTACCTATAGTATCTTTAAAACATGTAGTTTCTTATGTAATTTGGGTGTTTGCTCCCAAATGCATTGATTGTATTACTACAAAGTCGGTTTTTTTTTGCAAGACAAGGCAGGTATCTGACCGCAATCGTTGATGTTATGTGAGATTCAGTCTAGGATGGTACACATCTGCCCTGTAAGTGCCGGAAAGGCCCGGATTATAGTGTTACACTTTAGTAAGTTTGACACGTTGAAAGTTGATGAATAACGTAGTTTACGGCAATCTACAACAGTACGTTTCTACAGAAACTTCCTGCCCCGTACAACCAAACTGTGGAACGGACTGTCGTCTGCGGTGTTTCCGGACAGATACAACCTGCAAGCTTTCAAGAAGAGAGTGTATCTTCACCTTAAAGGCCGGCAACGCACCTGTAACGCCCCTGGGTCTGCGGGTGTCTATGGACGACGGTAATCACTTACCATCGGGTGATCCGTCTGCTCGTTTGCCTCCTGTCAAATAAAAAAAAAAAAGTTTATTAAGTTATTCATTCGAGCAAAACACGTAGAGCATTTTTAATTTACAGAAACTTTTAATAATACTAACTTTTATAAATGAAATACCATTTTACTGTTCGGATGAGTCCATGAAATATTTATGTCTTTTAAATATACGAAACATTTATTTTATTACTCACATCAAAAAACAATTTTGTTTATCATGAAATACTTACTAGTGCCTGTGTAAATTCATGTTACTTATAAAATATGTACTTTATATGTATGTATGTATTTTCATCTTGTCTTTTTTATATGCCTATGGATTTCATGACTTTTTTATTACTTATTAGGTAACATAACAATGAGAAAATATGAACCCTAAAGTGCAGAATATTCTCGCGATACAAAGTAGCTATAAATCTATTAAAAGTCATACACTTAACAAGTAAATATTTTCCCAGCTCGAAGGAAGAACTAACCAACGATGACGTCACAGACTCGTTATAAATCTACATTATATTGTGACGTCACGTATGAACATTAGAAAAGAAAGAACGAAGTTTGCTCCTGATACACTTTTAAAGAAAATAGAAAAGTAACTAACGCCCGTATCTACAAACCATGCTTACTTAAGTGAAGCGGCAAATCGAACGCACAGCGTTAATAGAGCTCTGTGATTGGTTCGTGTGTCACCCTGTGTGTCCACGTGCACTGTGACACCTCATAGTAATGTTTGTGAATACGGGCGTAAGACTCAATAGGTTCTGATGAACTTTTAGATAAATATTATTGTGACATTTACCAGTGACTATCTACCACATGGGCGACGGTAATCACTTACCATCAGGTNCCGAAATCGGTCGGATGGATCATCACCATCAGGTGATCCATCTGCTCGTTTACCTCCTGTCACATAAAAAACAAAAAAAAAAACATATCAGAGGCACATGTGATACCAAGTCAATTCACTTATTAATCTGACAGATAAGTTTCAAATAGACTGTCAGAGACTCTACCAGCAAGTGGTGAAAAGGGACCTAACTTTCTTCGTCTTCATTACGAAAATTATTACTAAATAAATCTAGGTTATTTAGGAAGGTGTACTAATGAATGGTAAAGTTATTTTCCCCAAAGCACAAAGATTATATTGAGTTAGGAAGACGATATTGATTAGCCTGTTTACCTAGAATCTGAACGAACCGAACTGGTTACATAATTAGTAATATTAATTATGGTTAATAATACTGGTATAATCTATATTAAGTAACTAGCCGCCGCCCGCGACTTCGTTCGCGTTGATCCCGTTTTACCCCCTTAGGAGTTGAATTTTGCAAAATCCCGTCTTAGTGAGCACCTACGTTCTAAAAGGAACCTCCATGCAAAATTTGAGACTTTTAGCACTTGTAGTCAATCAGTCAGTCAATCAGTGAGCTTCCGCTTTTATCGATATACCTACATTGTTTGTTGTTCTGAATAAAATTAAAATACATCTGCGTCCTAGAGTAGATCATAAATTGTTCGTGGTGTTACTAAACATTTTAGAAGCATAAGGCTAAGAACTTACGGCGCGATTTTCACCCGCGCCTGCGGCGGTTGTGGAATTGCGGTTTTATTTCAAAACTCACGGGAGCGGTTATTTGCGCGGTTATTCTAAGAACTCACGACGGGATTTTAAATCGCGCCGCGTGCTAAATCACTGGTACAAAATGGCCGCCCGCCGATCGAGCGGTTTTTGCGCGGTTTTCGCACGGGCGAAAACCGCCAAGCGGGACCCGATTACAACCGCGCCCGCTGCGGGTGAAAACCGCATCGTGAGTTGTGCATTAGTTTTTACATAAGTATCTGCATTCTACAGAAGCTGCGGGCCTGCAACCGCCGCGGGCGCCAGTGAGAATCGCGCCATGAGTTCTTAGCCTNTATAGCCTAAGATCCTTTTCCGAGTGGTTAGAGTTGGACCTTCTCGACCTAGGTCTATTCCGGACTAGACCTATTGTATTCCCCGGTGGGAAAATGAAGAACTTTCTAAGATTCTAGGTATTGGAGCCATCTGATTGTACGGAAAGGAAGGCGAGGGACACCTCGATCTTGGTCTGATTGAGCCATATCAGATGGCTATAGTGGCTTATGAAATCTGGCAGTAGGGATGCGATTTGAAGTCACGCCTCACACAGTCGAAGAAGATAGGCAAACGCAAACGGATTGAAATGAAATTGTTCCTTTACTTATAGGCGCAAAGAATAAAACAGTGCATATCACGTTTTCTCTCACACTCACACTGGTTATATGTGACATCACACAGAGGCAGGCATAGCGTTGTTTGTAATACGTATTAATTAATAAAATATTAGCGTGTGTGCATCTCTGTTTCAAAAATTACACAAGTCTTTGCGTCGAGTTATTATGTTTTTATTTTTCAAAATCACAGCTTTTCTTAATATGATAAAGAATATTTCTACAAAGGTACAGACAATAACCGACTAAACAAAAAGAAATTTATAAGGCTTAAATGTATGGAACTGTTACTATGCAATTTTTAGAAAATGCAACCTTGCTGCATCATGTTCAATATTACACATTTCCTGAAAGCAAATGGATACATTTCCATTTAAAACGATAGTTTTCAATTTGTTTTGTACCATGTCCGTTTATGTTTGCATTTGCGAGACATACATATTTATTACCAAACATGAATAACTGACTGTATTTTTTTTTGTGTTTGTGAATATCAATTAGATTTCTGTTTGAAAGTGTTATCGATGAGTAAACCTAGATTTAATTCTACCTATACAATACATTATGTAATTAACCTTATAAGAGCAGCGTATGACGTCCACCCACGAAGTGGACCAAGGTCCTCATAAAGGAAGCAAGGAGGCGCTGGATGCAGGCCGCTATCAACCGGTCATTATGGAATTGGGGGAGGCCATGTTCAGTAGTGGACGACCTAATGGCTGAAATGATGATGAACTAACTACAAAAACTGGGAATAGAATCTCCTTACTGACCTAAGAGATTGTTCGCAGAACTAGTTTTGTTAACTCTTAAGTTTTGACCACACATCGGCATATAGCTCGTAGAGACGATGGCTGTTGGCAGAAAAGTTCTCGAGTGGCGACCACGGGCTGGAAGACGTAGCGTGGGCAGGCCTCCTACTAGGTGGACCGACGATCTCGTAAAGGTCCCACGGAAGAGCCTGGATGCGGGCAGCGCAGGACCGTGCATTGTGGAAAATCTTGGAGGAGGCCTTTGTCCAGCAGTGGATGTCATTTGGCTGAAACGAACGAACGAACGACCATTGATCACATCAAGTTTACTGTGGAATCTTATGCCTTTTACTTCGTACGATTTTGCATCAAAATCGTACAGCCTAAAACGTAGTTGTGCGAATAAACGGCCTCAGCAATTGTCACAAAAATACACAGCCCACTGGGTCGCCTCCGCCAACTTTTCCAGACAAAAAATGCCTCTCGTTTTTTATTTATTTTTTGTAAAACAGTCTCAAATCAGAAGGGCACTACATAATGGCCGACAGTCCTTTGCGGATCGGATAGTTCGATAGATCCCTTCTCGAATATAGGGAAACACTTTTTCCCAATAGAGGTCGGAATGATATTTTTATTTTCCTTTTGTTCGGTAAATGTATTTGCTGGGACGATTTCTTACCATTTAAAACTTCTTATTTATTTCGTCAGTACAAATATTTTGGGACTAAAATAAATCAATAAGTAGTTTAAAAGATAATTTTAACGGAAAAAATAAAATGTCTATTTATTTATTTAGGTTTAAGCACGGTAATAATATCATACAGTATTGTAACTTCATATAAACAGACGAAACAAGAACTTTCTTTCGAAATTCAAATCTCGGTATGCGCTCGGTATGCAAAAGTCGGGGGTGTCGCGAATGGCCGAATGGACGTCGCGTCGCTGGCCAAGTGTTAAAAATGATAAAACTGATTGAATTTGACTGACCGTCATTTACGGTCAAATTGGTCAAAAACTAGTCAAATTGTCATTTTCAGTCAGTTTGATTTGAAATGAAAATTATATTGTATTAAACCAGCTTTTGCCCACGACTTCACTCGCCCGAAATTAACGAAACAGATCATTATGATTATTAAAGTTTCAAAATTATTTATGTAGTTTTAAATAAATTAAATCTACTAATCACAAAACAACACACATTTTTAACCTATTCCATTCACAAAGTATTTTGTTTGTCTAACTAATTAAAAAAATACAATCACAAAACTAGATAGAAATTCTAAGTGGGCAGATGTAATTAAACTGGGTACTGTAGGTGGGCAGCCCTATCGCATGTTATCATACTGTGACGTACCGCGCGACTGTTGACATTTATTTCAAAAATATGGCCGAGTTGGAATACTGTATAGATAGTATTACCGTGGTTTAAGCCTTGTTTCATAACGTGTCCCGTAAAGTGTTGTAAGTAATGTATATTGTTTCAATTATCATCAACTCAAAAATATTAATTAAAATTAATTGCGGTGAAATACATGCCTTTTTTGCATAAAAATCTCTTTATTAACTATCTAATACATCACTAGTTTGGTGACATAATATGTAGGTAAACACGTTTAGTTTTGAGAGATTAAAACCTTTTACATTCTTAGTTTAATGATTTGTAATTGTGGCCGTACCTACTTTGGAGTTAGACCATTGCAATGTGTCTCAATGTGCAGTCAAGTCTTAGATGTAAGGCTAGTTTTAGATTAAGTCACGCGCCGCGGCTCGAGTTAGGAACTATATTAGCCTTGCTTGCAATTTTGTCTGCACAGTGGTGCTGCCTTCATTGCGGTCTAAAATTAAGGCAATTGGTTCAAGTACCTTATATAAACTAGCATTGAGAGAGAAAGAGAGAAAGAGGGTGGATAGGAGAACATTTCAAACTTAGTAAAGTCTCAATTATTAAATTAAAATGGCGACAAAAATTACATATCAGAAGTCTTTTTAAATTACATCTTAGAAAATAATCTTCAACTACAATAAAA